GGGCCATGCAGAATTGAAGCTTCACGGTGGCACTGTATGCGTAAGCGCGGAAGTCTCTGCCGCGAACAGCACTAGCGTGCCGCGACATTTCTTGGCTATCATTGATTCGAGAGTGCACCTGTCCATTGTGGAATGTTATTGTCCCCTCGTCTCATAATAGAGCTGTCGGGTCGTCCGATTGGTGCTGGCTAGCTTGAGCTTCACTAGAGAATGCATCCAGTTTCTACCGTCCCAACTTCACAGGGCACGGCAAGGAAATAAACGCCACAGAACTTGTCTTCCTCATCGTGCTTCCGTTCCAGGTCGCCAACAAGGGGCCAATCTCGATGACCAGAGTCCTACTGATTCATTCCCACTGTCCAAAGTTAAATCTTTGGGAATGGTGCCACATTGCCCGAGTAATCTCTCACTCAACGTCCTGGGCGTTCACTGCTGTCCTACGCTCTTTTCGTGCCTAAATTTCCGTTTCTTCCATGGTGGCGATTTAGAGCTTGTTGACGTTGCACAACGCCGGAAGTAGTTGTAAAGCCAGAGCAACTCGCAAGCAGTTTCGACTTGGGCACGGTTGGGCGTCGCGAATGAGGCACTACATATGTACCTAGTTAGGTCATTCTCCGCCATCAACGTCACAGGCCTCCGATCGCCAACCACCCATGCCGGTTTTAGGCATGTCACCGAAAGGTAAGGACGTTTGTAGGCCTCCCATCCCGTGTTTGGTACATGGTGACGCGAAGCAGGCGGGAGCAGAAGCATATAAATCTATGTACCCAGCTTTGAGTGTCCCGTCCATGCAGGCTCATCCATTTCGGATGAAAACGTGGTTACCGAGGTCTGGATCCCTTCGGCACCCAGAATACCCACACGATCACTTCATGACCGTGGCTCGCTATTTTCTCTACTTTTCATCTAATACCCTGTGGTCTCAACCTCTCCAATATACTGCCTGAGTACGCCCTTACTGCTCCACGACGCAGAAATCATAGAGGCTAGCATATACTAACTGATGGTCTAAACAGGCAGCCCGAGTTTTCACGAAGACTTATATCGCCAGTTGTGGTCAAACAGTGAGCACATATCGAAGACAGCCAGCTGCAATACGTCAACATCCACCCAAATATCCTCGCCACGATAATCAATCCCATTAGCCAGCACAGCGACCTCCACTTGTACTCGGTGTTGAGCTCACCAGAGAAGATGGCCCCCGGAACGCTTTCTCCCCAGCTGCCTTCCGCGCCCTACGGACTCGCCACTGGCTCCGCTTCCTCCAAGACCAGCCGCAATGCCAGCGCTGTCTACGGCCAGCATCATGATGAAGAGGACTCATCCGAGACGGTCGAGAGCCGCCAGCGGGCTATGAGCCAGCGGCTTTTCTCTCGCAAGAGCTCAATGCTCAACGTCTCCAACATTTCCAATGTCGTGTATTCGATCAAAAGACGCAGCTCTGAGGAGCCGGGGTCCAATATCTCGGCGCGACTCTTTAGCGCCACGCACGAGTCTCTACTCGAGTGGATCAGCGCCCAGCGCATGACTGATCTGCCTCCAGAGGGCAGCAGCTATGACAAGGTCCTCGCATGGGCTCAGCTTTTCGCCAACCGCCTTCACTCCTTTGAGTATGCCATTCAGGAGTTTGCCGGAGACAGCTATCTCGCTGCCCAGCTTGCTTATGGATACTGTTCACTCCTTCTTGAGGTAAGTGTCTACGAATGCCCGAGTTGAATTCTCACGGTATGACTAACAGAGGTCGGTTCATAGCTCGGAAAGGAGAATGCCCGTGCTCTGATGATCTCTTTTGGATTCTTCTACAGCATGTCCGTTCCGCTTCTAAACCTGCTCGAACGCATTGAACTCTTCAGTGTCTCCCAAGAGATTCGCGAGCAGCTCGTGCTCGCGTTGTCCGATCTGGTGTCCCTGGTCGCAAGCGTGGCTACCTATTTCCACAAAGCCATTGGCGAGACCACCACTTCAGTCTCGGTCAATATCTACTCCACCTTTCCGACCCAGATTAGGACTTTCCTCGAACGATGCGACAAGACGGCCGAGCTGATGTGGCAGCACCAGCTTCTGAAGGAGGGAGTCACAGAGAGCAGAGGTAGGTTCAAGCCCACGCACAAAACGCCACCAGAACTTTACCTGACCTTATCCTTTGCCAGTCTCTCAGATCCGAGCGATCAAGGCGTGGATCGCGCCGAAGGACCAAGTGCTGTCACGCGTTGTCAATTCGACTTCGCAATTGGCCCATGACCGTGAAGAACTGACTTGTCTTTACATCGGGGCCTACCTGACCCGATGTCTGAAGGGTTCGCAGAAGACTATGGCCTTGAGTGGTCCCCCCGGGTCGGGAAAGACGGTACTGGCTTCTGTCATTTTCGACTATCTGCAGCATCCCATTGCTGGTGTGACTTACAGCGCCCTGTTTGTACCAATTAGTAAGCATCATCCTGTCCAGTCCTCTTTGTCTAAATACGAAATACTGACAGGTATCATAGATGGTCGCGTTCCTGGCGAGACGACTCCCCGCGCGGTCGCCAAGTCGTTGTTGTACCAGCTGTTCCAGAAACGCACGGGCAACGTGCAGCTGCTCAACATCTTGACTGAAGCCTTTGAGCGCACCGTCCGGATGACGACCGAGGACGAGTACGATGATATCCTGTGGCAGACCGTTGAGCGTGCCGTGACAGCCAACCTCCCAGGCGCCAAAGACCTTGTCTTCGTCATAGACGGTCTAGGTGAGTGCTCGGCAGGGGAAGAAGCCCTCTTCAAACGTCTTCAGAGTGTCGCGAACACCAAAGGCGCAAGCACTTTGAAGCTCATCACACTGGGTACCAAGCCTCAGCAGGGTGTCCAAAACTTGCAGATCAACGAAGATCTCATCTTCGATGACATTATGGCTGTTGTGCGCAACTACTTTGAGACATCGAAGCTGTACATCTCGATGAGCGAGATGGAGCGCGAGGCGCTTGTGGCAGGGATTGCCACGGCCTCCAAGGGTTCTTTCGTCTGGGCGAAGCAGGCCTGCAAGCAGCTCCGCCGCGAGACCACGGTCAAGGAGCTCTTCTCTAGCCTGGAGAAGATTGGCAACTGCAGCATCGCCGAGTTCGTGCACCGGACTCTTACCGCGCCAGAGGTCACTTACCAGACTCGTCTGCTGCTGACCTGGCTTGTCACTTCAGAGCGGCCCCTGAGCACCAACGAGTTGGCCACTCTAGCATCCATCAACGTGGATAAACAGAGCATTGACCATGACCACAAGATCGACGTCATGAGCACCCTGTGGCCTGTGAACTCGCTCGTGTTCATGCAAGATGGGCTGACTTACCTGCGTCACGATGTTGTTCGCAAGGCCGCTACAGAGTGTCTCAACGAGACGAAAGGGTCCATCAAGGACCGCCACGGCGACTTGGCCACACGTCTGCTCATCTACATCAACTCGACTGTAACTGATCCGCGCGAGCCCACATTGACAGTTCTGGACAGCCACTCAGTGCAGCAGCTCACGAGCAGACACACTCTGCTCGAGTTTGCCATCAGTTACTGGCCGCTACACCTTCGCAAGAGCTTTGCCTTCTTGAAGCCCGACACCAGCGAGTCCGAGGCTGCCAAGCTCGTGTCCAAGGTCGTTCCCAAAAACCTCACTGTCTACCTGTTGCAGGCGGCGCTCTGGCAGCACCAGCCTCTCCCGGATCAGCTCAAGTACCACACGATGATGACCAGCATCACCCGCCAGCTGCTCACAACAAAGAGCACCACCACGCTACAGTCCATCATCTTCTTGGCACAGATCTATCGCCGGATCGAATTTACTCCAGATGCCACCACCCTCTTCTATGAGGCGACAACAGTGTCCAACTCCCTGCTGACAAGCAAGAGTCCCATCACGATGGAGCTCGCCAAGATCTTCACCGAGCTGACCAGCACGCGGGTGACTACGTCAAAGACGGACATTATCATGACCCATCGCGAGCAGGTCCTTCTGATCTTGACCGAGTGCTACAAGATACAGTATGGTCAGAAGTCCGAGTATGTCCTGACGACGCTGAAGCTGTTGGTCGAGCACTACCGCACAGTAAAGGACGAGACCAAGGCTCAGCAGATGATCACCAAGGTCCATCAGCACCACTACCGAGTTTGGTGGCGAGACCACGACCACAACCACGGCAAGCGGTGATAAGAATGATACCCTTGATGGAGATCTACACGTCCACCTCCACGGCCGTAAAGACACGCAGGGTGGTCACGCGGCATCACGCTACCCTCCAAGCTACCGGCCGCTACCCTCCCTAAGCGTGAAAGAACATTTAACGATGTCCGCTGCGGTTGTGGTGTCAAACTCAACAGGTATGCTGCTCGCGAGGCCAAGGATTCATTTGTCAAGGTTACAGATGACTTTCCTGAACTTGCCAAGTGAAATAGGGCCGGACAGTGTCAGGGTCCAAAAGATGTGGCTTATCCGCTAGGACGTGGGGCCAGTAGAACCCAGAATATTGAGCTCCGCAGGGAACGGACTTGCTACGAAGCCTTGCATGGACAAGGTATTTGATGTGGGCTTGAAGCCATAGATAACACAAAGGCTGCCGGTCTGCGGATGCTCCCACCGATGTCTGTCCCCACACCGGGGACGGACGCTTTCACCGAGATACGGGCGCACATGCCGCTTCCTTTCTAGCGGACTAGAGTCATGTCCACTTTGCTCACAAGCAAGACGTCCTAAAAGCAAAGCAAGTGCATGAAATGCAAGTAACCATCCGCCATCCTTTCGCCGCTGCTGGTGACTGCGGACCCCTTGGTGTCTGTGGGGGCTAGAGAACCCTTGCCGTATCAGCAAGTTGCTTCGCAAACGCTGCGGTTAAGTCCTTGGAATTTAAGAGCGTTAGCATAAAGTTCCGCATCAACACTGATCGACATGCATCCGTGAATGCACTTTGTATACAAATATATTCACTTTATATCAAGTGTTACGATGGCTCAGGAAATTTATCTGGTGGATTCCATTCCCTTTTGTCTCAATCACGACGGGAGACCTGGTCTTGAACAACGGCAGCCTCGTCACCAATAACGGCCCGGCAGTCTGGACACGTGTTAGATTCCTTAAGCCACGGAACGACACACTCCTCGTGGAACCCGTGTTTGCATGACAGGAAAACCTTGTGCATCTCGCCGATCTTCACGTCATATTGACAGATTGCGCACGTAAGCTCATGCTGTGAACCCAGGGTCTCCTCGTCGAGCGACTTTCTCGGAAGCGACTCTATCGCTTCTGCAATGGATTGCAGGCTCAATTCTCCGATGTTCCTCGTAAGCTGTTCCAGGGCCGAGAGCGTGTCGAAGTTGGGTGTCAGGTTCGATAAGCTAGCCAATAGTCTCTCAAACCCTTCCTTAAATCTTGCGTTCTCTGATAGAGGGCTGAGACGGGCATTCCAAGACCCTCGCTGAGCCTCGGCATCACCTCCAGCCGAAGAGCCCGGCTCCTGTGCGTTGCCACCACGTCCTGCGACAGCGTCACCAGGACTCGTTCTCAGCGGATGTTCACCGAAAGGTGGTGGAGGGAAGCCATCGGGGCCGCGGAAAACGTTGCGCCGGCCATATACCCCAGTCTGGTAGTCGTCTGTATCGGCCTCGCCAGAATCTGATTCGTGACCGGGCCGAGCGTCGTTAATGGAGCGGGGATCGTTCTGCGGATCGACCTATACATAGGAGTACGATTTAGTCATGGCTCTGACGCGTAATGATGCTCGCCTAGCTCTTCTCCAAATCCATATATAATCTCCGTCGCATCCCTATGGCCAGAAGTGGCGTCCGGGTGCACCCGGTTACCGAGTCGTGACGGCATCTTGCGATACTTGGCTAAGGATGATGGCTTCCTTCTGAAGATGTACGACGTGATACCCTGCGTAAGTCGTATCAGCAATACAGGCAGCGAGTCCTGTAACGAGACGCTAGGGCATGAACCTGATGACTTTACTCTGTCAGAAAGTAGTTGACTGGGTATGGACACTCCAGGGTTGTTGCAAAGTTGTCGAATGGCTCTTTGGTATCCAACAACGAGGAAAATTGCAGGGAATTTGTGGGAAAGTGTCGAACTTTGTTAATGTGCCCAAGATAGGGAGAATATGCGATCTGCGGAGCATGGAACGCCCTTTTATACGTAACACTTGTAACTAAAGAACTTGAGAGTCGTCTTCGAGCAACCTCGCTGTGCAGTCTCGTCAAACCGATGGGAGCTGACACCAAAAAGCCACAATATGGTCAGCCAATCACATCCCTAAGCGGGAACCCTCTGCGACCTCTATCGGCTATTATGCAGGCATTGCATGAGTGGGAGTGGATCGGCTAGAATCAGCCAATTAAACCGATAAGCGGGACTATGTGGGGACCACATTGTCTCTTCTGTCATCCCAGCTTGTCGGGAACCTCGAATTGGGTGGTGGTCATGATCTACAGGGGTCCCGCGATTTTGCGGATCCCGATTCTGCGGATTTCCTCGATTCTGCGGATCGTGCCACTGTTTCTTTCAAAACACCACCTAGATCTGCTATTTGACGCGATTTCACGAATTCGCAAGCGATGAAGCCATCGCCACCGCAAAAATCCACAAAACCGAGTGTTCCTGGGCCCGATTAGCCCCCCAAAAAAACCCTCGAAATGCCACCTCCGAAGGCGCCGCGAAGGCGCCGCGAAGGCGCATTACGACTGCGTAGAAGCTCGCCCTCCGAGAGCGCCGCCGCGCAGTCGACCCGCCCCGTTGTTATCAGCACCTCGGTCTAACAGGAGCCGCGCCAGCTTCCTGCTGTTGTTCCAGGCAGCCCAGTGCAGTATTCTTCGACCGTGATAGTCCTCCGCGTTGATATTGGCCGCTTTGGTAGCGAGATAAGTAGCACTGTCATTCAGCCAGTATTTTCCCACAAGAAGCAGAGGCGTCCACCGATGAACCTTTGCTTCGATGTCGGCACCGTTCTCGAGCAGCAGCTTCACCAATTCCAAACCTCCCTCGCTGCAGGCTGCGTAATGCAGCGCCGTCCATCCGTTGCGGTTGGACTTGTTGACAATCGTACCGTTTTGTAAAAGCAGCTGCACGATGTCCGTATGACACAAGCTTGCGGCCAGGGTCAGAGCAGTTGAGCCTCCGACATCGTCCTCGGCGTCGACATCCGTTCCACTCTCCAAGAGCGCGAGCACCATTTCGACGTTTCCGGTATTGGCAGCGTACCGTAGACAGCTGACCACGGTGCTCCCAGCCGACTTCTCCTGGGCTTTCTCGTCCCACATAGCCTGTACCGCGTCGCCTTGTAGCAGCTCTGTCATCTGCGCAACAATCTTGGGCCCGTCCTCCGTCCTGTCCACGAACAAGCTCGCCATCGTGTCATGCTTCCGGAGGACCGCAGCGTGAAGTGGCGTCCACCCGTCCACGTCCTCGACGTCCACTCGGGCAGCTTTCGCCAGCAACAGTCGCACAATTCCTTCCAGCCCCTGCAGCGACGCGACATGGAGGGGCGTGAGGCTATTCTCGTCTGCCGCATTGACGTCGGCGCCGGCCTCGATGAGCACTTTGGCAACCTCCTCCTATCCTTCTTGCACCGCCCGATGGAGCGCCGTTCTGCCCTCATTATTCTTGGCGTTGACGCGAGCCCCCTTCTCCAGGAGCAGCCGTGTCATTGGCACGTGCGCAATGGCCCAGTGAAGAGGAGCGTTTTGGTACGCGTCTAGACCGTTGACGTCGGCGCCCCTCTGGAGGAAGACGCGCACTGCCTCTATGTAGCCCAGGGGCACCGAGAATGTCAGCGGAGTGCTACCTTCGTTGTCCCTTCCGTCAATCTCGGCTTTCTCGCTGCTGCCGTCATCCAGAAGCATCCGGATGATATCAACGCATCCGGTCCCTGCGGCGAGGATGAGGGCTCGGTTCCCGCGCGCTCCGGGCCAAAAGTGTGGTTGAGAAGGATGCGGGCCAGCTCGGCGTATCCACCTATGGTATCCCAGTGGAGAGCTGTCCGTCCAGAGGAATCCTCTTCAGTGCAGTGAATGGTGTTGGGTGAGTGTCTCTGGTGATAGGACAAAGTTGCCCCTTTCGATGCCTGAGCCGCGACCTCGAGCAGCCGCTCGATAGGAGGGAGACTCTGCGGGAGGAGGGCCCTGAACCTGTCTGACCTGGATCCACTGTGTCGGCGTCCTAGAAACATTCTCTCGTTCGTATTAACTTCGTTCAGGATGTCGTCGATGGTGTTGACGCTGTTCAACGTCGCGAGCCGAACGCCTGCGGTCTTCTCATACTGATCGATAGCGCCTTTCCAGATTTTCGATGTCTCAATTACTCCAGCCGTTATAACAGGGCCGACGAGCCCCGGGGTGCAGGCCATCTTCGTAGACCGAGATCGGTTCGTCATGTGCGGTAGGCCGCTTATCCATAGTGTTCGGTGTTGATTTTGTCCAAAGGAGAAACTCCTGGCAGACCCCAAGCGCGTACGCCGCCAGTCGAGATTGGCCCCGCATCCCCCGACCTCTTGAACGGAAGCGTACGCGCCCAGTGATATGTCCGGGTCACCGCGACGGAAAGCATGGCCGAACCGTTTGCAGGTAAACCTTTCACGTCCTCACCAGCCACCCAGGCTGCATTTTCGAATTACCTCGAGACTCACCCAAACAAGCGCCGAGTGACTCGACTCGAACGAGAGGAGCTAATCGGATGGCTCACCAATCACCACGCCCCGCTTTCGTCGCAGAAGGAGTTCAGCCGTCGAAAGGATGTGCGGAAGACTTTCACTTGGGATCAAGATGGCCAGATGCTTGCGGCGGTTTCGAAGAACGGTGGTGAAAAGCGGACAGTCATCACCGAGGATTGCATTATCGAGGTAGTAGAACTCGTGCATACCACAAACGGCCATGCAGGATGGGACGCCACATGGAGGGATGTTAATCACTCCTACTACGGCATCATGCGAGCCGACGTGATCTTCCTGCTTAAACGGTGCGACATTTGCGTATCGAATCCTCGCAAGCGTCCAAAGGGATCTAACTCGACAAAAGCTAGCCCAGACCGCGCTGGTCTAGAGGCTTATGAGCGCCAGAATGACAAGGACCTCCTGAGTCTGGTACATCATGAGGACAGCTTTATGATCGAGGCCTTGGATATGGCGATGCCGTACGAACGGGTGGCGAAGAAGATAGTCGGGGGGTTTCGATGGGGATTGCGCTGCAGGAGCGGATCTGAACTCGGCGAGGATATTTTGGCTTCTGCGTTCTCTGAGATATCAAATCGAAATACTGGACCCGTTTGAGTCCTCATTGTGCTGCTCCATCTCTTCTCGCGCGCCCTCCATCTGCTCTTTGAGCCACTTGGCAAGACTGGAGTGCTCCAAGGGGGTCGTTCCGAATTCTTGGATTTCCACCCTCTTCAATCCTTGCAATGTACAAAGGCACTGGGTGCCTGCATCATCCTTGAAGGCATCGAATCCTATCTCCTGTATCAGGTCACTGTCAAATTGAAGAGACAAGTGCCGCAGTCGTTTGCACTGTTTCAACAACTGGATACAAGTCGACGTGCTGCGGGAGGGAAGCCTCCTGGGAAGCTGTTCGAGCCCCTGGTCTGAAGATATAACCCAATTGTTGGTAGGCTCCAAAATGCTTTCCCAAACTAAGTGCAGCGTTTCGATGTTCTCGCGTCCGATTTGACCAGCTGCAATGAGGAACTTGATAGCGCTTTCGAGGTTATGTAGGCAAAACGTGGTGCGGCGATAGGCGAAGGGCAGCGCTTCTCTGTGTATCTGCTTGTTGACCCGAAGAACCGATGACGCTTTGCTCAATGGGTAGTAGAAGCCGCTGGGGTCCCCTATACCCCGAGGGAAGTCAATGTGTTCGAAATCTCCGTTATCATGTATGTGCATACCATGAAGCTGTGTCGGCACAATAGCCCGACGACCTTCCGATGATTACATTGTCAAACTGTGACTGTTGTAAAGATCCAATCGTCGCCTGGCGATCTCGAAGGGACTCTCGCAATCACATATTCTCACTACATCAGCACTGCTGACACTACACTGAGAGCTCAAATGATTGCCCGGTGAAAGGACTACAGGGTAGCAGTTAATGATATAATCCGCCGTTTTTGCCCGACATGTGATTGTGCCTCTCTTCGCGGACGTGGCTCATAATACTAGTACTCCAAGCAGGCCGAACATGTGAACCATAATGGACAACCAAATGATGTCACGCCTGGGCAATGACAGGGGAGCATGATGCCACAGCCGAGAGCCAGCCCTTGCTGCTGGTTGCAGTGGCTTAGTGCCAGGCCTTCTGCATTACGCTGAGCCCAGACGCGTGTAGTGTCAAAGCATCTTGGCAGCGTGTGAAACCCTGAGGAAATGCGGGCGGTCTGGCAATGCGGGACAAGTCGTAGTACACTGAGGGGCCAGCGCGGACCCGAGCATCCTCGTTATCTAGACTCTCTGCCGCAAGCCAGATGTGGATATGGGCAGTGGGCGACCTGTCCCCAAGGCCTTTTCATGTCAGAGATTATGGCATGGTCCAGCATGATCCTGGGAAGGCACCGCTGTGATACATCCTGGAGGGACAGCTTCCTGTTCAGTGCGCTCTCGTGCGACTTGCCTGCAAACGATCCCGGGAGGGTCTGATTTTGTCGAGCCAGGATAGCACACGCAGATAGCCTGAAGCCACCGAAGTCTTGCCCAGCCTGCTGCTTCATTTGGCTTAAATATCTGTCTAAATACCCTTAAGTCCTTGTAACGAACAGCTCCTTAATTAATATACAATTATCGATTGATGAAACATGGGCCTTGGCGCTGAATCTATGAAGCAAGTGTGACGACTTGATGGTGGAAAAACAAGTGCGACAAAAATTCCTCCAAGTGTCCTGGGCAACGAGACTTGTGCAGGACAAATAGGCCGTTTCCGACAAACGACTGAACGACATGTCATGGAACCTCATTGCCATCATACACGAGATGCTGTCGATTGGTGCCCTGACTCGCCCGTGGGGGTGTCAAGCAAACTGAACGTGGTGAACGACTCGTTGACGGCAAGCCAATTTTGGCCCTCCGCGAGACGAGCTGCTATCCACAAGATCCGCTCGCGTCTCTCATCAGTCATCGAAGCGACTTCAAAATACTTTTCATCATCGTCGATCTTGTCGTCCGAGAAGAAGTCATCTGGGTAATAGTTGCTTGTCCACGTCAGCCCCTTCATGGCGAAATCTTCGGGAAGGGGGCGTGGAGTTGCCCTGCCGGCAGGCAAAGGGAACTCCTTGCTCTGGAGGCGCTCGTGGGTGCGGTATGAGAGAAGCATCGAATTGAGCCGCTCACAGACCCGTTCCCAAGGGAACAATCTTCCGACCGTACCAATAACGTTGTTGTACTGAGCCACATGATAAAGAAACACCAGGGACACGTGGAAGAACGGAAAGACGCTGTCGTCCCCACACCGCTTCAGAACAACGTCTGCCGTTCCATTTGCCAATCGTAGAGCATCCTACACGTCTGGGTCCGATGCAGTGTCGTTAGGCGTGGCTTCCTGTTTGAGCTTTTGTGCTTCGGCGGGTTCAGCCTTTTGCTGAAAAGCTTTCACAAGGAAATTGTCCTCCTTCCCGTAGCCCATGATGGCACAGCTGTTGGCCACAGCCGTGTAATAGCCAGACTCCATCCAGCGCCTGCCGATTTTGGTGATGTGGTTGTCCAGCGCAGCAAGGAACCGATTCGTTGAAGACTCGAGCTCCCCCCGAGATTGTCCAGTAAACAAGATCCCATGACACTTGACGTACTCCGCTTCGATCGACGCGAACTTGAGAGCCTTGCTTGCTCTTAGACTTACTGTCAAGTGTCCAGTAGCGCCTCTTGACACCCTCCCAGTCACCCTTGCCCTCGTCGCCGAGCCTCTTCATATCAACGTCAAGCTCCTGCCACTCCACGTCCAAGCCCGCATCGCTCAGATGCATCTCGGCGACCCGCGTATACACGTCGTAGCAAATCTTGCGATCCGCACCGAGTCCGTTGACAAGAGTCTCGTGAATGTGGAAGGTGACAAGGGCGGCATCTGTTCCAACAAGGAACTCGATAGTGGGACCGGTGAGGCTTAAATCTATTATTAGCTCGAATGATCGGCTTCAAGGAGAAGGATGGTCCTGTAAATTACTAACTCAAATCGACCTTTGTAGTCTTTTGACTGCCTTGTTATGCCTCGTTTTCTCTTTTTGTATGTATCTAGTGTGGTAGTGATCAGTTGTTAGGTTGAACAGGAAATAACGCACTAGTGTAGGTTGCTGGAACCCCCCCCCCCCCCCCCCCCCCGGGCCCCCCGGGCGACGTTGACGACGAGGACGATGATGATGACTCTGACTCTGACGATAGCGAAATTGAGTACGATGACGACAACTACTCCAGCGTCATACCCTCGACTCTAGTCCCTCGACTTACACGAATCGTGATTTCTGCGAGCTAGCACCTTCTAAACTTCTGCAAAAGCATGAAGGGCACGGCAAGGAGAGAAAGGCAAGGAGAGCAAGGGTAAGGCTAGCAAGGGCAAGGAGCGCAAGAGCAAAGAGTCCAAAGGCAATGACAGCAAGCGCAGCAGGTAGATCCCTGTTCACAGCTCCTCAAGCAGACCTAGAAACATATAAATGAGGGCCTGTTACCGCCTACAGGCTGACAAGACCATGAATCTGTAAGCCAGCCGATATTGTGTAGACTGCGCTCAGCAAACTTGCTTGCAACTTCATTTTCCTACTTCCATGCATAAGAATTCGAGCCATCATTCGTGCGAGTGATCAAGTGATTTCGCGCAAGTTCAGGGCAATGGCACTCCGATTTTCGTGCCGGCGGTTTGATACGCTGCTCTGCCGAAGCTGCGCGAGGGAGTGAAAGCCGAGCATGCTACCGGAACGCTCTCAGCTCTCGTACGGCACGAGGAGTTCTTCTACATTGTTTTACTTCTGAGAAGTGGCCCTCCTCCTTGTCAATCTCACCGCTGACTTCTGACTGAGCGTTGGTCGCTTCAGTCTAGTACCGGGAGCTGCGGCTGACTCTGCGGACTTCCCTGGCATTGGCCTCGGGGCGGACTTGATAGACGGCTGGTGGCGCACGAGGACTTCTGCCGCGAGACGGCACCCGTTCCGGCCCCGTCTGTCGTGCGTAGTATACATCGCGGATTTCTGTGGGCCGCCGTGGACTCCGGTGGGAGTGTCGCGACCGCGAGCGATGCGTCTCGTGGTGATACGGGTAACTGTAACGACGTGTTCGACTGGTCTTCTCGTGGCTGGGCTCGTAGGTTGTACCCCAGGTTTCCGGCCGTTCCCAGTTGAGACAGGAGCGGATGATCCACAATAGAAGGAGGAAGCCGACGATGGAGCCGATGACTATGCCCGCGATGGCACCGCCTGACAAAGTGGAACTGTCATTAGTGACGACTGTGCCAGTGGTCACCACTGTCGTGGTGGCCTGGCGGGCCAGGACCACCTTTGTGGCAGCCTGGATTGTGGTTGTTGTTGGCTCGACCAGGCGCTCAACAATGAGGTCGTGGAGGGCGCCGGGATACTGTAATGGCGCCATGCTGACTTGTGCTCGGTTGCGTAAATGTTGCGAATAGTAGTCGGAGCTCTCCAGAGCACGTCGTGGCGAATTCACGAGGGGCCAGAGGACCTAGTCACGGATGAGCGGGCGACGTAGAGCAGTGGATTTTGTGGGCAGTGCCAGAGACAATAGAAGTCCATAGAGCATTCCCCCCTCCATGACGACGGGAGCCACGGGCCAACTCTATTTCTACTGTGCCTTGAACTGCGGTGTTGTACTGGCTGCAGTGCTGGTTCGAGGTGTGCGAACGAGGACGACATGGCGTGTGGATGCCATGTGCGTGAGGGCACTAGCGATGGCGCCAGGCTTGATGGGTTAGGGCGGACTAGGCCTAAGGAGGAAAGAAGGAGGGCACAATTGGCATTGTCTCGTCACAACGACGTGCAGGAAACCGGGTACTCAAACGACGAAGCCAACCAACCTGAGTATGCGCAGTTGGGGTGGTGCGCTGGTACGCACCGTTGGGGCACCAACTCTGGCGCTGACCATGGGAAAGTGGGCCCCAGTGCCGCCCACTCCTGACTGCTGGGGCTGCGTTTGGCTAGAAGCGGCGATGGTGGCCAGTGGCCACTTGGGCACTTCGAGCCAGACCCGACAAGGTTCCTATTGTGCTACAACTACTATCGCCCACGAGCGCTTCACGAGCCCGTCACGACCTTTTGCATCAACGCCAACCAGCACCACTCTGGGCGCCACCTCTACGCAGTCACCAAGCCGTCGATTTCACTCCAGCGTTCACGATGTGGATTGTCAACTGGTGTAAGCACTCCCGCTGCCGCCGCACATACACCCTCCTCGGACGATCGCCGCCAGACGCTGACCTTCTGTCTGACCCTTTCACAGTCTGGGACGTTCTGTCCAGTCTTGGACTCATGAACAAGCATGCGAAGCTGCTGTTCCTCGGCCTTGACAACGCCGGCAAGACCACACTGCTGCACATGCTGAAGGCAGGTCCCCTCCCCCCTTCGACCCTGCGCTGCTCTCCCCACCGCCGACCGCTTCCGACAGCCTCTTCATCCCGCCATCGCATCGCAATACGCCATGCTAATAGAATAATCAACATATAGAACGACAGAGTCGCCATCCTGCAGCCCACTCTGCACCCTAGTAAGTCCACTACGGTCCCGCGATCTTGAGGTCAAACCTCAAGGTCACTCAGCACGTGGCCAGCTGCTTACCATGAACCCAGCATCTGAGGAGCTTGCCATTGGCAATGTCCGCTTCACCACCTTCGACTTGGGTGGTCACCAGCAAGGTATGTTGTCGACGGTCCCCCCGGCCCCTGTACCCCCCGCCCTTTGTGCTTGGATGCGCCATGCAGCTAACGATACACGCTTCTACACAGCCCGCCGCCTGTGGAAGGACTACTTCCCTGAGGTCAACGGCATCGTCTTCCTCGTCGATGCCAAGGACCACGAGCGCTTTGTCGAATCCAAGGCTGAGCTCGACGCTCTCCTCGCGATGGAGGAGCTTTCCAAGGTGCCCTTCGTCATCCTCGGCAACAAGATTGACCACCCCGATGCCGTCTCCGAGGACGAGCTCCGCCACCAGCTCGGCATGTACCAGACTACGGGCAAGGGCAAGGTCCCCTTGGAGGGAATCAGGCCCATCGAGGTCTTTATGTGCTCTGTCGTCATGAGACAGGGATACGGTGACGGTATCCGCTGGCTCTCGCAGTACGTCTAGGGGACCTGCCTCTGGGCGAGCTGTCGAAGCAACGACCACGTACAGCAGGACGCGAGGGGGGGAGAGGAGGACGGGGAAGCGGCCACTCAAGGAAACGCGAGGTCGATATAATGAGAGACGTGAAGCCAAACGACATAGCGACGTTGATCGTCTCGCAGTGAGGATTTGTACTTTTGTTCATGGAGTCACGGGTAGAGGATACTGATTCAATACAAGCTCCCTGTTATACGCTCATGGAGAGTCTGCCTATTTTGATCGAGACGACCTTTGGTCGTTGTTGCAAGCTACCAAATGTGTCTGAAACATCCATTCGTGATATCTATCGGTTTGGGATGTCTAGAGTTCGTCACGTGTGAGTTCATTCTCGAAGATGAAGCTGCCAGGAATGGGATCTCTTCCAGCCGGCCTATCTTGTCCACTGCCACAACTACTCAATCGACAGTGATGTGCCGCGTTCATCCTATCGGCGAAGCTGGACCATGACTCTGGCTACTTGTTCTGCTGGTGATCCTGCAGAAGTTCGAGTCGAGTCTCGTTTCCCCCCCGCCCCCTTGTGATATCAATTAGTGGTCTCTGGCCACTATAGCTCGGCAATATTCAAGACTGGATTGACGTCTGCTATTCACTGTCTTGAGCTCCTTGGCGGCATCCAACAAGGCTCTGATGATCCCACGAAATTCAACAACTTCAGTTGGTTGAGGGATGTCTGACCCTTGTGGCCCAATGGTGACTGTGCAGTTAGTTGCACAGGAGGACCTCGGGAGGGGCCTCTCTTTCAGCCAGGTGTGCGGGCCACTTCTGGAGGGCCCACCCGCGTGCTGGGGGGCGCAACGTCATTCCACTGCTTGGCCAGCCAGCCCGAACCACTTGCATCGCCTTAGGAGCGTCCGTAGTAGGGTCATGCGGTTTGCGAGGTGTGGTTTAGGGCGGTGCTCCAAACCTTCTGCAATCACCACGTCCTCGTACTCCCAAGGCAGCTGCTAGAAGGTTCCCAGAAGCAGCCGGACTGGTTGTTTACAATACTCGACGACAACAACGCCACAGCCACGCTCTACCGCCGTCGCAATCGGTTGGTCTTGGAGCTCAACCACTCGCCGCTGATTCCATCATCACATGTCGTGGTAGCTTACTGGGACAACACCACAGCCCTGACCACCACGAGCGAGACCGCATAGACAGCCGTGTAACACGAATCGCGAGCGACCTGTATATTGAACGACTCGTTCCTGCATCCTCGGTATCTCAGAGGTCAAGTCTTCACACCTCTCTAGACTCACCTTGCGCGACAAGCGCAACCACTCAGCACCACTCATATTCGACCACAACATGAACTATACACGCTTTCAATAACAATGGCAGACGAAAAAGGTCACTCGAGCCTGCCGTTTCTCGGCGCCAGCCGAAAGAACAACTACGGCTTCAAGCAGGCCGACTTCGACTATACACAGCTCCCTGACTGGGACACCAACTTTCTACCCGAGGAAGATGTCGCGGCTTTCGCGCAGGCCCTGAGCCCCCCCGATCTTGCCCACCTCGCCTCCCCAGACGACGACTCCTCAATCCGTAGCCCCCGCAGTCCCAGTCTACCGACAGCTTCGAGCTTTGACGGGGTCACCAGGCGAGCAACCTCGGTCGCCTCGGTCGACTTTGGCCAACAATCCCCATCGACAGAGAACCACCCCGCCACCCGCCGGGACAGCAATGCCGACAGCTTGTTCATCACAGCCCAAAACGACTGGGCGCCCGTCAATCAGAAGGTGCCGCGGCGGCGCAAGCGTAGGCGGCCCGGGATCGGCGGGCGGACGGTGGACGAGACACGCGAGGGCTACCTCTACAGCCTGCTAAAGTAGCCGTTCCTGCTAGTTGTAATCTTAAATGCGGTGTTGGGGTGGTTGGGACCGCTACTCACGTGACTTTAGGCACGGCTGTGGAAAAATTTCCACGCCCGTGGAAAAGCTTCCACGCTCGTGGAAAACTTCCCCAGCGCCCCGCATTTCGCGAACCCCCTTTTGGCCAAAGCGACGTCTCTCAATCATCTTTGCGTCTTCATTCTCCGTGTTATCACTGCCTATGGAGGCTATGAAGTATTTTGCCCTGGGCCGGGCTAAGATCGACTATAAAAGTGACGGCGCCCCTCCATGCGGTTGGACATTTCCTTCATTCGAAGATTTAGAACGGATCGTGTCAGTGTTTGCCAGCCGACATGTATACAAGGCCAGAACGAAGGAGAAGAGGGAGAGGACCCGATTCTATGTCTGCGGATATAAACAATGTCCCGTTGCGTGGTCGACAAGTTTCCTCCGCTCTTAGATTCGCTTGAGGTGGTCCGCATACAATATTCAACCACGATCAGCCACAACCACCAGCTTACCGCTCGTCCGGAGCCAAAACCCCTTCCAGTCGATATGATCTGGCTCGGAGTCCCATTTGGCCCCCTGGTTGAGGAGGGTCGATCTGACTCCGCTATACCATTAGGTGTTCCGATGTCTCAGGAGGGGAAGAGGCTAAAGTCGTCTGCTCTCGATCTAGTAAATGTCGAGCCGCATTTCAAACACCAAGAACATGACGATGACGAGACCGTATGGGTCTATGAGCCGTTGATCATGGCGATCTCGGCAACCATCAAGAACCCATGCCTTACGATGTCGGCGACTTTAACATGGAGTGCAGACTTGTTCCGAGACCTTCGCGAACAGCTTGCCGATGCCACATCTGAGAGGAAGAAGCTCGTTCTTCTCGGATGCATGTCAACGCCCATCCTGGTGCCGGAAGGGCCCTCTTTCGATGAATATTGCGAATATATGAAACTGTTTATGGACAACAATGCTTTTATTAAAGCATATCCTACCACGGAGGAGGCAACATTCCAGGCAAGCAAAGTTGGCGATCTTAGAATCCTCGACGAGTGGGCCGCAAAATTCGACGGCCAAGGAATGAGCTGGCTCGCATACCGACCCATAACGTGCGATGGTGGGCTATCGGCGACGTGTAACCTGCCACCCTCTCATGGTGGCCGCATGGTTATCAAGCCGGCACATAGCAGCAGTGGAGAGGGAGTCAAGCTTGTTAAAGTCAGCAATCGCAAGGGACTGAAGTGCCGAATCCCCGGGAACAAATGGGATGCCGATATTCAGCCCAGGAACCATCTCTTCCACCAAGAGTATGTCGACTCATTAGTCAAATTTGGCGAACTTCGGGTCTGTATGGTGCGTGATCTATCTCAAGCGGCTATAGACGGTCTCATTCCCCCCAGGTAAGATCATTAGTATCACCATCACCAGACCAACCACTTCTGCCGGCAAGGTTCAATTCTCGGATATGAATCAGAGTCCATTCAGTCACGAAATATTTGGGGAAGGAGTTGGGGATGAGCACGCTCAAAAGCGCAAGTATCATGAACTGAAGCAGTTCGCCTCTCTGTGGTTTGCCATTCTTTTTAGGCTTGCCGATTTTGAACCTGGTCTTGCCTCACTTAAGGATGGCGTACGTCTCGACATTGGCATCTCAGAAGTCGCAACCGATGGGCGATTTTTCATTAATGAAGTCACACGATTGTGGAATGCGTCAAGCTTTTCAGAGGGGAACTCTACTAACGTTCAAGAACAATGGGGCGAAGCTATTGGCCATTCGTGTACACAGCCTCGATGTTGGCAGCAATACCCCGAGCTGTTAGAGACTCTTGGGACAGAAGGAAGTGAGGTGGGCTTACCTGGACGCCCCGCGAAGCGACAGCGGCCCGGATAAAGACGTACTTTCAACATCTCGTCTTGCTGGTTATTATCAATTCTTTATTCGTCTCCATTGCTTTCCTACTATATTCAATCAATCGGGCTTATACTTGCCGCACGGAGCTAAGCCGCAATGCGAAGCTGTGCTGCTTTTTCTACTTATCCTGGCCAAGTCTATTAGCGTACGACCATCCTCGTCGCGGTTATCAATGTCGGCGCCGCTATCTTGCAGTTTCTGCATAACGTCGTCACGCCCCCAAGATGTCGCCCATGACAATGGAGTCTTCCATCAATATCTCGGCTATCCACCTGAACGCCTCTCGCTAGCAGCAGATCTATAATGCTGATGTATCCCTTTTCGGCAGCTAATGATATCGGCGTCCGACCATGAATGTCTTTACTGTCGGGCTCTGCGCCACTGTCTAGCAGCAGCCGCACGACGGCTTCGGCCCTGTTGTAGACAGCCCATGCGAGCGGTGTCCGACCAAAGGAGTCTCTTTCGTCAATTCTGGCGTCTCTATCGAGCAGCAGCATCACATTCCGCTCGCATCCCATGCCGGCAGCCCATGAGATCGGTGTCCGACCGGTCTCATTTGCACGATCAACCTCAGCGCCGTTGTTGAGCAGTAGCAGCACTACCTCGTCGTGCGGATTGCTAGACGCGCATGAGAGTGGCGTCCGGCCGGCCCGATCCGGGTAATCTACCTCGGCGCCCTTGTGAAGCAGTAGCTGCACAAGATCTGCGAATCCGTTTTCAGAGGCACAAGCTAATGGTGTTCCCACGTTACCACGAAAGTTGATATCAGCACCTCTTTCTATTAGTAGCCGCACCGCCTTTGTATGCCCTTCGTTGACAGCATACATGAGCGGCGTGAACGCAGGCATCAGCATCGTCATAGTACCATTTGTGGCACTAATTAGCGATCTGGTCAGACGTGCAGCTGGTCTCGGGCTAGACTGTCAGCAGTGGCAGCCAGCACAGGCAACCGGGCGAGAGGAGAAGCCGCGGGTGTCACGGCTCGTCTTCGTCAGTGCAGATCAGGTCAATAGCACAGAGTTCTCGACTTATACGGACTGGCTGCGAAGCCGGGGTCTGCTCAAGCGGTTCTTTGTCGACGAGTGCCATACGATTATTATGGACGCTAGCTATCGAAAGCGGCTTACGGAGCTGAAGTGTATCTACCGGTACGGCTGTCCGGTCATCTTACTGACAGCTACACTACCGGTGCGGCTTGAGGCTTGGTTCCGCCAGATAATGCTTGCAGGGGACGCCGAAATCATCCGAGCAAGGACCGACAAGAAGAACATCAGCTATAACGTCATGCAAGTCACGGGACCAGGTCGGAGCGCAGTCGAGGACGAGGTCGTGAAGCATGTCATCCGACTGACCGGCCGCATGAGCGGGAGGCAATAAGGCGTGATCTACAGCCGGTCCAAAGCAAACTGCACACGGCTGGCGGAGCTGATCCGATGCGGGTACTACCACAGCGACATGAGCTTGTTTGGATTACGCGGCGCTCCAGAGACGACCGCACGGCGGGTATGTGGCATGCGGCTCGCCATCGCTGAAGCTTCCATGGCCCCCAGGAAGCCTCTGAGGGCGGCCAAGCGATGTTCCAGAGCCTGTCGCCATGAACGCAGAATCGTCCCCTGCAGCCGGATTACTTTTCAATCCAAGTCGCGCCACACCAGGCGGCCAATTGGGAATGAGCGGCCATGCAACCTTGACCGCACGGGCTGGACAGCTGAACATTGATTCGGCTATGACATAATATCGCTGACAGACTTTGGGACAAGCGCGAGTATGGTGGGTATGGAGGAATTGATAGCGGGGGTTTCACGCCAAGACTCTAGAGCTAGGTCATACTTTCTGTCATTGATGGCGTCGGAAATGCAGGCTAGAGCCGATCTTGCATGTAGATCGGTCGCTCATACCACGGCCAGTGCCGCGATCTCGTCGTCGGCAGTCGTGCCTACTTCGCGGGACGATTCTCGTTGAAAACCTCCACCCATAATCAGACCCTAGGACCACGGCAGATCACTCATAACGAAATACCCCTTTCCCCCACATTCGATTTTCATAGAAATCTCTCGTGGTGACTTGGTTCCTGATTGATTGCAAGCTCTAGAGTCCTGCTCGGTCGCCCAGGTGCGCCCCGCATCAGTGTTGCCCCACTCGTTGTACTGGATCAACAGTCTGGCTTGGGCGCCACTCACGTACTGTACCAGACGAAGAACAGAAAATATTAAGGATTTTGAAATCGATATGATCGACAATTTCGTAGTGCACTTGACGATGCGAAGATACTACTCATATACTCTTTGAGGCTCTCGGTGGCCGGCCGACGATATTATTGTGCAGTTTGTGCGGCACGTCGAGGAGCAGTACAGCAGAAGAAAAGCCCGAACCAACTTCCCCAGCGGATGTAGATAGACAGCCTAATCACTTCAGCGAAAAGCTCTTCCATGTGCTTCGCAAAAGCCGGGAAGTTCAATGCTTGTATCTAGCCCATGCCAAGATCACGCCATGATAATTTGAAAGGACCTCCCAACTCGCAGATTTTGAAGCTGTACCCTGATTGATTGATTGATAACTTAAGCCTGTGTGCTTCAAGTGACGAGAAGGATTTTCGTGATCCATTTCCGGGTCACGGGGAATGTGATCGCCTGCATCACGTCCAAAGCATATAGTAAGAGAAAATGCTGGATACCGTCAAGATGCGCCCGGATGCTGAAGGGGTTCCTAAATGCTCTCTAGGGAACATCGTAGAGTTAGGCCAATATTTTCAGCTCGCGTGACGTATGGAGGCGCGAAACTAAGGCGCTAAAAAAGAAGCCGCCTCAACAATTAAACCCAAAGTGGGCATTGTCTCCACCTGTTGATTCACTGATACAGAAAGTACTTGACGTCGGTCGCGGAACAGGTATGTTTCCTCCTCATGTTCTCACAATTGGCGCACATAGCAGCTTACTCGTCCAGGTATTTGGGCAATGTGAAGAATGAACGTCTAACTTGATGCCCTGCGAGGCCGAGCTCATATCTTTCAGTGATTTTGCAGACCACCATCCTCATATTGAAGTGATCGGCCTGGACATCTCCCCGCACCAGCCACACCGGATTCCTGTAAATCTGAAGTTCGAGATGGATGGCATCACACAGGGGTGGACATATCCCGCCGACACATTTGACTACATCCACATGCGCTGGCTGGTGGGCTCAATAAGCGACTGGATCACTCTCTACAAGGAGATCTTCAAGGCTCTCAAGCCAGGCGGCATATTTGAACGCAAAGAGTCGTCCTGCCTGATTCAGAGCGACGACGACTCCGTCGGCCCGAATACTGCACGAAATCTCTGGCGCTTCTATACGGCAACGTCTTGTCTTCGGGGTTTCGACAAGTTTCCGTCCTTCACGCCCGCCGATTGATCTGTTAGATATTGCCACTTGTCCCAAGTCATGAAAAACACGCCCACTGCTCAGTACACCCAACGCCCGAGGGTAATTTCTAGATACAGACTACTCTCAGCGACTCGCATCCTTAGGGTATACGTCCCCAACTCCAATAGACTTCTCCACCGACATAGCAACGCGAGATAATTGGGATCTTCTCCCGAGGACCGATGGCATGATACCAGCTGGATATACGCGTCTGAATGTTCTGCGCAACAGCGTTAGAAATTCTTGAGCTCACGATAAACAATTGTCAACATTTCACACGAGGCTGACATTAGATGCCTAACATGAAAGCCGCCTAGAGCTCGTAGGCTCAAATAGCCGATCCTGTTTATTTCAACGACATGTTTGGATTTTGTAGCCATCCATGTTAAGCTGTGCCTCGTGGCCGAAGACCATTCAGTTCTTGCCCTGAGGTGGCAGCCGACTTTACGTGCCCCACAGTGGAGTCATGATGCTGCTGCCACCCATTCGCTGGTGAGCTTAAATCGACCTCCCAATTCGAGGCTGAATGAGAGTCATTCTCAAAAGCTTTAGCCAGTAACTCCGGCTTGTACTCCGATTAGAGAATGCATTTATATTATACAGGTCCTCTATAGTGTGCAGTCCCTTCATCTATGCATGGCCAAACATACTGTTATCGACAGCGAGCAGTCATTAAATGATAGCGGAGCTGTGCCGCAGATAGGCGGATCGTCATTCTTGAAAGGACGTCAGGAGGCGAAGTCCTCGCACCAGCATGAGACAACGGCCGCAGGCTCGCCGCAGATTTATCATCTCCTGAGGTGCTTTGGATCGGTCGGCTTTTTTTCACTATGCTAGGCTGTGTTTCTGTGGCTACGTACCTGGCCTGGCTGTTATGCTCGGATCCTCGTTGATTCCCATTGATCCCCATCGAGAGACAGAAGGATGCAAAGCCAGTTATGCGTTTATGCTCCATCGGCTAGACCGTGTTTGGTCAAAACCCTGTCGCATCTGGCCCCGCCCATCGTCTGACCCATGGCTGGAGCGATTTGTCTGTAGTCGACGCCCCGGCAGAAACCGCCTCCACTACGCTCTTCCCGAGGTCATGGGAACTTCGACATGAGCCCGCCGTCATTTCCATTCCGTTGGACACCAACACCCAAGCGCTCACAAGCACGACCGCGTCGGACATTCCCTTACTGACGTTGGATAGAGTACGCCTCTGAAGCCCGGGACAGACCATCGCGCGTTACAGAACCCGCTTCCACTTTGGGTCTGTCTGACCGCATCCTTGACAATGGCATCCACATTCACGCCGAATCCGCATTTTTCGCCGACAAGCTCGCTACGGAGGAGAGCCTCGCCGCCTTTCGCAACCTCGCCTTCCCCAAGCAGCTCACGGCCCTCGAGCAGTACTTGGGCGCTCAATTGACGGAGCCCAAGACTGCTCTGCTCGCCGTCGGCCGCAAGTCGGGACAATGCGAGGCAGGAAACACGCAGAAGCGCCAGGCCTGCTGCCGCTCAACCTACTACGAGCCAGCCGAGGCCGAGCGCCAGCCCTTCGTGGCTGTCCAGGATGTCTTTTGCAGCAAAACCATCGCAAGCCCGCCAAGCAGCTGTTCCTGCACATCGATGAGTCTCTCGGGCGAGGCCTTCGCGTCATTGCCTATCACACCAAGAATGACTACGTTTGGTCCCCTGGTTCGGTCATCCCTTCAAGCCAAATCCTGCCTATCATGTATTTTAGCAGGTAGTGACTCAAGTCGAACGAGAGGAGCTAATCGGATGGCTCACAGACCACCACACCCCGCCTTCGTCGGAGAAGGAGTTCGGCCGTCGAAACTATGTGTGGAAGACTTTCACTTGGGATCAAGATGGCCAAATGCTTGCGGCGGTTTCGAAGGGCGGTGGTAAGAAGCGGACAGTCATCATCGAGGATTGCATTATCGAGGTAGTAGAACTCGTGCATACCTCAAACAGCCATGCAGGATGGGACACCACATGGAGGGATGTTAATCACTCCTCTTAACGCATCATGCGAGCCGACGTGATCTTCCTGCTTAAACGGTGGGACATTTGCGTATCGAATCCTCGCAAGCGTCCAAAGGGATCCAAATTGACAGAAGCTAGCCCAGACCGCGCTGGTCTAGATGCTTATGAGCGCTAGAATGGCAAGGACCTCCTGGGTCTGGTACATAGCTTCATGATCGAGGCCTTGGACATGGCGATGCCGTAGGGGCGAACAGGTGTTGAAGAGAATAGACAGGGGGCGGATCTGACTCGGCGAGGATCTCTTGGCTTCTGCGTTCTCTGAGATATCAAATCGAAATACTGGACGCGTTTGTGTCTTCATTGTGCTGCTCCTTCTGTTCTCGCGCGCTCCTCCATCTGCTTTTTGAGCCACTCGGCAAGGTGCTCCAGGGAGGTTGGTTCGGCAAGACTAGAGTGCCCCAGGGGGTCCCGTTCGGATCCTTGGATGTCCACCCTCTTCACCCCTTGCAATGTACAAAGGTCCTGGATGCCTGCATTATTCTTGAAGGACTCGAATCCTCTCTTCTGTATCAGGTCACTGTCAAATTGAAGAGACAAGTGCCGCAGCCGTTTGCACTGTTTCAACAACCGGATACAAATCGACCACATGGGAAGCTGTACGAGCCCCAGGTCTGAAGATATAGCCCAATTGTTGGTAGGCTCCGAACTGCTTTCCCAAACTGAGTGCAGCGTTTCAATGTTCTCGCGTCCGATTTGGCCAGCTGCCATGAGGAACATGGTAGCCCTTTTGAGGCTATCGAAGCAAAATGTGATGAGGCGAAAGGCCAAGGGCAGCGCTTCTCCGCGTATCTGCTTGTTGACATGAAGAACCGATGACGCTTTGCTCAATGGGTAGTAGAAGCCGCTGGGGTCCCCTATACCCCGAGGGAAGTCATTGTGTTCGAAGTCTTCGTCGTCTACTATTGTCCATTTCACTCCACGCAGCGCGAATTTGTAGATGATTTGGCGAATCTCCGAGGGTAGAGCGCTTAGAAAGCCAGGGGCGGGGTCAGGGGTAGAGTTTTGAGTTGCTGCCATTTGCTTATGGAGCTAGGAAAAATATGCATCGTCAGCTTGGTGTTAAGTTACAGCCGCATTGCACGATCACGAACGCGGAGAGGACACTGACCTCCGCCGTAGACAGCACGTTCGATGCCTGGGCCTCGGAAAAGGGAATGACAAGGCCCAGTCCGAACTTGTAGCAAATTCTAATGAGGACTCCGTAGGAACCAGGACCGCGATCATGGCTAAGTATGACGGAATCGCCGTTATACACCACGGTCTGGTGAGCATTTTGTCATTAGCTTGCCTCAATAGATTCAATTTGCTAAGCTTACCTCGCGGTTGTCGTTGGAGACGGAGTCCCAAACGGAGAATAGGCGCGGCGTGAGCATTCCGCTCGAAGCCGTTGGGCCGCTCGACAAGGCCTCATTCAGGCTCAGCCAAAATCCCTTCTTTTCCTCCATCGTCTGGAGGGGGCTACGTTTGCCATGCTTATGCCAGTGTGAACATAATTCGAACAAAAGGATGAACCAAAACAAACATACAAAAGAGGTTGTGCTAGTACCACAGCAGAAGCGTTCAGCGGAGTTACGTTTCTTGAAAGGCCAGTTGAATCTCATCCACACCTCCACCACAGTATTTTCTTGCCCCTACTGGACGGGCATCCGTCACCCCATATTCCAGAAATGCTTCTGATGGTGGATCTCCTTGTCTGACCAACCAGGCCCTAATTTCCTCGGGGCGGGGCAAATTTGCGATGGAAAGGCTGGTCACAAGCCGGTCCTAAGCAAAATGACAAGGCAGATTGAGAAAAGGGGCAACTCTACTAAGCCAACAGCTTGTTTAACGTAAGAACAAGGGAATCCTTGATCAGAGGAACCTTCGAACAGAAAGTCCTGAGTACAGGAGCAAGGCAGATTCGGGAAAGGCGGCGGTCTCATCCATGAACCACCACATTGTCCGATCATTGCAGCAGGGAATCCTTGATCACATGAGCTGTCTGGGTGGTCACGAACAGGTGTTTGGTAAAGGAGCAAGGCAGATTGAGAAGGCCTTATGCAAGAGCCACCGATGTGTCTGAACCGTTCTGCAAGGGGACCCTTGAGCACATGAGCTATGCGTGGCCATGAATTGGTCCTCCGTAAAGGGGTAAGGCGGATTCAAGGAGGCAGCCTGTCTCATGCAGAAGCCACCATCTCGTCTTACCGGTTCAGCAATAGGCCGTTGAGCACAGGAGCCTGCAACTGGCCATGAACCAGTCATATGTGAAGGGATAGGCAAATTTGGGAAAGGGTCGGTGTCATGCAGAGATGTCATCTTATCTGACCATTCCAGCAAGGGGACGTTGAGCTCAGCAGCCCCTGAATGGTTAGAACCGGTCCTTTACGAAAGGGCAAGGCAGATTTGGAAAAGGAGGCGACGTCATGCAGAAAATATCATCTCATCCGACCACTCCAACAAGGGCCCTCGAGCCGGCAGCCCCTGAATGGTCACGAATCGGTCCTGTCGAAGCAAAAAGGCAGATTTGGAAAAGGGCCGGTGTCCTGCATGAGATATTAGCCCATCTGATCATCACGGCCAAGGGACCGTGAGCACAGCAGCCCCTGAATGGCCACGAAACGGCTTTGTGCGAATGGCAAGGCAGATTTGGAAAGGGGGCCGGTGTCCAGCAGGAGGCATCAGCTCATCTGACCATTCCGGCCAGGGGACCATGAGCACAGCAGCCCCTAATGGCCTGTCTCGCCAGCCTCGGTGAGCCCAGAATGGTTATCATTACGAGACGCGTGTCTAGATAGTTCGCTCCAAGCTTGGTCTTACAAGTCTCAGGAGCAACAGAACCGGCACGCATGGCCACGCCCGCATTCCTGTCGTCCCGGTTGTTGCCACCAGCACTAGTTGAGGCAGCAGGCGATATCTCGGAGCCTTTTAGGTCCAGCCGCCGCCCGTCCTCGCAGACCCAGGACTGGGGCTGAGTGACCAGGACGCCCCCGCCATTACTGTCCCAACCGTGGCACCCGTAGCAGCAAGGGTTCTGTGTGCCGCAGGAGATTCCGGACCGGGCGGGCAGGGTGAGGGTGTTAGGCGCCACGGGCTCCCTGCTGGTCGGCTCGGGCACGCGGTTGCTACAGAGCGCCTGGTAAAAGCTCTTGGCATTGGTAAGCCACTCATCTTCTTGGTCTCTGCCACACTTACTAGCCTGCATGACTCCGTAGCCTTGTCATACTCTACTGTCGTCTGCCACGTGATTTCCCCGCTCATTCATGAACGATAAAGTCCTACACCGCGAAGGCCAGATCCTCGTCGTACGCATTAGTATTCTTTTCATCAATCCATGCAAAAGAGCGCAATACATTGCTTCGCAACATCCCGACGTGCATTTAAGCTGCTTGTGAATCATAATGACAGTCCCATTCGGTTTCTCAATCGGCGACTTTCTTGCCGTTGGGAAGCTCATTGGGCAAGTCACGCTTGAACTGCAAGAAGTAAGGCTGAGACCTACGAAGAATAATTTTCTTGACGTGAGTCGACCATTAACCCAGCTGATATCCTTCCACGGAGCAGAACTGCGGAGCTGCCCCTGAGTACCAGTCTCTCCTGGTCGAGCTTGAGGCTCTGGAACGCGCCTTGTGCCACGTTCAAGCCCTTGAACCTGCGAAGAATGAGCTCCTGCAATTGACGTCCATTCGAGCGACTGCTCTCGCGTGCTTGAGGCCACTCCATGACTTCCAAGAAAAGATATCCAAGTTTGAGAAGCGACTGGGGACATTCAACGTGGCAAGTAATCGTTGGAAGGGACTACCACGTAGGATGCAATTTAGAATAATGTTCAGGGACGACATCGAACAGCTGAGGTCAACGTTGGCTAGCCACGTTGCAACCCTCAACCTTCTGCTAATGACGCAGGCACTGGGCTCGATGTCGATGGCGGAGGATGATCGGAATCGTTCAACATTGGAATTGAAGAGCAACATGTTACGGAACCGGCAGCTTCTGGGAAACCTCAATCAACGTGTCAACAGGTCCATTGCTAGCCAGCAAGAGATTGCAGCGCACTTGCAAGACCGGTTTAGTGTTCTCGGTAATATTGAAGAGAGTACCAAAGCCGCTGCTGAGCAACTTGAGGGACAAGGGATTTCCGTCCAGGAAATCATCAACGTCGTCACTAACACGCAAGGACAAACCGAGTCCATCCTCACTGCTGTCACAAGCATCCTGGCGTTCATAACATCGGGACGTGCACAGCTCAGCCAGATCACCGAGCAGCTTCTCACTATCATCCGACTTTGCCACACCTCCACGACGGACACGCCAACAGCCATGGCCAAGCTCATCGAGCTTTCTGCTAGACTCCAGGTCAGACTCGAGCAAATCAACTGCAACATGCCCAGCATGCCCCATCATCCAATCGTGCAATTCACAACAGCATTAGGGGAATCGATGCCACTACCTTACCAGCTCTGTCAGCAATGGGTAACCTTCAAGGAGCTCATACTCGTGATTTTCATGGACAAGCCTGGGAAGGCTCGTGTCGAGCGGGGCCAATACCTGATTACGAACGCCCGTGGGGGCAGGTTGCTGACAGAAAATTCATGGCAGCATGCCGTCCAGCAAGACGACCATTTGTCCATGTCTATTGTTCTAGACAACCTCAGAGCAGTAAAAGACGTGTGTCCATTTCCGTCCTGTCGGGCCTCCTTGACGAACGCCAAGGTCGAAAATGGAGGTCGGCAATGTATGGTTTGTGATCGGTGGTCTGCGATAACGCCACAGGACCGTGCAAGCCAAGCAAATCCGCCGAACAAGGCATTCGGTAGATCCGAACGAAACCATGCAGTTACAGGAGCGGTCGAACCCCACCCTGCAGAGTCACATGAAGACATCGAGCTCTATCCGCAAGTACACATACCACCCCCTTTGCCACTTGGATGGGAATCGATTCTTTGCGGAAAGAATCCGGCCCATTATCAAAGAGGTCACTCCAGAGAGGAAGTCATCAGCCAAGTTGCAATACAATTTTCAACTATGGTTGCTCTCGGGAGTTTACTGCCGTTAACGACACCGATTTTGTTGGTACCGGGCTTGATTAGCGCGATCTCCGTACGCTACGCAACACCTAACCGTTAAGCCAATCCTGGACCTAGTCTACAGCAGACCACGCGTTGCGGCGGACCCACCCCATTGCACCCCGGATAAAACATGTAGTCGGATTGGGCTGATTGCTTCTGCATCATCGGCAGCGCCCCTTCCGACCCGGTGCCCCGCCCGCTCTTTGACACCATGGACATGCCGGATCCGCGCTGGCACTGGGTCATATGAGGAGAATTCGGTGGCTGTTTGAATTTGCTTGCATTGCGCCAATTGCCGGCTCTCGGCTGTGCTTTGAAGGAGGGGAAAAGAGTTTGACATCTTATACGACCAAATAGCGAAACCAACCATCATCCTCCTGCACGGCTCGTGGCACACGAGCCAGACGTAGGAGCGCGTGATGCCCATCCTGGACGAGGCGGGATACCGCTGCATCATGCCGCAGGTGTGCTTCAGCGGCACCGCAGAGCCGCTGAAATTCATTGCCCCCGCCATTACGCAGGTCTAGGAACTGATCGCCGCCGAGACGTCGACCGGCCGCGACGTCGTCATGGTCAACCATTCATTTGGCGGTGTCCTAGGTCATAGCGCTGTTGACGGCTTCACGGTCAGGAACCCGGCGAGGCTCACCACGATAGAGAGTATAGGCAAAGTCATTGGCATTGTCTAGCTGTGCGCGCTAACCATCCCGAGCGATATGTCGCTGCTGGAATACCTCGGAGCCTCTAAAGCAGCGGCATCGGCGGAGGGTGAGCGGGAACAACAACAGCAGTATGATAGGAGCGACGGTGGCAATGGCAGTAGTAGCGATAGTGGCGGTAGCGGAGGCGGTATCTCCCCCCTTGCCGTAGGCGGTCCTGATGGATAGGACGTGTTTATACAGGACCCGGGCGAGGCGATATACCACGACCTAGACGCCGAGGACACTGCGCTGTAGACGTCGCGGCTAGTGCGGCACTCGTCGGCGACGCAGGCGTCGAGCGAGGGTGTGCGCGCGGGCTGGCGCGACGTGCCCGTCTGCTACGTCGTGTGCGAGCGCGACCGCGCCGCTCCGCCCGCCGCCCAGCGCCGTATGGCCGCCTCGATCCGCGGCTCCGTCAGCATAATCCTCTCTTCGCACGATGGACCTCGTCACAGATTGTGCAGGAGCGCTCGCTGCTGCCTTCCGTGATTGCGGATTCGGAGGAGCGGCTACCAGATAGTCGACCCGACATAGTTCTAGATCCGGCCCAGTTTGATCCCGTGACGCACAACGAGGACTATTCCTTCCGCAGGCTGCCCATCGCTTTTGACGTCCTTCGGGCTGGCGACTGCTTGGCCGGATCAGAAGCTGAGACAGAGATGTTGCTTTTCCCTATTTTGTACCCTAACGGTCGAGGGGCCTACGACTCCGCTTCTCATCCGCCCACGGCCCCTCATCGCCGCTATACATTCGCTGAGGATATTCAGCTCAAGCTTGGATCTGTAATCTCCCACTACCGCGATGATCACTACTGGCCTCATTTCATGTATATGCAGCTTGAACAGCGAAGGATATTCCAGAACCATTCCAGACTCGAGTACGCTTTCCAACGTCGGGCGCAGACCGGGAGGCTGCGTACCACTGAGCTTATACAGCAGTCTCAGTATGGTGACGGCGCGATACTCAACGAGATGATAACGACGACGATCCCATCGTCCATTCGTACTGGGGGTCAGTTCTTTATAACGGCAGAGGCGAAGATCGGAGCCATGTTGAATGCTTTCGCTGAGCCACAGTTATTCGCCACTCTGACATTCTCCGAGTGGTGGCCCGGCTATATACGCATATTGGAGGATACTGGTAATAGAGATCCGACCCCGTCAAACCGGCCATGGGAGGCTATCATGTATTACTACCGACGTTTTCAGAACTTGAAAGACAAGTTCCTCAGAAAAGAGCATCTCAGCGGCTTTGGCCGCTTGAGGGAGTGGGTGGAGAGGCACGAGTTCCAACAGCGCGGCGCTATCCACACTCACTCCCTGTACTGGGTATCTGAGTCCATTGAAGCTCTGATCAGCCGGGAATTCATTCGGGCTGACGTGCCCGACGAGACCGCTGAGCCGGAGCTATTTGAGCTCGTACAGAGACATCAAATTCACCGCTGCTCCGCGCAGTTCTGCCGTGGACGCCTTTGGGACACGGACGTCAAGTGCACGAAGGGCTTTCCAGCCGACCTCTCCCAGACGACGTTTCAGAAACCTGGCGACATGCGATACACTTATAAGCGGCTAAAGGATGAGGATCGCTGGGTGGTTCCCTACTCGCCGCGGCTGCTGCTGCTGTGGCAGGCCCACTGCAACGTTCAGTATTGCACGGGTTCCGGCCTGGCCCGGTATATTACGAAGTACGTCACAAAGGCGGAACCGTCAGGCTTGTATAGTGGTGTGCCCGGTTCTGCGGTCAACCGCCACATCCAGGCCCGGCGATTAGGTAGTATGGAGGTTATGGCTCTATTGCTCGGAAAGCCATTATTCAGCGTGAGTAGTGATAGCATCCGACTAAGCACGCAGCTTCCGAGGGATCGCATGTATAGTCTCAAGCCGCTCCCCTTGATACTAGATGCTACGAACGACGACGATCTCTTCTTTAAGGACAGCTTCGAAAAATACGCTGCGCGCCTTCGGTCGTTGCCCTTTGACAGCATGACTTATTTCCAATACCATACAAGGTGTATGATCTGCCCGCCTTCGGCCCCGAATCCAAGGAGTCAACGCCCAGTGATCGACGGCATAGGATATAAAGTCTGGCTGCGTCCAAAGGTGTGTGCAATCTATCCTCGGGAGGGCCCGACTCCATCTCCCCGGTAATTTGCTGACGTTATCACAATAGCCCTTGCTTCTGCGAACCGCCTATAGAACATTTCAGCATGGCGAGTCGTTTTTCTATCACCGGCTATTAAACATCCTCCCGTGGAGGAGAGAGGACGAACTATTGGGCCCTGACCAGACCTATAAATCGCGATTCTTGCAGTTGCGCGCTGCGGAGTATGAGGACCTACTTCGTTCTCACCGTGACACCGTAACACAACAGCAGGCCACGTTGAATAGATCTTATGACGGCCAGGTGCAGGAACTCCTTTTGACCATTCACCCTCGAGCTCGCCCTCTGTTAGAGGACCGCTTGAATGTCCTCAAGATGGGAGCATCGGTCCCTGGCTCTACTCTAGACCTTTTGTCTCTGAACGAGGATCAGTATCGGGCATATCACAAGATCACTTCCGTGGTTCGATTTTCGTCGGGTACGCGAATGGGAATGCATTTCTTCATTACGGGCGCGGCCGGCACTGGGAAGAGCTTTCTATTGAAGCAACTCGAGCTATGGTTTGACGCTCAGCGCCTCCACTCCCTCAAGATGGCGCCCACAGGTATCGCCGCTCTTAACATTGATGGCATGACAGTTCACTCTGCATTACGCATTCGTTCTAAAGAGTCTGGCCATGGGTATGAAAGCCTCGCCCTATCAACCGAGGAGTCAAAGGCTCGACTCCGTAAAGTTCGCGTCATCATTATTGACGAGGTGTCCATGCTTGAAGCCGAGCTGCTTAACTTTATTGCGAAGCTATTTGCACGTGTGCACCGGCAGGTAACCCCGTTCGGCCCCGTCCATGTTATATTGCTGGGAGACTTGATGCAGCTTCCGCCGGTTTCTAGCTCGCAGGTTTTCAAGGCTCACTGCTGGTCTACATTTACGCCTTTATTCTTGCGGAGCTCGCAGAGACAGGCTGCTGATCCCCAATTCTACGAGATCCTAAATGCCGTTCGCATGGGCGACGTGACGCCTGCAGTCCTACAGTTGCTCCATGACCGGTCCCTCGCGTACCCGCGTAGTGATGTTACGTTACAGACGACATTCTTGGTTGGTTTGCGCTCCGCTGCGGCTGCCCTGAACGCCGAGATGACTGCAGTGCTGTGCGATGTTACACATTCTACGTATACATACGTGAGCGTAAACTTCGAAGGCGAGACCATGATTCGTCCTGGCGAATCAGACCGTTCCTTTAAGCGGCATACGAACTATCCTGCTTTGTTAAATATCTCTGTGGGTGCGAAGGTTATGTTTCTACTCTGATATCACAGCACGTGTCGAATGGATCAATAGGGATTGTAACGGGATTCGACGGAGTTGCTACCCAACATCACCCCGATGTGCCAGCTACCTGGCTTGGAGTCCGAGTTGCCTTTGCCACTCCTCGTGGTCTCAAGGTACGTCCTCCCGACTAATCCTTTTGCCGTCTGACGCTGATCTTACATGTAGCTGATGTTGGTGAGGCCGGCCACCGCTTACTTTTCAGTGAACGGTGTACGCTGTCGGCGCACGCAATTGCCGCTTGCCGTGGCTTTCGCCTTGACTGTGCATAAAACACAGGGCCTGACATTGGACAAGATCACCGTCAGCCTCGATGGCGGCATGTTCGCGCCTGGGCACGCCTATACGGCTATGAGCCGCGCACGTGCCTGGCATGACGTCGATATCAGCTCGCTCGATCTCGGGGCATTCGCTGCCGATAGCGAGGCTATCGCGGAGTATCATAGGCTTGAAGCATTATAGCCCTACAGGACCGCCTGCTTATGTCAACCCGCCCTCCTATCCACCTCCTCCGTCCCTGCCGCCACGTTTCCCACACAATATCTCCCTCCCCCCTAGTTGATTGATTGATTCATAGACTGTCCCAGCCACCTTTACCGGTAGCTATGCAGCGCTCAACTATAAATAACCCTGCGTCCACTTCTGGTTTTCCGAATCAGGTTTCTGCTCTAGATTTGTCCTGCTCCTCACAGGGCCACTTCAGACCATAACCCTCCAGTCTACCTAACCATGAGCGTGCAGCTATTTGTGGCCAATTTGGTGTTGGAAAAACTGGGTGTTCTGTTAGACAGGAACAAAGTTTCCCCTTTACTTCAGTTGCTTACTCTTATCATATTTGTCCATAAAAGACCTGATCTCGTCCATGATGGAGACAGAGAGAAGATTGAATTAAAGAACACACTTGCACTCAGCTTTGACTGCGCAATATAACAACAGTAATTGACACGCATAATACTGTATTTAATTAGATTAGGTGTCTGCTGTTGTAGTTGTTGAGATATTCCCTTTTTTATGTGTATTTGCAGCTTTTGGTGGGCCACTCAATGGGGTGGGCCGCCAAGGGTGAATTACGTTATTGGGTCCAACTTGAACTTTCCCCATTGTCCTCTGCAATGCAACGCAACAAAGTAAAAGAACACTAGGCCGCCGGCAGACACTCCAAGAGCCGAGCTTTCTCCCTCTGCAGGCCCGCCTCCACCGAGGTCAAGGGGATGCCGTACTTGGCCTCAACTTCGCGGGCCGTTTCCTTGCTCCAGATGTCGATCGTGTTGGTCAAGAGCTGGAACGACTGACCAAAGACGGTGCGCTTGGCCTCCTCGACCTCCTCGGGACTGCGCTTCTTTAGCCCCACGTCCCTGCCGCTGACCCTGACAATGACGTCGCGCATCTCCTCGGCGGTGAGGGCCTCGCTGACGAGCTCAATCTCCTGGCCGTTGAACTTGGCCGGGTCGAGCAGGGCAGCCGCAGCATACCTACCGACGTCGAAGGCGTCCGTCTGGGCGGCCCGCACGCCGTCGTCGAAGGCGTGGTCGAGCTCGCCGTGGGTGTGGAGGCGGGGGTAGTTCTGGTGGACGCCGGGGAGCAGCAGGTCCTGCAGTAGGATGGCGGGCCGGAGGATGGTGTAGGAGGCGAAGCCGGCGGCGCGCACGGCGGCCTCGACCTCGGCCTTGGAGCTGAAGTAGTCGATCAGGTGCAACGCGGCCGTCGCGCTGGTGTCCCACGCGGGCCTGTTGCCCACGCCCACGGTCGTGCAGGCCACGATGCGCTCGACCCCGGCCTTCTTGCACGCCTCGATGATGGTCTGCGCCTGCAGGATCTCCAGCCCCGGGTAGGGGAACGTGTTCAGGTAGGCACCCTTGCAGCCCTGCGCAGCCTGCAGGACGTCGTCGAGGTTCTTGCTCTCGCCTTGGAAGAGCGTCACGCCCGGGCTCTTCAAGATAGGGGGGATTTTGTGGGCATCGCGCACGAGTGCATGGACTTTGACGCCAGCCTCGAGCAGGTGGGCAACGGTCTCTCGGCCTTGACTGCCGGTCGCCTGGGTGACTAGGAAGGTGGCCATTTTGTTGGGTGGTGGATCTTGTAGAAGGTGTATTGGGAGAATGATCTGTTGTATGTCACGGGACTTGCTCTGAGTGATGTTGGATGGTGATGTGTGTGATAGTACATTTTCAAGAAGGGCAGTCTGAGGTTTATATGCGACAAACAGGTGCCACGACGCGGCATCACTAGGACATAGAGGTATCTGCTTGATTGCTAATCTTAGAATGCTTCCGGAGTTACTGCTTGAATGCATTCCTCCAGCTCCGTGAACCTAAATTCCGTACGCGTACGCGATGAATAATTCTGTATAGCTGTGCCGCACGGCATTCAGGCGGCACCGGCATGACAAGCAGCCCCGGACCCTTCGAATTGACTTGCCTCGGGTGGGTCTCAACGGCAGCGGCATACCAATCAGGTGCTTGTAGTCTTGGAGGGCTCCAGGGGCCGCGTCTCTTGGCTCGAAAACAGTTGCTCCAGGTGGGGCTTCCTGCGGGTTGCAGCAGCCAAGGACGATGCCCATTGGCCGATCGCATTCGGGGCAATCGCCCATCGGTTTCCGTCGACTTCTGCCCGTTAGAGCTGACTAATGAGTGCCAACGCTCATAAACCACTTGCCTCTGGTGGGTCTGCCTGTCTAGATGCACATTCAGTATTGTGGCTTTCGTATGCGTTGAGCGACTCTGCGCTGAGTGTTCACTTGTGATCTCGTGCGCGCAGCTGGACGGGCGCTGACGCCCACGAATTCAATGCAGGGCCGGCCAGCCCGGTTCGCCTGCCGAAATGCAACCCCGAAGAGCCTGTTGGACCTGCAAAGGTTCGTGTTTTTGTCCGCCAAGCTCCGAGCTGCGGTCGGCTAACGCCCAACTTTTGTTATGTTCCAGCGCGGAGGGTTCCTTGTGATGGCAGCTTGCCGACCTGCTCGAAGTGTGCACGCAGTGGACGAAGCTGCCAAGGCTATGCTATGCGCCTGTCGTGGCCGAGCGCCAGGGACAAGAAGCGCGCAAACGTCGGTCGTCCACCGCCGTCTGCCCTCTCCTCGGCTCAGGCTGCTGACCATACACTGTTCATCAACACCACCTGGCAAGACATGGAGCTGTATGAGCACCTAAGCCGACGGACCCAAGCTTCTCCCAGGCCTCCACCTACTGCAGACCCATGGAGGCAGCCACAACTAGGAACGAACCATAGAGACCTAGTCAATCACTGTAAGCTGGGGTTGGGATATTATTAACCGAGTGACTATTCAGTTTAACTTACCAAAAGTTTTGGGACTAGTCCACGACTCCGCCTATCTGTCCTTGGTAGTGTTCGACGGGAAACCCGCCCAGATGCGAGACTCCCTCATTCGAATGGCGCTGGCGAACGACTCGATCCTAGGGCTTGCTCTTTTTCAGGCTTTGCTGGCATACTCGTCGGTGCATCGCAGTGGCGTCGACCAGCGAGCGTTGCAGCTCAAGATATCGGCACTCCATACACTCTCAGCCTTTAACAAGGCAACACCTCTGTCTTCGGCCGAGGCGGCCCAGCACGTCGCTACATCCATGCTTCTAGGTGCTTTCGATGTACGAATGATTAGCATCCTCCAGATCATGTGAGAATTTGTGCTTATATTTGTGGACAGATCCTACAACCCGCTGCAGGTTCGGGCGAGTGGCTATGGTACACCCAGGGAGCCATGGATGTCGTCCAAGCCACCAGCATTAGGGACCAGTCCCACGACAGCGATATTGGCCATCTGCTTGACTGGGTCCATTACCATGATGCCCTTTCACGTTTTCCCGTACAACATTGGCAACACAAATCCCTGGCACGGGATGTGCCTAATTCCAAGTTTGGCAATCCTCTGGGTGAGCCTCACATGTCGTTGACAAGACACAGACCGGTATGCACTTCGAGATCTTGTGAACGGTCTTTCCCTTGACACTTATCTGACGCCGATGTGCAGGCAATCCCCTCTCCGAATCCGACTTTTGCAATCATAAACCTGCTGTCTGAAGCATGCGACACACTTCTTGATCCACGGGACCTAAGAAGCCACACTCAGGAGTACCAAAACCATCTAAGAACACTCGAAAGTCGGCTTGCAGCTATACAACCCAGATCAGAATCGGCATACTCGGACGAAGCCGTACTGCCTATCGAAATATTCCGGACAGCGACACAGATATACATCACGCGTGCATCGGAGAGCCCGTGGGACACGCCGGCATCCCTCGATTCGCTGGTAGAAACAGCCTTCACCGGACCCATACGCGACTGCTACTGTCCTCACTTCTTCCCGCTCTTCATTTTAGCCTGCGAGGCACGCGCTGATGAGCGGAGGACGCAGATTCTCAGTTTGATCGAGCGGACTGCGGCCGATGGCCGAGTGCGGAATAGAGCTTGGCTGAAGAACATGGTCCACTCCATCTGGGTGCATCAGGACCTCCACGCGGACAGTGATCTGCTGGTGAATTATGCTGGCATCATGAGCGCCGTGATTAGCTCCAGCGACACGGTTCCTTCCTTTGTCTAGGTAACTGTCATCTACTTCTGATAAAATCACGAGGTATATTGCGAGGGGCTGGTTCTTGATGTCATGGTGAAGACATACCGTCTATAACCGTTTGTATATATAGCATTGAGATGGATATATGGTATTAAAGCGCTGCCCGAGCCTTCTCTAGCAGGTCAGTGGCCAAGATTCTGTCCGGGTCATGCTCATCTAGCCTGCCTTCCTCAACCCCCACAACATGCTCCAGCACCCTCACGGCATCTTGAGCTCGGCCGCCATCAAGATATGCCCTGGCGAGCAGGTACTCTAATCCCAATCGGCTTGGGTGGTCCTCTGCAAGTGTCTTCTCCCGCACCTCCATCCCGGCCTCGCACGCTGCTATGGCATCTTCGACCCGTCCGGCTTCAAGATATGCGAGGGCAAGCCAGTGCTCCGACGACAGCCGGCCCTGATGGTCTTCTGCAAGAGTCTTCCTCCGCACCTTGGCCAAGTGCTCGAACAAGGCGACGGCTTCCGCGGCCTCCCATCTTTCAGATAGGCACCAGCGAGCTCGTGCTCGGCTTCTAGTCGGTTGTAATCTTCCTCTGCGACATTTTCCCTCCGTATCTTCATCACGTGCTCGAGTTTGGAAATGGCATCCTGAATCCTCTCTTCCCTCAGGTATGCCCTGGCGAGCTCGTGCTCGGACGCGGTCGTGGTCGTCTTCGGCGAGGGTCTCCTTCTCTACTATGCGCTCCAGCATGAGGTGATAATAAGCAAATCCCATTCAGCCTGGACAGGTTTGATCTCGTGAAATTTCTCCGTAGATGCCGGCCGCTCCTCTGGAGAGGTAGGATATCTTGAAGCCACTGACGATGGTCGGATACTCATTCATCTCTTCGCCCAAGGCCAAGCCTTTGTTCAGATCAGTCCGTACTGAAACCACTGATGCTGGTTTTATTCTCATTCGTCTCTTTGCTCCGAGGACAAGTCCAGAGCAGTCTGTCACCATCTTAGGTAACGACGTCATCCAAGCCCAGGACCGTGGCAGAAAGCCATAAGAGCGTGGGTTCGAGCCCTGCGCTCGACATTCGTTCCTTGTCTCAAGGGCTGCATGACCAAGGCCGGAATACCCATCTCCCGGCAGTTATATTCCGGCTGCTGCACGACCGCGCACGGCGCGAGGGTCTGGAGTTGCTCAAGATGCCCACTGGGGCGGATGTGAGTGTCCAAATATCAACTTTCCAAGATCTTGTCCCAAGGTCTCGAAATCGCCCCACATCCCAAATTTTAGCCACCTCCCAAAATTTGTCCTACATCCCAAGTCTTGTCCGCGTACCAACTCTAACCCCACATCCCAACCACGTCCCACATCTCAAATTTGGTCCACATGCCACAGCTTGTCCTACGTCCCAAACCCGTGTGCCACGTCTTACAACCGTCCTACCCACCAAGTCTATCCCGCTTCCCAAATCCTGTCCCAACTGTCCATTTCCAGGTTCATCATACAGACCATATAATCCACACATAATTCTATCAGAAGACAGTGGAAATCTTCATGCTTTTACAGTCACAACATCTGTCTTCCAAGCGGACTACCACGGCTCTCTCGTTGCAGCGGTCTGACAACTAGTCATGTTCACCCCGGGGGCGGCTGGACACCGCGCAGTGCTACCTTCAGAAGAGCATTTTCTTCCTCAGAGGGTGAGATGGCCCGGTTTGTAAAATCCTCCTGCATGCAACGAGGTTATTTCTCCCCTTATAGACATGGTCTAATGACTCTCCTTCAAATGAAAGATTACACCTCTTTGATGGACCTTTCCTCTTCTTGCCTGACGCTGGATTCGTGAACGAGCTGCCTGGAGTGTCCATTTGCTGGCCGGTGCTGCGTCATTGATGAGGCCCGCTATGGTCTAGTCTCGCATATCTCTACACATTCTAACTCACCGACATGTCCATATCTCCGTCCTCAACGTCCATCACCATATCCCTCAGGGCAGGGTGCCTGTCATCTGTTCATCCTACCATCACGATTCCCTTCGTCCAAAGAGACGCGAGTAGAAGCCGCTAGTGACTTCCACGCAGATGCTGTTATTCGATGGCCACAGATACATGCGACGACGTGCGGACAGCCGAGAGCCAACACCACCAGAGCAAAATAGAGGGTTGACTACTCAGATGATAAATGAAGGCCACCGATTTTTCTGTTTGGAATCCTCCCAAAAAGTGCCTCAAGCGTATCGTAACTATACGTGAGATCGCCGTGCCAGTAGTTGGGCGTGTCCGCCTTGGAGACTTGCCATGCCTCGTCCAGCGCTTGCACCACTTCTTGCGGCAGCGGCCCCTTCTCCAAGTTATCAAGATTGCTCTCGAGTTGTTGGACGCTTGAGATGCCGATTAGGATGCCATCGTTGCCGTTCTTGACTTGTAGTCTGGAGTGGTGAACCATCCATCGAAGCGCTGTCTCGATCATGCTAAGGCCATGCTTCTCAACGGCATTCTCGACTAGCTGTAGCGCCCTGAATGTGCTCTCGCGGAAGTAGCGGTCGCGATAATTAGAACCCTCTGAGAAGCTCACATTCGAGAAGCGACCACTATCGGGGACTAGGTCCTTAGACTTGATCTTGCCGGAGAAGAGACCGCCCGCGATAGGGTTGTACACGACGATGTCGAGGCCATAACGGCGGCAGGCTACGAAAAGCTCCGACTCGATGCTACGTGTGATACAGTTATACATGCCCTGATAAACAGAGGGACATACCCAGCCATTGTACTTGCACGTCATAACGATTTCAGCCACCTCGAATGCTGTGAAGTTGCTGATGCCCAGGCGAGTAAACTTTCCCGCCTTATAGAGACTGTCCACGGCTTCCAAAGTCTCCGCAAAAGGAACGGAGCGGTCTGCACGATGTAGGTACAGGAGCTTCGGTCAAGGTTAGCCTTGGTCCCGCGTAGCAAGTGCTCCGGGCAAGCAATGAACTCACGTCTACGCAGTCGGTGCCTAACTCCTTGAGGCTGGTCTCTACAGATTCGGCGACCTTGTCTGCGGCATTGTCCCCAGGATTGCTGGGATAGAAGACCTTAGTCGCCAAGGTGAGACCCTTCTCTTTCCAGCCAGCTTCGCGAGTGAATGCTTCCTGTTGTCCTTCAATGTAGACTCGAGCCGTGTCTATCTCTTTGTAACCCCGACTTTGGAAGACATCCAACGCATTTGTTAAAATACTCATGTCAGTGATGCGAGCACCATCTTCGACCTTGGGTCCAAAGGTCATAAGACCTAGGATGATGCGGTCCCTTGCACTTTTGGCTGGGTGAGACATGGCGGTTTCCGGTGTTGCTTGGGTATGGAGACTGGAGGTTTGTCAACTGGGTGGGACATAGGACCTTGGGTAGCTGAGAAGTGGATTATATAAAACCAGGCGCATATAACGGAGATACCACGTATGGCTTTTGACGTTCTTCCATAAGCCTGATTCACATGGCACGCGGGGTTAGCCGCCTTTGCTTATAAAGCTCTGCTGGTGTCACACCAGTTGAGCTCGTGTTGACATTCATTAGTCAGCTCTAACGGGCAGAACGAGGAACGCCAATGTCCAGCTCGTCCCTCGACGGAAACCGATGGGCGATTGCCCCGAATGCGATCGGCCAATGGGCATCGTCCTTGGCTGCTGCAACCCGCAGGAAGCCCCACCTGGAGCAACTGTTTTCGAGCCATGGTATGCCGCTGCCGTTGAGACCCACCCGAGGCAAGTCAATTCGAAGGGTCCGGGGCTGCTTGTCATGCCGGTGCCGCCTGAATGCCGTGCGGCACAGCTATACAGAATTATTCATCGCGTACGCGTACGGAATTTAGGTTCACGGAGCTGCGGAAACATGGTAAGATTAGCAATCAAGCAGATAGCCCATGTCCTCCTATGCTGGTGCTGTTGGAGAGGCCGCCGCGAGACAGTACCAGGATATAATGCAGGGACTGGCCCAACTCGGCAGTTTGTAACTTTATTGCTTAGCTTGGCTCAACCGAAAAATAGGGTAGCTATCGCACTGCATGGGTGTCCTGTCACGGTGGCAAATATATTGCTCTCTTCTTGTGTTTCTTGGTCGTGATGCCGCGAACCAGACGTTTGCTTGCGTAAGCTCGGGATAATATCACCATCACAAGATGGATTTGTGCGCAAAGACAACTCGCAATGATTTCAAACAGGACGGAGGATAACCAAGCTAGATGAGTTCCGTATACCTCGTATATGTCCCGCTGAATTGCTCTACTTGGACTGCTGAGGAAGACAGCGAAGACCGGTTCGATATGATTGGATGGGGAGCTCACAGCGAAGCGGGGTGGCAAGTTAGTACATCCAGCAGCCGCAAACGGAATTATGGCGCTGGCTTTCAGCTGGCAGCAGCAGCGCGGCTTTTATCCCGGTTTCGCCCGCCCTAGGACAAGCACCACCCAGTACTTTGTCGTTATTTGTCATAGATCTGCCGCCAACACTGCGGCGTCGACTACAAATAGAGACTGTGGCCCACGTCGTAGATCTCAGGACATATCCTAATCAGATCACTGCTCTTGCCGCCATGGCTGACCGTCCAACCTACAACAAAGGCCAGCTGGCCGAGTACTTTGCCCGCATTGCCCTCCCTGAGTCACGATGGGAATATTCCGTCGTCGAGCGTCCAGATGATGAGAAGCTGACGTACCTCACGGATCTACTAAAGCACCATGTCGTCAAAGTGCCGTTCGAAAACTTGACACTGCACTACTCGTGGCACAAGGTGATAGACACCAAGCCGCAGCACTTGTTCAACAAGATGGTGCGCCAGCCCGCACGCGGTGGGTATTGCTTGGAGAACAACTCACTCTTCCACACGGTTCTCCTGTCGCTTGGATTCAGCGTCTATCTGGTGGGAGCTCGAGTATACAACCCGGGCACCAAGAAGTACGGTGGCTTCTCGCACTGCGCCAACATTGTCACCATCGGAGACACACGCTACATGGTGGATGTGGGCTACGGGCCAAATCAACCAGCGCGCCCCATCCCCCTGCTCCCCGGTGTCGAGCAGGCTCACGTAGGCCAGTCGCAGATGCGCGTCATCTGGGACTCAATCCCGCAGAACCTCAATCAGGAGTCCAAGCTGTGGATCTACCAGCACCGCATTGATGCCGGTGCAGAGTGGGTTCCCAATTACTGCTTCGTTGACGTGGAGTTCCTGCTCGAGGACATTCGCGGCATGAACATGTCGCCCTGGAGGAGCCCCACTTCGTTCTTTACCTATCGCATCCTCATCACACGCTTCACTACGAGTCACGAGGTCGACGGCGCTGATGGGCCGGAGTCTCCCGGCGTGAAGGCAGTCTCCGAGGGTGAGCTGGACGGCGCCATCATTCTGAACCATGATTCCCTCAAATGGCGCCGAAACGGCAAGACTGTGCTCGAACAGAAGCTCAAGGCCGAGAAAGATAGACTAGAGGCTCTAAGGAGGTACTTCGGGATTGTCTTTCCCGATGAAGATCAAGAAGCTATCCTCAGCACCGCGAGCGAGCTCAAGGACTCGGGTGTTGAGGTTTGAGAAGAGCTTACCTGTGACGACCCGACCAACAGGTCGCAAGATCGGGCCAGGGACAAGGACAGGTCATGCACGCGGGACGACACAGGCTCCCAATAGGCGCACGGGTACCCGTGCGTATAATATTACACGGGTACCCGTGCAGATTCTGCTTACAGCTTAGCGTGTCTTAATTTCCGCCGACATCGCAATCCTGGATCCATATCCGGGGTGCACCCATATCAGCAGAAAAGGTCTGTCTTGACCTTCGCTAGTGACCTCAGGTGCTGTTTGACCTCCGATCACAGTATGTGCGTTGCCTTACACGTATAACGTATTTGACTGAACCTTTAACTATAATACACTCATCATCATCCCGGTGAAGAACTTGCTGCTCCTCACAGTCCTGTGCCGCCCTCCTCCACACATCACCCATACCTCTTCGATTAGCTAGACCGCTTGTCGACTCCTGGGCAACCTGAGCATCGATTCGCTCCGTCTCAGACCGATCCCAGTCCAAATATGCCATCATTTCTTCCCTTGTCCAGGCCCGTTCACCCTCTCGCGTTAAGCAACGCCTCGTCATTTGCTTATGGTCTAAGCACCAATCGTACTGCGCTTTACTATACCGTAATGGTAAACCCATTGCCTGCCGGTACATCTGGTTGCTCGCATAGGTACCCGGGAGTAGGGACTTCTTCCAGATCTCTCGCGTAGCGACGTATCTTTGGTAAATCGCTTTTGGGTCACTGTATTTTAAAGGCTGCTCCGGAGCTTGCTGGTGTTCTTCGGCGTACTCTGAGACGGGTTCTTTAGCTCGTCGTAAGGGCTGGTCGTTTTCTGAGAGCCGAGCTTCGATCTCTTCTAAGATCTGTTCCGTAATCCCTTCTTGGGCCGACGAGTTATTAAGAAGTTCGGGAATTGGCGACTCATGTTGAGGTCTGCACGTCGATAATTCAATCGTAGCTTCAGGTATCGACGTGTCGGCCGGCGGCTCTGGTGTTATTCGTAGCTGTTGCGATGCCGCCTCTACTCGAAGTTGTAGCTCTGCGTACTTTAGGGGGCATAATCGAGACGTCCTTGAATGACCTAGACGGTGACATCTAGTACAGGTTGAAGGTCCCTTTCGCTTAGCCGCGACTTCAACAGCTTCAAAGCCGCTAGGCTCCCTTCGGTTACTTGATCGCGGTAAAGAAGTGTTGGTACTAGTCATATCAATACGTTGGCGAGGCTCTTGGAGAAAAGGTTTCGCGCCGCTCCGGATTAGGTGCCAATGCGAATGGAAGTCTCCTAGGTAAAGGGCTTTTCCTTCGGACAACAAAGCCTCAAGTTTGTGAACGCATGGTAGGCCTTGCGACCGAGAGAATATGCCTGTACAGCGTTGTAGCGGACTGCTCGTCTGGAGAAGCTTCCGCTGCTCTTCAACCTTTCGAAGAGCCTCGTGTGATACCCAACCCCGTACTACACCATAAAGTGGACCGGAAAGTTCGATCGGAGACCGAATCTGCTGTTTTGCCTGGTTGGACCTCAGCTCCCCAAGTTGGTTTATTAGCGCATGCTTAATAGCCCTCCAGGCCTCAAACAAATCGAGTGTCGACGTTTTCAGATGACTTTTAAGAAGTGCATGGACACCTTCGACGCGCGAAGTAACAACATTACCGAAATGAGGGTAGCTGTCAACCCAGGCCTTTACAAGCTTTTCCTTATACAGGTCAAGCCATGTCTCTTTAATGTAGGCCACGTCCCGTACATGCGTTGTAATATAGCGTTGTTCAAATGTCGACATACGGATGTCGAATATTGCCTCGGTGGGAGAACGAATAATTTGGTGCCAGTGCTGGTAAAAGTCATGCCACTCCTTCAGTCTCGCAGATTTGTCGGCTTCGGAGTCCTGGAGTTGTAGCTGGATAGCGAATGAAGGCTGACAGTATCGAAGGACGGCTTTGTTCGCATGCCAAAGGCATAGCAATGAAGCAGCAGAAGGAAAGCATACTGCGATTGCGTTGATACAAGCAAGACATCGATCGGTAAGAATAACTGAAGGTAGGCGGGATTTGCTAATTTCGTAGAGTGACCGGAGGCGCTCTAGAGCCCAAACGAAATCTTCCTCGCTTTCTCCACTAAGAAATGCGAATGCGATACAGAAGGATCGTTGAGAAGCGTCTACTCCGATTATATCTAGGAGCGGCATTCCGTATTTGTTCGTTTTGTAGGTACAGTCGAGGATTAAAACATCCGGATAAGCTTGAAGATAGCTTAGCGACTCTGGATGGGCGAAAAGCACAGCCTTTACGCGGTTCTCCGAATCAAGTTGTAAACGGCTCCAGAAACCTTCATGGTCAAGCCGGTTAGCTAGGGCATTGATCGTGCTCTGCCCTTCGTACATCTCGCGCCTACTGTCCGCGATTCGGTTGTAGATATCTTGCTGCGTTGCAATCGAACTCGTGTTTTGGTGTATGTACGTTCGAATCTCCTTAGGTGCGACGCCAGCATTTGCGAGGCTAGATAGACGAGTGATCGTTTCCGTATCGAGTGCGCGATGCTTAGGATGGGCGGATGGGTGTAAACTTGGCTCGTGGTTGTGTTGGGCAAACTGCGGGTCGGGTCGGTGTCGTATTGTCCATGTGCCGCTGTCTCGTGACTCTTTTGCTAGTACAGAGAACGGACAGTTGGTACTTCGCGTAGATGTTTTTCGCTGGCGCGGTCTTCCAGAGGCGTAGTCGCGACATGATCGATCACATGCATATACGACTGAGAGCCTGCCTGTCTTTTCCTTTGTTGACCTTTTCGTAACAAAGGCGTAGCCTCTTGTGTACGCCCACTCGTTGATAGCTTTAAATAAGGTATCTCGGGACTCGTAGGTGCCTTCCGGAGGGAGACTGTCATCGGGAAATGAATGGTGGGTACTACTAGTAGCTGCCATCGGGAGACAAATCTGAGGCTAGTAATGGTAATAAAAGAAATACACGAAAGCACCTCAGCGCGCTTTGTAGCGCGTAAAGTATTGTATGCTGACAGCACCTGAGATCACCAGCGAAGGTCAAGACAGACCTTTTCTGCTGATATGGGTGCACCCCGGATATGGATCCAGGATTGCGATGTCGGCGGAAATTAAGACACGCTAAGCTGTAAGCAGAATCTGCACGGGTACCCGTGTAATATTATACGCACGGGTACCCGTGCGCCTATTGGGAGCCTGTGTTGCCCCGCGTGCATGACCTGCCCTTGTCCTTGGCCCGATCTTGCGACCTGTTGGTCGGGTCGTCACATGCGCCTTGTAAAAAGCTGGGAGGAAGTCCTCCTTTGCGATGTGCGTAATATGCGCCCGCATTAGACCCTCGATTTCTTTACCGTACGACCGTTTGAGAGGTCCAAAGCACCCAACATCAAGAGGCTGGAGCTTATGCGACGAGTGAGCAGGCATACAGAGTGTTATAATACTCTGCTCCTTACAGAATAGCTCAAAATCGGTCGAATGGTGGCTCTCGTGGCCGTCGAGGATCAGGAGCCGGAAAGCACCCTTCGTACGACTCTTTGTATGTAAATCGAAGTGTTTCGCCCATTCTAGACCTCGCTCGTTCGTCGTCCACCCATTTTCAGAGAGTGCGATTACCCAGTCGGGCGGTAGAGGGCTGTCGGACGTCCAGGAGTCGAGGTGGACCTTGCCTGCGAAGATGATGTACGGCGGGATCGAATTGCCGGACGACCCAATACACTGGATAGCTGTAACCCATTCCTGGTTGCCTTGTTATACGGCTCTAGGCCTTCCGCGTCGATCGGAGGTTGTAACGACTGTTTCTGCAGAGATTTTGCCTATCGCGAACCCAGTCTCGTCGAAGTTGTAGATATCGTTATCGTGGATTCCGTATTTCGCGATTACGTTCCGTACGAGGGAAAACCACGCGCGATACGCGTCTGGATCTTTGTAGAGGACTCTCTGATAGTCGATTCTTCGATTAAAACGCGTTCGGAGCTCGGGTCGTCGTCGTACGAAGTTTGCAGCCCAGTTGGTTCCGACGCGTGGCGCGTCGCGTTCACGAAGGAGTCGATCCGCCATTTCTCGAACACCACCGAGGCGCGGTGGAAACGAACGCGAATCTAGGTCGATTACGTATCGTACGATGCTTTCCTCTTCGTACGAGGTCAAATTCTGGTTATGTGGTCGAGAATCGCGTTTCGCAGGTCGGCCGGCTTGTCGTCGTTGGAGGGTCGTACGAGACACTTTGTAGATAGATGCAGCCTTTCGTACGCTTAATTTTGGGTCCGATTGGAGCGCATTAAGCGCTAGAACTAGGTCGCTTTCATTTGATTACCGTTCCATTACTATTAGTGGAGAAAAACAAGGAAAAGGAGGACCTCTTTAGAATTGGACGAAAGTGGCTCACTTGCTTGTGTGGCTCACTTGCTTGTGTGGCTCACTTGCTTGTGGATTACGTTATCATGTCTTATAAAAAGCGAATATTATTCTCAATTGGCGGTGTATTGTCCTCATATATGCATCGTGTCCATATTCTTGTCCTGTACTCTCAGTTCCGCACAATTTAGAATTCCCTCGCAGCAACCAGCTCGCCAATGCACTCGCCGAAGCCAACACCGCTGTCCTTTCCACCCGCCCAGCCCGTCAATCTGACCGAGTCTCCATCTTGCAAGTACCCTCGCTCACTGCCATCAGCCAACTTGAGCGGATCTGCACCCCCTTTTGTCGCTTCCAAGAAACAGCCGAGTGTCTCCCTCGTCACACCACTGACTGTGCCTGTCGCGGCGATGTCGCCTGTCCGCAACGCACTGCCACCACTGGCCAAGTGCGCGAGCATTTGCTTCGGAGTCCAGTACAGCGTCTGCACTGTTGTCGTGCCGGTGACGGTGGCTTTCTTGTCCGCAATAACTTCGACCTGGATCGTGATGTCATGGGACGAGTTGTCTGGGTCTTGCAAATACGTGGGGATGCCGTTGGGGGCGTGGGACGGCTGCGGCACAGGTGTCTTGTAAGGCTGCAGGGCGTCGAGGGTGACGATCCAGGGCGAGATGGTGGTGCCGAACGACTTGCCGTTTAACGGACCGAGGGGCACCATCTCGAAGCCTTGAATATCACGAGCTAGAAAAAACCAAATTTCATCAGCAGAAATTCCACAAGTAACACTCTCGACGTGGAAGACTCACCACTCCAGTCATTTAACAGGGCATATCCGAAGATATGCTCCTCTGCATCCTTGGCATTCATCCTATGCCGCATGGGAACCGGCTTGCCCACGATCGCTGCAAGCTCAACCTCGTAGTCGACCGCTCTGGAAGGGCCGCACAGAATCGGCGGTGGATCGCTGGACCCAGGGGCAGGACGAGAGCGGAACTGGCCAATGGGCCGTTCAATCTCGGTGCCGGACACGAGGATTGAACCGCACCGGCCTTGGTAGCCGAGGGGAAGCTGGAAGAAGACCGGCGGCGGGTTGGCATTGTTGGCCATGATGCGGCCGGCGTTCTTGACGTGCTCGATACTGCAAGAGAAGTCTGTGAAGTCGCCAACCTGGACTGGCAGGTGCAGCTTGATGGAGCTCAGGCTCTCCTTGGCCTCCTCTGGAAATGCACCGAAGCCTTGCTGCAAGTATGCCTCACGGATGGCAGACTGCACCGCTCGGTGTGTGCTCTTGGGCAGGGCTGCGAACTCGTTCAGGGTAGGGTTCGTTAGAGCGCTTTCGGGCAGCTCGCCTGTGGCAATGGCCTTGAAGAAGCCATGTCTTTGCAGTGCACCGAGCGAGATGACAGTGTTCTCCAGTCGGGTGACGGCCTGTGGTGTGGTGAATTTGGCAGAAGAACCAATCCCGAAAGGGATATTGCGTTCTGAGAAGTGGTGACTGTAGCCGGGATCTGACATGGTGTGTTTCTGTGGATGATCTCGCAACAAGCTTACCACTAGGCATCAATCAACAGGTCAAGAACAGGATAGAAGCAGATGATAAGGGTGGACAACGTGAGAACACTCGCGGTATGATGACTCGGAGCTTGACACAATGTAAGAATAACTGCCCTTACCCCAAGTTGGACTGCTCCGTCGTCATCGGCAGGCGGGGTAGACTTGCCGACTCGGCAGTGCAAAGCTCTAGATGGGGTTCAGGGGTCCCTCCGCCGGGGTACCCCAGAGTCCACACCCCGAGCCCGGGACAAACAACGGCCGTGACGTTAGTCCCGTCCTCCGTGTTTGAAAGCTCCGCGATGAGGGGACGGACTGCGGGGAGGGAGAAATGCCCTCGCAGCATGTTTTAGAGCTGGGCTCTGGCTCGCTGGTTCTGTTGGGCTGAATTCTCCTTCTTATCGTGCTGGTACTTTACTGCATTCTTCTCCGATCTTGCTCCAGCTGGTCACAAGCTCAACCGTCTTCACGACATCCAAACCACATCCCAAGCCCTCATACACAGACACATTCTCACATACTCATTCCAGCCATGGCGTTGCACAACAAGCTCAGCCACCCCAAGCGGTACATCACCACCACCAACGAGGAAGGCCTTGCCATCATTGACAAGTCCCTACCCGAGGACGCACCCTTCTACGAGTTGCGCCCCGGCGATGCCGCCTTCGCCCAGTGCTACGTCACGTCCGGCTTCCCTACCAAGCTGGCTGACAACGCGGACCTCAACGTCTACAGCGACTTTCTCAAGCAGCCCCCAGGACTTGTCGTCAACAACGGCACAGTGCTCAGATACGTCGACATACTGCCGGGACAGACTTCGCCGATGCACAAGACGCTCAGTCTCGACTACGGCGTCGTTCTCGAGGGCAACGTCGAGCTCGTGCTCGACTCGGGTGAGACGCGGGTCCTGAAGCGTGGTGACATCGCTGTCCAGCGGGCGACAATGCACGCCTGGCGCAACCTGAGCGACACCGAGTGGGTGCGCATGCTCTACGTTCTCCAGCCGGTACAGCCGTTTTCGGTCAATGGCAAGAAGGTCAAGGAGGACCTGGGCGGCATGCACGGTGTGGCGGACTCGACGTAAATTGGGACTTTCAGGGGAATGGATTGGTTGGGCTATGCTTGGCTAGCTTGTACACATCATTGCGTAGTACACGATAATCTAAAGAGGCTGATTTGCAATGAACGTATATGCCACGTCTTCGTCGTCCTTTGTCTTGTGCATGGTTGTTTCTTGGAGAGTCCAGACAGAACAATTGATTCGCAAGTATAAACATCGCATGTGCATTTTGAGCTTGAATCTTGTCGCCTGAAGATTTGTGCTTGTGTGCATCTTCGCACTCAATCCCCCCCCAAAATGGTTGACCGCCAGCTGATGCATTGTGCTGAATTTTGTACAAAAAGATTTATTGAAGCACAAGAAGCAACCTTAATTCGCTAAACACATTCTACATCTCTCCACCGATGACAAAGTTACGGAACTTGTCGCCAAATGCCCACCTGGCCGCGTTGGCCCTCGCCTGTTGTCCAGTCAGCCGCTGTTCGGTTGTGGCGCACGTGATGGATCTCTCTCAGGACTTACAGCATTTAGAAAGACTCCAGTGAACATGGTGCCGACAAAAATCTGCTCAATGCGATTCTGGTAGACACGGATCTGAGAAACGTCGCGGTCGCGCCGGATGGGCCTGTAGGGGGGCACGCGGCGGTGCGTGTTGTCCCAGGGGATGGGCGCCACGGGCCCGTCACCAGCAGCCGATGCTGACGAGGACGAGTTGATGCTCTCGACAGTGGCCGCCGTGGGCGCGGGCTTGACACCGCTGCTGCTGCCACCCGTGTGGCGCAGGGCGTAGTCGTCGAGAACAGTCTCGGCGGTGCGCGTCTGGGTGACGGTCGTGGTTGACGACATTGTGAGGTGGGGGGCTTGGACGTGCTTGGGTTGTGAGTCTCAAGTCTCGTGCAGGGCAGGGGCAGTGGTCGCTTTGTGATGCTGCTTGTACTGATGAGGCTGCTTGAGATGACTGTCTTGTCGTGGTTGTGGATGTTGATGTGGTTGTCGTCGTCGGTGCTCTCGCCACGTCCACGGCGGTCAAATGTCAGTCAGCCTGTCTTCGTGCACCCAACAGCAGACAATCGAGTGATGAGGATCCCGACCCCAAGTGGTCCCCCCACGCATAGAGACTCGGTCGGTCTCTCGGCAGGCTCGGCTCCAGGTGGGCCAAGCCAGAACCAAAGAGTGTGCCGTGTGCTGCCAGTGCGTCTGGTGCTGCGGAGAAGGCAGTGTGAAGGACCATCTCCGCACCGGGATGTGGAGTAGCTCCACGAGCATGGGCCTGAGGAAGAGAAGGAGGACGACCAGACGACCCCCTCCTGGAAACTTAGAATGCCCGGCGGGCCACATGGGGTAGTCAGGTAAGTGTAGCTTTAGTTAGCTTTAGACCCTTGGGGCATTGCTGGCGCGCTGTCCGCAGGCCCCTCCGCGCCACCCGTGTCTGCTGTGCTTCTCAGACGGTCCTGTCTCTCGGGTCAGAATCCGGCATGCAAACAATTCGCATCCTTGTCTACTCCGGTCCCGAGCGTAGGTTCTGAGAAGCTGGACTTGGGCCCGGCAATCCTCCACAAGCGCCGACCGGTTGGGATTACATCTCACCACCTGGTCCTCTTCCTGTGGACATCTTGGCCGTTTTCTTGTCTCGCTTGTCTGATCGTGTCGAGTCATTCACAAGCGTCTGGGATTCTTTCTTTGTTCTCTCCCTATCGGCCTCTGTGTTGTTCTTGTTCGTCTAGCTGTGCTTCCACGATACCCCTCCTTTTGACAGCATTTCACCGCTTGCCAAACCCTCCACGGTAACACAATGCCCAGTGCACAACTCAAACAAATCCGCTCGGCCGCCGTCGACGGACGCCTCGCCAACCCAATCTACCGCCAGACGCAGCTCAAGAGCCTCCATGATGCCCTGTCCAAAAACACAGCCCGCATCGAGGCGGCCATCCGCAACGACAACCCGGACTACCGCCCTGTCGATGTCCGGCTGGAGACTCGCCTGGCTCTGCGCCTGCTCGGCGAGATCGCAACGGCCGTGAACCCCGACCAGGCTCTCAAGGACGAATACTCGATCGCCCGGGGCCAGGACTTCGCCAGCGGCAGACAGCCATTTGGTGTCGTCGTCATCGAGGAGCCCGCCCCTCATGCGTTCCTGTACAGCTTGACCTCAGCCCTGGCTCCAGCCATTGCCGAGGGCAACGTTGTCGTCGTGCAGATGAAGGGCAACTCGCTGCTCGAGACACCGAAGCTGGTCTTTGAGCTCATCGCGGCTGCGCTGGACAAGGATGTTTTCGCCGTGGTCCACGATGCTGTGAGCAGCGAGGACATCGGCCACAGGAATCTTCGAGTGGTCCAGAACAGCCCAGCCTCAGACAGCACCGGGCAAACCATCTTGTCGGATCCTTCGGCCCACACAGTCGCCATTGTCGAGCGTGATGCAGACATCCAAGCCGCTGCCGACGCTCTGATTGCTGCTCGGTTCAGCCTGGGCGGCCGCAGCCCGTACGCGCCTGATCTGGTCCTCGTCAACGAGTGGGTAAAGCGGGACCTCATCATTGCCTTGTCTGCCCGCTCTGCTCGCTACCTGACCGACTCCATCACGGGCCCAGTTGGCAGCAGCAGCAGCAACGGCAAGCAAAAGACCCAGAAGCCCAAGAAGTCGAGCACTGCGAGCAAGGCTGTTGAGGAGGGGTCCGCTACCATAATATCGTCAAACCCCGAGGCCACGATTGTCGAGGTCAGCGGTCGCGACTCGGTGCTGCTCAAGAGCAAGATCTCAGAGCCGTGCTTGGTGCTGCACTCGGTGAAGAGCATCGACGACGCGATCGACACTGCGCCAAGGTGAGCTTTGCCTCCTACACATAATAGACAAGTGCTTGCCGGCAGGATGAGTGCATGCTAACCGATGATGCTAGGCACGGAACCCTCGCAGCAACATACATCTTCGCCAAGCCAGATCCGGCCAAGTACATTGGCCAATTCGTCGACTCGAGCATTGTCTTTGTCAACCAGATTCCACCACAACTACTCTGTAAGCCTCTCCCATCACCTTCAAATCCATTCTCCAACGGGCAAAGGTAACTAACCAATCATCTTCCAACGAAGTCGGTCCGATCGCGCCTTCAAACTCTCCTTACAACCTCGCCCTCTCCTCTCCTTACACTACAACGCTCTTCTCCGTCCCCAAGCCCCAACACATGGTCCCGACGCCCCTCTCAGAAACCATCGCTGCAATAATGAGCAACCCGCACTCGACAGCCGTGGTCCTCGATCCCAAGGCCCTGCCGCCAGTGAAGCGGCTCAAGAACAGGCTCGCGCCGGGTTTCTTCGAGCAAGGTATCGTGACGGGTGGCTTGCTTCTCCTGAGCGTCGTTCTCTCATGCACGGGCTGGGTCGGATATCTGGCATTTCGTGCGGCGAAGGGGCGACTCTTCTGAAAAGGGCCCCCCGATCCTCATTGGTAAAGGCATCTGAACAAGCGTGTGTACATGGATAGATATCACAATATTGATACAGTGACTGCCGCAAAATATGTCAAGTGTGCAAATGTGCACAAATGGATCCATCCCTCCCGTCCTCGCAGGGATATCAAGAAGAGCACAAGCCTGGTCGGAGCATCATTTCCATGTCCACTCATTTACTAGTCGTCCGCCTGTATTTTCAACCCCGAGACTGCTCTGACCTCGCTGCTGATGGAGGCGCCGAATTTGCCAGCTCGGTAAGTACTGGCAGGGCCCGTGCTGTCGCTGCGTTCTTGGACGTCATGGGTAGCCACATGGCGCTTGAGGAGGTCGCTGTGAGAGGCGAGGCGGCCAGGCCACAGGGGTTAGTCAGGGGTAAGTCCGGGTCCGGCAGAGGTTCGGCCGTGCGAGATGCCGTGTCGCGGTGTGGTGGAGGAGAGCAGACGGAGCGGAGGACGGAGCGGAGGAGGAGGAATAGGCACCCTTGCCAGGGGCGGAGCTCTGGAGGTCCCTGCGGCCAGGGCAGTGTGGGGTATGGGGTAATTGGTCGCGAACCGCGAGGGGCCACGAACCTTGCCGATGACTACCGGTGTTGTACAGTACTCCGGGACGCCGATGGCCAGTGTGGAGGTGGCAGTGTGCCGCGCGTCAAGCCGACATAAGCATCTGGACGAGACACACGGGCCACATCGGTGCACGGCGACTTGCTGCCTCCGTGCGCTCCTCCACCTCCCGACATCTTGAGCATGGTGAACCGCCACTCCCGTCGAGTCCTTCGATTCCGACAATGCCGGGCAGCAGTCTCTGATTTGCCGTGCGCGGCCGGGCACCAGTCGTACACACCACAGCATCACCGTTGGGCTTCCGGCTCCGTCAACTTTGATCCGTCTTCTTGAGGTCAAGCCGCCCCTCTGATCTTCCAGCAGCAACACCAAGATCTTGCTGTCAACCACACATCGCGCAGCTCTCACAAACTTGACAATGGGTAAGTGGCTCTCAGCTCCTCCAAAACAAAACGAATCAGCCACTGACTGTTGCATTTACACAGCCCCCTTAACACCTGTCTACTTCTTCTCCCATGGCTCGACCATGATGCTGGGCGAGGAGTCCGAGGCGGCCGACTACTGGAAGAAGGCCGGCGACGCCGCCCTCGCCAACAACATCAAGGGCGTCGTCATGATGGGCGCCCACTGGGACGCGCTGGGCGAGGGCGTCGAGGTCGCCACCACCGTCAACCCGGGCAAGTCGCCCGTCGCCTACGTCCACCCCTCCAAGTACCAGGACTACAAGCTCAACCCCGACATCCCCGTCGCCCACCGCTGTATCCAGCTGCTGCGCGACGCCGGCATCGAGGCTAACGAAAATAGCAACTTTGAGTGGATCCACGACACCTACCTCGTCCTCATCCGCATGTTCCCCAACGGCTGCCCCCCGACCGTCCTCATTTCGATGAACTTCCGCTTCGACCCCCACCTGCACATGCGCGTCGGCGATGCCCTGCGCTCTCTCCGCAAGGAAGGCTACCTTATCATCGGCTCCGGAGGCGCCGTCCACAACCTCTATCGCAACCGCTGGGGGCAGATGCTCCGCTACTCGGAAAACTTTGCCCAGGAGACTCCCCCGGAGCCCTGGGCCCTCGAGTTCCGCCAGTCAGTCGAGGATGTCATGGCCAACAACTCGGGGCCCCAGCTCCGAAGAGCCATGACGCGGCTGATGAAGCACCCGCAGTACCGCGATGCTCATGGCACCGACGACCACTTCATGGCGGCCCTGTTCGTGGCCGGTGCAGCTGGTGACGAGGAGGACACGGGCACATATGGCGAGCTCAAGGCCGAGACGTGGGAGTTGGTCAACATGTGCAACAGCCAGTTCATTATTGGCTCCTGGCCAAAGACGTTGGCCGCGACGGCCTAGTGGTTTCGTTGTACCATTAAATGAATTCGTGCGTTGTTTTGATAGCAAATCTACCAGTATCTTGCTGTTCTGAATCTTTCACGAGTCCAGTCAATAATCCACTTACAAAAGAGAATAAATTGTTACAGAAAAGGGCGCAAAAAGACGTAATGACCCCATTTCCATGACATTAAGCATATACAAGTATTGGGTCTATCTTTAAGGCTTGCAAGTACATATCGCGTGGAACTAGTGCGTGGTTGTACTCAACGGTGATCAAGGAGAAAACATCAAAATCAAATAAACAGAACGAGGTATCGACGTTCAAACAAGGTATCTAGAACGCAGCCAAAATAGTAAGCAACGAATTCCAACAATGCATTTGATGATAAAATGAGAGAGAAAGAAGTACTCATAAAAACCGTTGAGTAATTCTATGACTGAAAAGGTGATAACTCAGAGACACAACAACGTAAAACCACGGAAGCGTTACACCAGCACGGGATAAATCTCACCTGAATTCGCAAATGCTATGTAGTAGTTAAAACGACTTGCTACTAGATTTATATGCATAGATGTTCTCTACTACAACTTCTTCCATATATACTTTGATAGTACGCTGAGGAGGAGATGATAGAGACGAACTAAGCTTGCGGAAGGGTAACATATCCCAACGAGGAAGGAAAGTCATAAAATGTCGTAACGCACTGCACAGGTACCCGAATTGAGCACTTATATATGCACATGTATAAGTTCGACGATGAGGAGGCAATTTGCAGATAATGACAATGTAAAAGCAATGAGAGAAATAGCAAAAGAGGAGAAATCACACGAGAGGGGTCGAATGATTTACATCGACTATCTTCGTGCTCGATGAGACGACGCAAGTCTCTACCCCTGGAGTCTACGCCTTCGGGATAATCGGCAGAGTAACATAGTTCTCCAGCCCAGCCCCGAAGCAAATGTTGTTGACACCCTGGAACACCTCGGGCGACCGGTCGTTCTTGTCCTCGTGCGTGAAGATGCCGCTGCCCTGGGTGTCACCCGAGGCAACCTCGAAGACGATGCGCCCGCCCTGCTCGGCGACGACCTGCGTCGGCCACACCTCGACATCGACGCCGTAGATGTCGCCCTGCACCACCTTTTGCACGTCGGTGCTCGCGTAGTCGCGGTGGGGCAGGTAGCTCCTGTGCTTGGGGCTCTCGGTGTTGACCTTGCGTAACGAGACGCGCAGCCAGCCCTTGGTCAGCGGGACGGGATCACCCGTGGTGCCCGTGTAGAAGACCTCGTTACCGTCGGGGCCAATATAGCGCAGCGTAATGAACAGGTCAATGTCGCTCGGGGTCGGTCCGTCGGGGTCAGGAGTGACCGAGACATTCAGGTGCGCGACGACGTGGCCCGTGATCTCGGTCTCCTGCTCGAACGGGGCCGTCGAGAACTGGACAAACTTCTGGTCCTTTATCGTGCCCAGCGCGCGGTAGGAGACCTTGCGCTTTTCGTCGGTGGGCTTAGGCTTATCGGTAGCAGTCAGGCCCAGGTCGGGAGTAAGGTAGAAGGGCGTGTACTGCGTGCGGGGGATCGGCCAGGCGGACTCGTCGCGACGCTCGTACACCTTCTCCTTCTCGGCGTTGTTGAAGCCGACGTTGCCCTTCCTCAGGACGAGGGAGACGGGGGCTACCTTGCCCTCCTCGGACCAGCCGACGTGGTCCTCGCCCTTGAGGAAGGCGTCGAGGAAGCTGCGCTGGATCTCGACCTCCTCCTTGTAGTAGAAGGGTAGGTCGTGCCGGCCGGTGATCATACGCAGGTACTTAAACTTGCTGCCCGCGTGGGTGTAGCCCTCGACGTTACCGCGCAGGTGCAGTAGGATGCCGCCCCAATTACCCACGCTAAGCATAGGCACCTTGATATCGCCCATATCGTACTCCTTACTGGCGTAGTAGGCGTCGTCGCGGAAGCGGTTGGCCGCGTTGTCGATGTTCTGGTCCTGGCGGTTGGCGGCGAGCTCCTCGTCCGAGAGGTCGCCCTCGATGGTGTCGGGCCCCCATTTGCTGGCCTGGCGCCCGGGGCGGCCGTACTGGTTGGTGATGATCTGGCGGTTCCACCAGAGGCGGATGAAGCCGTCCGACAGGATGCCGCCGTGCCGGCAGCGGTCGCGGTAGTAGTCGGACATGCCCTCCCAGGGGATGATGGCGGATAGGCCCTTAGGCTGGCGGGCCGCGACACGCCACTGGGAGCCCGCGTAGTACGAGATGCCCAGCAGGCCGACCTTACCGCTCGACCACGACTGCTCGGCACACCACTCGACCACGTCGAAGAAGGCGTCGGACGTGCCGCGCGACATGGTGTCGAGGAGCCCGGGCGACTGACCGAGACCGCGCTCGTCGGCCCGGACTACGGCGTAGCCCGCATTAGTCCAGAAGCCCGGATCGGGCGTCTCCCAGGCGGCGTGGGCAGACTTGTGCTCAGGGTTGACGTCTGCGAACGAGTTTGCGTGGAAGCTGAGGGGGGAGGGGGAGGCAGTCTAAAGTTAGCCAATGTGCACTTTCTAGAGGGCATAAGCAGAAGTAGAGAAGCGGCATAAGCAGGGGAAAGGAAGCATAAGCAGGGGGGCAAGATGACATACTCCTGGTACCCAATGTCCTTGCCGTACGGGCCATATGTTACAAGCACAGGCACAGGCCCAGAGCTCTTTGGTCGGTACACATTGCAGCGGACGAGCCCACGACCGGCCTTCAAGGGGACAGAGACATCCTTCTCAAAGACGTAGGGAAAGGACGTCTCGTCGACGACGCGCAGGTCGCGGATCTCGTTGGGCATGGCTGCTTCTGTCTATCCTGCGCGATGTGGTGTTGGCGTATTTTCTCTTACTGGAGGAGGCAGCTCGGACAAAGGATGGATGTTTGTAGAGGAGACTTGGAAGAGGATAGGAACAGCAACAGAGACAGGAATGCAGAAGACCAGGTCGAGTGACAATGACGACGTGCAGCCAGCTTCTTGTCTAAGAGGTCGCCAGCAACGCGGCCGGACCAAGACCCCCTCTCGCCCCCCTCCCTCCTCTTACCCCATCGCCCACCCGCTCGGCACGACGCGTTGGGGTCGCGGGCGAACGTGTGGCCTGGGCAGGCGGGGCAAGGGGTCCCCTTCCGCGCCTTCCGCGGCTTGTCCCCTTCTCCTCTTTGTCCTCTTTTTCGTCTTTTTTCCCCGACTGGTCCCCCTCCCCCCTGCCTCGCTCGGCGCTCCTCCACATGGCCTGTCTCTACTTTTCCCCGAACTCGTCCACGCAGGGCCGACGACCCGAACGATCAAGACGGACCACTCTGGAACCGGCGGCGTCTTGTACGGAGGTGCCTTGCAAAAGTCTTTCACTAGTTTCTTGTCTCTGCCGTGTCGCCAGCTGCCGAGCTGCGTACCTCCAAGGTCACTCTCGATTACTCTTCCGCTACAGCGGTATACCTTTAATATACGAATAAAGCCGTCCTTCGATAACCTATGTAATCGTGGGGGCCAGGCCGGCCGGCCATCGTGCCCTGGCGCTTGTGCTAAAGGTCAGGCTGAGGAGCAGTAAGGGCGGCTCATACTTGCATTGCCCGATTCAGCCTACTCCGTTGGCGGCCGACAGTGGCCAATTCGAGCGGCCGATCGTAGATGGCTTCATTCTGCTGGTTCGAGAAGCGAAGGATTCTTGACGCGTCTGAACCGAGCAAAACATCCAGGAAATGCTCGGGAGTACGTGTACCATGCGACCTGATTTCGACAGCGTTTTCTCGACGTCTTGGAAGGAAGTGCACGCTTCGATCGGGCTCTTCGAGCAGGCCAACACCAGTCAGATGGAGAGATTCTTCTCCGCTTGATCCTCGGATACAGTTTCTGATGCTCGACTCACTTCGAAGCTGGTCAAGCCGCACGACCGGCTTTCGCTGCGTTCATTGTGCGTTGCAGGAATTGTCGGCACCGACGGTGGCATGAAGCTCACAGCCCAGATTCAACTTGCTGTAACATAGCACGTTGGCATGAATGGTGCCTTGCACGCCGTCGCACCCGCAGAAGAATGAGAATTGAGAGGAAGGGCTGTTTGAGCGGCGTGCTGGCTTTGAGTTATGCGCACCTTGCGAACTTGACATTGCATCTATGTACAGACGGAGGTTGTCCCATCGACTGGCTGCTGTTGTCCGCACTCAGCGAGACAAGACTGCTTTGAGGACATGCAACAGTTTTTCAGCACTGCCATCTTCCCATTCCTGACACCTCCAGGCCACAAAATAGTCCGGTCGCACGAGCACGCAGCCGGATTCTGTCACCCCCCGTAGCTTCGCCCAGTCGTTGTAGCGATCTTCATACTGCTGGCGGAAGCCGATTTGATATACCTCAAGGGGCACGCCGCCGAGCGTTTTTGTCGCTTCCTCAGCTGCATGCCGCCAGCCGTCGCCTCCGATACCAGTGATCAAGGTGAAACGGGTCTTCCCAGCAAGATCAATCGTCGATATTGGGGCAGATGGGATTGCGTCGCTCAGCCATACATGGGGAAGGCGCGAGCCAGGATATGTGGTTGGGTGGTAATGCTCCAGCGGATCCTTGTCAAAGGGAGGGGGCCCATCCTTCTCATCTTCGTGATAGACCGCCGTCGAACGATAGCGCTGATTCATCTCAATGCCAAGACCGTGCTCTTCTCGATCAAGAAGTCGGAGTGCCGCTTGAAAGTCATTGCGACGTTGATGGCCGCGGGGAGAGGCCTCTTTGAGTACAGATAGAGCAGCCTTACCCGCCTCGGGACCGGGTTCAAAGCAGCCGAGGATCTGCCATATTTTCAGGTGGTTACGGGAAGATTCATTGGCCCTGCACGAGTCAGTATTGAGAGAAGTTGGAAAAGTGGAAGTGATACTGACTGAGTCACGATGTCCTGGCCAACAGGCTGTCGCTCGTCATTGAACGATGACAGTAGTTCTTTTCCCGCCCATCCACGCTGGACGTATGCAACTTTCCAAGCGAGGTTGTGGGCATCCTGGATGCAAGTGTTCGAGCCGAGTCCATGGTTCGGAGGATGGCGATGGACAGCGTCTCCGAGGCAGAATACATCTCCTTTCGAATAGCGATCTGCATATATCTCGTTGATATTCCAGGTCGACACGCCCAAGATTTTGATGTCAACAGAGTCGTCGCCGATGATCTCTCGGATACGGTTGACGTATTCCTCATCCGACCGACGTTGTCTATCCGACCCCGGTCTATGAACCAATCCGACGACCCAGGTGGACCACGGTTTGACCATTCGGACACATGATAGGGCTGCCCAATCAGGCGTCTCCCGATCTGCCTGCATAACCCAATGTAGATTACCGACGCGGTTCTTCATCAAATGCGAGAGGTCTGCCTCAACGAGAACGTTGGTGGCAGGTCCACCGCCTGGCTTCACCACGAATGGGAGCTGCAATGCTTCTGCGATTCGACTCCGTCCGCCGTCGGCGCCGAAAAGATATTTTGCTTTGACGCGATATGTGTGACCGGTGAGCCGATCTCGGAGGGTGCTGACGATGCCTTCGCCATTGTCAAGTTGCTCGAATGAAACATGTTCAGTGTCGAATCGCAGGCGAAATCCATTTTGAGAGGCGTAGGTGGTCAGAATTGGTTCCAACTGCCACTGTGGCAAATCGATGTGGACAGATGGGCTCGCAAGCTCATAATCGCCCTACGTGCATGTGTGAGTCCCCTCATTCTGTGCTGGCGTGATCTGCGAGACCTACCTTGCGCTTGGGTGAGTTACCCCATGCGTGAATGCGTGCGTATTCTTCGCCTGCCATGGACGATGACCAGATGGTGTGTGCCATGGTATCACCATTAGTCCCCACCTCGTAGCACTGTTTGTCCACGCCAATGTCACGAAGACAGTCTGAAAAGCATTAGCGACGAGATCATCTCAGTAACGTCCTGACATACCTAGTGCCGCCATGCTCATAATGTGTGCTCGAGGCGTGTTCGCAGTGCTTGGTTGATTGGTGACGACGAGGCCCTTGAGTTCTGCTGTTGTGTTAGCATCGAGTCCCACGCATACGTGCTGTCGCAAAGCTCACTATTCTGAGCCAGGAAGCAAGCAAGGCCAGCGCCTGCAGGACCCATTCCAACGACGAGAAAATCGACGTCCGTCACGTCGGATGATGCATTGCTCGTGCCATTGGTGGCCATGTTGACGGCGAATTTGATGAAGCAGCTAGGGATCCCGCGATGGTAGAAGTAGAAGAAGGTACGTGTTCGTTGATAGGACTGGACATGATCATATTGGCTGCGAGATCATTTCTATTATTCTCATGGTCCAGACGGTTACCCCACGGCAGTCCACGAAAGCAGTTGCAGAGTCAAGCCACGCTCGGGACCGCATGACTAGCTCTCTGGGGTAGCTCTCTGGGGTATCTGTCTGGGGTAGGTTGGCGGTGTATATCGGTAGTGGTGTGCTACTCTTGCCACGTCTTTACTAGGTGCATCAGACTCGTGCCACGCCTTTAGGAGGTGCATCAGAATAAGTGGGCCGTGGCACGAGCACGACAATGTGACCCGCCACGAATCATGGCGTGTCGAGACTACGCAGTAGCGTACACTAGCGTAGGCACCCCGCGCATCATCGGAGAACTCCATGGGATATAATTGCGGGGTATTTTCGTGCTCCACTTTCGGAGCCGAAATGGGATCGGCACCGGGGCCCATGGACAGCGAGCCAGTCCAATGGAAACCATTCCTCCTCATCTTGGAAAGACGACGACAAAGGGACTCCGCGCTGAGGTCATGGCCTGCTGAAGGGCCTTGACTATTATATCTAAATTCTGCTCAGATGCGCCGATGACGCGCCAGGAGACATCATGGATGGGTGTTGTAGAACAGTATTCATTTTGCAAGGATACCTCCGGACTGACACTCAAAACACACCACCTCACATAGTGATGCTCCTTCTCCTCGCAAGAGTTCAATCGCCGTCGTGTATTTAAGGCGAGACTACACTAACCTCCGGGTAATATGCTGTATCCAAGTTATTAACGAGGTGGCTTGTTTGCCTTCGTAGTTGTAAGAGTCACATTGAAGCGTCACATACGGGGGTGCAAATGAAGCTATTGGTGATAGCAGAAGTGGTTTAAATGAAGGAACGCGCCTAAGGCGCCGGCGGTGCGGTGCGCAGATGTGGTTCACCTGCGCACTGACCACCTGGGCTGTCTGCTTATCTTATCGTATGATGTGCCCCCTTTGGATGGCTAGATAACTACGTGTACTAGGTCGAAGCAGCAATCACCTCATCGTACTTGGCGAACAGATCCGCGTTGGCCGCAGAATGGCTCTCCTCGACAGCCCTCCGTCTGTCCTCAGATCGAACCTTCAGATCGACCGGGAAATCTTTGATGGACAAAACTAACCCTTCGACGTAGCCGGTCATTATGTCGGTGTCTATTTCAATGGGTTTGCCAGTCGCTGGATCGGTTGGAAGCCTCATGTCAAACGCCCACAGCATCTTCGATGCGACGTGCATGAGGTTGCGTTCCGCAAGATGTATGCCAGGGCATAGTCGTCGACCATTCCCTACAGCTGGAGTCAATTATCAAGAAATATGTTTCCAGTGAACGAGCACGCTTACCATATGAATAATGATCGCGCTTCTCTGGGTCCGCAAGGTTGGCGTACTCGGACGCGAAAGCGGTGAAACCTTCAAATCGATCGGGGTCGAACTTCTCAGGGTTTTGGTACCGTTTCTCGTCTTGACATAATGTCCAATTGTTGAGAAACACCGTTGATCCTTTTGGAAGCAGCTTGCCGTCAAGCCAGACATCTGTCGCTGTTAGTTTCCACAGCTGAAAAGACATCCGTGAAGATGCTCACCTTCAGACAGTTCATGCGGAATGCCAAGACCCCCCAACGGCCGCCACCTCTGGACCTCCTTGATGATGGCCATCACATACGGCAAGCGACCGAAATCCGACAGATCAGGTATGCGATCAGACGGGACCTCGCGATCAATCTCGGCCTGTGCTTTCTTTTGTATCTCGGGGTGCAAAACCATTGCGGTGACGAAGTTGGACAGGGTAGTTGCCGAAGTATCGGATCCACCCTTGATCGTTACCCCAGCAAGGTTGGCAATCTGATGGCGCGTCAAAGTATTCTTCCCGGTTTGGTCCAGCATTCGATCGACGATGCTGCCGACGGAACCAATGCGCTGTCTCCGACTAACGACTGTGTCGTGAAGTCCATCATACAGGTCACGCATTTCATCATGCACAGCACGTGCTCGGGACTTCCAGTTGTTGAAGAATCGTTCTGGTACCCAATTCAGGGCCGGGAAGATGTCGACGGGCGGAGTGGCTCCCGGTGTGTTGATAATCGTCCATTGACGCATTAGTTCTTCGAATCGCAGGATATACGGATCGTAAATACGTGGCTGTCGAATACCGTAAACTAAGAAGATATTAATGATAGTCAGGCGAGCATTCTGAGAGGGAGAGACTTGCCGAGGCACATGATTAGGCTGTTGGTGAAGCGCTCGATATGTCTCTTCCATTCGGACTGGTCCTGCATCATGTCGTACAGCATTTGCACAGATTCGGCATGCTGGAGTGGCGCATGGGTGCCATTGCACATGGTTTGCGTCAAATCGCCGTGGATCAGCTTGCGCAAGTCGCGCCATTGAGGTGTTGCATCCATCCACAGCAGGTGTTCTCCGCCGGTCAGAAGCTGTTGCCGAAGCACACTGACTGGCCGATTACTTGAGACAGCGCTATTCTTGTCAAGAACTTGCTTCACAGCGTTTCGGCCGCTGAGAACGATGATATTGCTCGGCCCAACGGTCAACGAATAGCAGTCGCCGTATTCTTTCGCCCATTCGTGCAGTCTGTAGGTGGGTCAGCTCAGGTTCGACAAGATGGACTCGCCGCGTCATTCGTACTTGAGGAACAATTTGGACGTGGGCATCTGCAACATGTTGCCCAAGAGCGGCATTGTGGGAGGGCCTAATCACAGTCAGCCGTTCGTGTTTCAATCACGGACAATTTGACTGTTGTGGACATACCATCTGGCATATGTCGGCGCCGATGGCCGATGGTCGAGCAGGCATGGAGGAACAACGCCAATGGCAGACCGACCGCAATGAAGTAGGCCAACATGATGGTGACTTTACGCCGACGAGTGTTGTTGTTCGGATTGATAGATTGGAGTCGTGCACAAGATTATGGATGGACAGGAATGGTTCAACAGTCAGTGCAAGCAGCCACTTTATCTATTGCTGCCGTCAACGCTGTCGGCCTGGTTACCCCACGGGAAAAGGCAAAAGAGAACTCGTCCTCTGCACACCTGCGCTATGCAGCTAGCAGCCTGTCAAGCCCCGATGGTCCGCCTGCTCCGCATTCCCCAGCTTCTCCTCAACGCCACGATCGACAGCCCCAGCGCCACCAGCAGCGAGACACGGCACCCCGTGGTCACCCATACTCTTGGTCCTCTTCAACAACGCGAGATCCCTCGGCCTCCGATTGGATCACAGGAAAACTGAGGCCCTGTACGTTCCACGCGCAGTCCCGTTCTGGCTACTTCGTACATAGTGGGTTCATTCCCGGGCCAGCTGTGGGGCCGCCCCCTCACCCGAGTCACCCAAGCAAGCGCTCGACTCCACCGCCTGCCGAAGGGCCACAACGGAGGATGTAGCCGACTCCACTCTCTCGCGAACATCTAATTACTGCGTAGACACCGCTGGTTGTTCCCGGACCAAGGACCAGCCCCAAGACGACCCGACCAAGTTTCGGTACTCCCGGACTTCGTCAAGCCACCAAATGAGTGGTGGAACCAACACAAGCCCGAGCACAGCCCGTTGGCCTGGCGCGTGTGGTCCGACAAGTCACCGGACGATCACGTCGACATTTCAGCCCGATCTTCTCCGTGGGTACACCTCAGGGGCGCGCGTGTCGGGAGACCACCTATACTGACACGTAACCAAGTTTGGGTTTCTATTACTTGCGACCTCATTGCTTGATATGTAGATCACCAATCTCGCGCACTACTCGAGCTAGCGATTTTGCTATCTGTGCTCGAAGGAGAGACAATACCCTTTCGCCTCTCAAGATTGGTACTCGGACCTGCGACGGTGAAAGCTCCGAATCACCAAACGCAGCCTTGACATACAAAACTAGTGTTGCGTAGTAAATCGCGTACGGTATGTGAGGCGCTTCGTGTTGAGCGTGTTGCGGGTCTCCGAGTGCCTCAATCTGTTGTCTCGAGTCCACTTGTCTGGATGGCAGGAGATTCTCCGCGGCGGTCAATAACCTCTCCGCATGCCAACAGGCAATCTGGTGTTCACGACTTTTCAGCCAAGTGTTGATGCTTTTCGGTGCAGCAGCGGTCCGGCTATCGGCTTGAGCGGAGCTGCGGTTGATGTTTACCAGGGTCTGCAGAACGATGAGGCCCGTGTGGAGCATAATGCACATTGCGTGGTACAGAGAGAGGTCAGACAGGCTCTTGCAATGTTCCAAATGTTGCACTTGCGCACATTTGTCAAGAGCCAGCTCCACGAAATCCGGTCTGTCGAGACGACTCGCAAGCGTAGGCAGTACGCCGCGACCGTCAGAATCCCGGCATGGTCGAAGTCCTGACCACAAATGAGGTGCAAGTGAAGCTAATGCAGTCAGGGTCGAAGGGAGTCCATGGACATGGACGTTTCCATCGACAATGCTGGTAGAAGCTAGAACAGTTTGCATCAATTTGCTGTCTGGTGTTGCGCAGCGTGCTATGTCGTGCCACATCATCGAAGGCGGTCTCAGCATGATGACAACACGGTAGGAGTCCAGAACGTAGAGTGCTTCGAGTAGTCTGTGGTACAGCTGGTCAGCCAAGTCACTGGACTCATATCAGCACGAGTTCGTCATTACTTCGTTGCGGACGTGTCTTCCGATTCAGTAAGATCGCTGCTCAAGGTTTGAGCGTATTCTGTAACTGCCTGAGAGGGATGAGTTCGACGGAGAGCCTCAAATCAGGCACAGCGGGTGACGCACGGTAGTGAGACTGCCTTGGAAGGCCTCGCCTATCTCGTAACTCCTTTCCTGCCCGCTGCACAACCCATACACTTCCAATAGGATGAACTACGAGTTGCGTTAACCTCGGATATCAATATTATGAGAAGTCCTTTTAATACCGTTGCCGCGACCTCAAGGGCGGATGAATTGCTTCTGGGTGTGTACTCCAAAGAATGGTACTGCGCGACGTTAACAAATGATTTTCATGCCGGAAGCCGTACTCACCTCAGCCAGCAGCAGTCGACGAGCATCATTATACATGGCGTTGGCAACGTCGATCGATCCGGACACTACACTAAACAAGCCACCGACTGCTGCCAGTGCATATATGTATTTGATTGAGTGCTTTATCGTCTCGGGCGCGGCTTCACGGTACAGATCAAACACCTGCGGAGCGTGCCGTTTGAAAAGTTCCCGAAAGATCCGGACAGTATCGCTGTCATGGCTGCGAAGATCGGGCGGTGCAGAGTACCACATCTTTCGGCGTGTGCTGCCTGAAGGCGAGACTTGTTGCGAGCGCGAGTCGAAGTAGTCAGCCATATAGGTTGTCAGTCGCAATGTCGGACTCGCAATTACGGGTTGCTGTTCGGTTTGCTCAAACAGTCCCGGACCATACAAGTCTATCTCTTCCAGCCAGTTGTACTCTATAGGCTGAGGATTTAGTTCGTGCATATCAAGGAGATCGTCCCAGCCTGTGGGAGTGGTGTTGTCTTGAAGAGGAAAGAAGTCCAGTCCTTCACCATTCACATCTGGAAGGCGGGATCCGTGGGAATGTTCAGGTCCTGAGATTGGCAGTCCAGAGTCTGCTGTTTGCTGTGGGAGCGCTTCATGCTGTGGGAGCGCTTGATTCAATCCATTGCCGTCTCTCGCCAACGTGGGCGACGATGTGACTGGCACAGGCTCTGGACTGATGACGAAGCATTGCTGCGGCCTCGTGCGGCAAGAGTTACAGGGTTGCTGTCCGTCGCATGCAATTTTTCGTTCACGACATCCTAGGCAAGCATGTCGCACACGTTTGCGACCACGTTGGTTCCCTTCTGCGGTAGATCCGAGATCCAGGGTCGCCGAGCAAGACTTTTCGTGCGCTGCTCGGACATCTGCCCTTTGGAAGGATTTGCGGCACACCTCACACCGATATGGCGCTTCTCCGGTATCTAAGGATTGGGTCAGCCCCCAAGTCACTGGGGTAGGACACAGAAGTACCCACGGGTTCGGCGATGCCTAGCAAGATGCTCTGCTCGAGCGAACACCCGGGAGCAGTATTCGCACTGCAGTGGACACTCCAGAGTCAGCGGCCGGCATCGATCGGCCTCGGGATGGTTGCTTACCTTCTTCTCCGCTCGGCCCATATTATTCACCCTCGACGACGGAGTAAGGAATGGGGTTGGGGAAGCAAATCTCCCTAGGTAGAAGTGATGAAGAAATGGATGGGGTTGTGCTGACCCCACCAGCCGAGGTGTTCCCTATAGAAGTAATAAAGGAATGGATGGCCGGGGGGTTGGGCTGACCCCATTAGCCGATGTGTTCCCCCGGCTTCTCCCCGTACGCCACCTACCCCAACCCCACCTTAATAAAGGAATGGATGGGGTTGTGCTGACCCCATCAGCCGAGGTGTTCCCCCGGCTCTCCCCGTACGCCACGTAGCCCAACCCAATCAGCCGAGGTGTTCCCCTTGTTTCTGCCCACACGCCACGTACCCCAGCCATCCGCGCCATCCGATCGTGGCGGGCGCATCTTCGGACTTCGATGACCTGCCGTCCGTCCGTCCAGATCTGGCGGTCATTGGGGTCGGACACATCATCTCCAATCTCCATTCAGCAAGGTCAAACGATGGAAACTCCAACAGCCAGTGTATGGCCCGCTAGGCGACACCCGACCCGCTGGGAGTCGGTCGACGCCCACCAGGGACCCCCAATCTCGGTCAAGGAACGTTTCCGTACCGTTCTGGTGCACGGCGAGGGTGACGCAGTCCGTCACAATGCTTCCTCCTTGGATCTCAGTTCTTGTCTTGCCACGCCTACAGCTGAAGCTGAAACTCGGCCACACACGTACCCGTTGACACTTTTCCATGGCCTACAAGCTCTCCCGACCGATAATGAGCTTGCAGCCTTGCGTCGTGTATACGGCGACACGTTTGGAACACACGTCTACGTTAGCGAGTTCGGCGCCGAGGGAATCGCAGCTCAGTCCAACCCGCCATATCTGCAGCTGACGTTGGCTTTGGCTTGCCTTGCCTCGATTTTCTTCGAATCGCCAACAAAGACGCAGGATGCATCATACGCCGTGTCTGCGCATCTTTTTCAAGCTGGCTACCACATTTGGCTAGCGATGCTGGAAGTCGATGGTCGCGAAACCCGTAGCGCGAGGGCAGTAATTGCAGTAAGTTTGAACAGAGCCTGTTCAGATGCCGTTCATATCTCAGCGTTCAGTAGGCAGGCCTCTTTTCAACATACGGTATACTTGCATCAGGGAGCGTGATCAAGCGAAAGACAGCGGGGCTTCTTAGTAACGTGACGAATGTAGGTACGGACCAGTGTTGTTGCAAGATCCGGAGCTGATCTTGAGTAGGTCATCAGACGAATGCGAATGACCGATGATTCTGCGTCTGCACATACTGCATCGAGTGCGTCTGAAAGACATCTGGTCGGAAAGAGGCGAGTAGAACCAAAGAGATCTCGAGTCCGGTTTGAATTCAAACTGACTGGTTGCAATAGCGCACTGCTATGGTACATGTTGCTGATTGATATCATTCACGGCCTGAAAAGCAACACCGCGCCAATCTACTCAATCAGCGAGCTATCAATTCGCCTGCCACAAAAGGGCTACCCATTTCAGATGATCAATGACGCACTACTTCATGGTCAAGCTCTTCCAAATGATCTAGGCCATCGCGAAGACGCTCTGGCATTGTCCATTGCGCTTCTCTCGAACATCATACGAACTCACAAGACGTGCTTTGGGCCGTTGAGCGTACTCATTCGTCCAGATCCGTGGAATCCTTACCGGCCGCTCACCTGGAGATCAGAGCTCGCGAGTGCTGTCGCAGTGTTCAACACCGCGCTCGCTCGGTGGGAAAGTCACTTCCTTCAACACGCGGACCATGATGTACTCGCCTTACACTACTTTACAAAGCTCTATCTCATGGTTCCGAGCATCGCGGAACTTCCGAGCCTGGCTCGTAGCGGTTCGATCCGTCCAATACAGTTGGCCGAACAAATGACCATCCCTGATGAAGCATTGGAAATCGCGTGGGACGTCTTCGAGCACGTTGAATCTGCCATCACGGTGAAGAATCACAGAATGTCGATCTGGCTACCCGAAATTACCTTCTTGTCAGCTCTGACTGTCTGGCACAGCCATTCGAACAAAGGCCATCGGAGATATGGTGGTATTCGGTCACTCGTCATGTACCAGAAACTCTTGCTACAGCTACCATGGCCATGCTGTACGGAGATGGCGGCAGTCCTGGATAAGGCTGCACGGCAAGAGTGACTTGCTCTTGAACCAGAAGAGATTACATTCATAGATATGCACTTCTTAATCTTAGCGACGAAGAGCAATCGCAGCTCTCTGACCCCCGATCCTGCTGCCGGCAATGACCACCTTGAGCGGGTGGGCATTGCCGGCTTGGCCAATGTGTTCTTGTTTATGCGAGTGCGACCATTTTTAGCGAATGTTAAGGCGCAGCTGTGGAATCTCGCAGCTGTAGCAAACGCTGTGCCTAACCGGTGGTCTGAGGTCTGTGAGAAGATCCGAGGCTATGGACGATGTGATACATACAACATCCTACGCATCGCGTATCCGATCGGTGTTCAATGCCTGGTCATCGTGTGACAGCGTCACATGCTGCGCTTTCGGACTGCAACTCATTGCGCGTATCTTGGCCACGGTGTAATTGTGCGCATGTCCTTCTCGGATCGCAAAGAAAAATCTCTCGTCGTCGCAGCATCCGCGCTTTCCATCAAATCGCCGCGATACCGATCTGGAAGGTAGGCCCGAACCTCCATCGGAAGCAGCGCTATGATACTGTACTGTTGGATTGATCGAGCATTCTTGTAGCATGCTCCTCGACGTTAGGCCTTGGGACGTCCGCATAGGCCCAATGAGGCTTTCGACCGTATAATAACCACTCTCCTCCACACACGTGGCAAAGTCGTCCTCCTCAGTCATAAGATTGAAGCAAGGTTGGCAAAAGTAGTGGTCTTTGGATCATCAGTAACTGAATGCGGAGCTTGAATAGAGTGGGTTCATTTGGGTACTGACCGCACTCTGTCCTACAGCTGGCTGGCTTCTCTTCGCACGCGGTACATAGAGTATCGCTCTCGCGGTTGGCCGAAGTCTCCTGACCGTCGCCTTGAGAACCTGCGCTGCCCTGGCACTCTTTCATGACCTGGTCTATATGCTGTCCCGTCGGTATGTTGGAGAAAGTCCGAGGCCCTGGCTGATTATCCCGAGTCGTTTTGTGATGAGCAGAATTCTTAGCTATAGATTTGTCAGATCTTTTGCAAGCCCTTGGGCGGTGTTTGGGTCTTCGTGCACATTGAGATCGAGTTCCGTGATGATGCGTAGCTCTAGATCCCGTAACTTCTTGCTGGATTTGGTGGAATGGCTTGCTCTTCATTGTGGGCTGGCGTAGTGACGCTTCTCTGGAGCTTTGCGAATTCTTGGATGAGAAACTTAGGATCTCTCGTTGCGACATCGTGGTGGTCCTCGTAGGTGATACTGAGGAAGCAATCCGGTACGCGAGGACTGGCCTCAACGACTTTTCATATAGGTGTCGAGCTGGCATGCGCCGTTCGAATCTTGAGGTGCAGGGCTGCCTCCGTGCCGTTATCCTGGGAGAGCGCGAACCACTTAAGGCCAATGGCCATGTTCAGAGCAATGGGACCTGATAGAGATGGCGGTTGCGAGCCGGTCTACTTGCGACATTGGCCCCTGAGCGTTGCGTGAGAAGGGCTTTGGCGGTGCAAAGACGATTGTGCAGCAGCACTTACATGCGATCCAAAGTCTCACAAATATGTGAATCCGCGATGCCCTGCACCAGCACGTTCAGTATTGACTTGGCTGTATTCGGGCATGACATCGCTTCAATCGTTCAATGTAGGTAGCTGGACAGTGTGAGAAACATTCAACGTCCTGAGTGCCGTTCTGGACGACACCCATGCCTCTCAGTAACAATGGTCGATCAGAGCTTTCAGGACAATTGCGAGCTCCCGCATTCGCGATGCAAACTTCCGCATGGGGCGAAAGCTGATGATGGGCCACTCCTTGCACTATCACAACGACGCCTAAGATCGAGAGGGTCTCCCACCACTCTCAAGGACGACTGCAAGTGCGGCTGCGAGGCGGTCCTTGATTCTCCATTGCATCTCCCGATGGATCCACCGCCCAGCCATTACGCTGTCAGGCCGGCGTAGCTAGATCCAAGGGACCATACGACGCGTCTGAATCTATCCGGACGCCCAAAGCACCACCAAGCGTTGTGTACCATGCCTTGAATGCAGCCGAAAGCCTTCTCCTGGATCTTGATCCCACTCAGCCCTCGGCTGCTGCGAAGCCATGGTGGTGATTCCCCGGTCGTCGACACGGACTTTATCGTTCTCCATCTATTAAGTCACTCCTTAGATCGACTTGTGCCCTACCTGCGGTTTTGAACCTCGAGAATCAAAATCCGCGCCTGGAACCTTCTGAGGGAGTGCACAAGTCCAGTTGGTGGATCGCCGGTTGTCCATATTTTCCTTTTTCAACCACTCCCAGCAGCGGCCATCTTCTGCTCTTGGGCGACGTCGGTGAAGTTCGCCGAGGTCTTGGTGGAGAAACACTTAGCTGCACAGAGCCCGCCACGCTCTATCCCAGGACAATGATTGTTTCCTCCTTTCCGTTCAGTTCTTCGAAAAAGTAGTTATCCGCCGTGATGTCGCTGTGAAGCCCATTGATGTATGGATAGTCCACCAACAGATGAGTCTGCATGGATTCGTCACCCTCATCAGCGCTGGCGTGTGACCATGGACTGCCATTGCACAAACGGCCTGCTCGGTGGAGGCGCTGACAGGCTGGACGCAGCATCAGACTGTTTGTGAAGTGCTCAGCATAGACAGCGATGTCCCCAACTTCAACAGGGCCGCTGCAGAACCCAAAGTTACCCGTATCCAGCACAAACAGTCGCCGGCCCGCCATTCGTTGCTCCGCGCGCTCAAAGATCGGCACATAGCGCTTCTGTTGGAAGCTATAGTCCGCCGGATCTGCGGATAGTGATTCGAGGACAGATGGTAGGTAAAACCAGACAGGGGGTTCTCTAAGTACATAATAGGCCTGTGATCCTCTAGATGTACCAGGAATGCTTGGTGGTAGAGAAGTCTGCCCTGGTAAGCTGACAACACATCTATTACACAAACAATGACCACAACTAAGCCCACAAGCAACGGGCATAGTTAGACAGGCGAAGCATGAACTTGTATTATACTTGCCGACAAAAAACGAGAAAAAGGACCTGAGCACAAGACTATCTCGTTGTGCTGACGGCGTGTCGAATCTCACGGACAAGAAAGCTTGATAGATCCCTGATGAAAGGTTTCGTGAACAAACCTCACCAACGGCGTCTTTATACAGTGTCTCATAGAGTACTTTGGGGGAATGTCCTTGCTCGTCTTAGTAAATTGCAGGTAAGTGATAGATTTGGACTTACTGTGTCCGTTGAGTGAGTAGCCATCTGCATGCAGTGCGGATGCGATAGCAGCAGCCAGAGATTGGTCCTCACCAGCCTCGCAAGTCTTGGCTAGCGCAGCAACATGCACTGATATCTGGTTCATTACCGGATCTAATCTTCGAATAGTATGAATCGGGTCTAGCTGCTCAAGGACACCCGTGTTGAAGCTAGAGATAGCTGACTTCATCAACAACTTTGCTATCAGAGGCGAAAAGCCGCATCCGATATCTCTGCGCTTCCCTGAAATACGGCGATAGTGCCTGAAGATGGCCACCGAGGTATCCGTAGAACTATTAAGGGTGTGAACACTTTCAGAAGCATTCCGGAACATAGCTTGCGTATCAGACTGCGACCAGCTCCGTGTGGAATCGACCGTGCGCTGGGTTCTCCATGTATACTCCGAGAGCCTCATCAAGACCGTCCTGCAGAAGGTCGGACTGCCGTAGCTGGAATTTGTGCGCTGTGGCTGCGAGTGTCGTGTCCATGAAGCGAGGAACTCAAATAAATCGGCTGTACAAGAAAGATCGTCGACCAAAAACACGACCATATGTATAAGCGCACCCATATCGCGCGACAGCAGCTCTGTTAAGGCCGAGACGGGTTGCGTTTGACCCAAGGAACAGTTGAGATCTTCGAAGTGGCTCCTTGATTGCGTTTCCTTCCTAGGCGGCCAGAATGACGCCGGCGGCTGATGCATGACATTGATCAAATGTAAACATAGGCTGTGTGTTGCTCGTGAAGATATGTTCTTTTGTTCTTGCCCAAGCAGAACTGGAGCCAAGGTGCCATTTTTGTGCGTGATCGGGTCTTGAGGCTAGCTGCGCATGACAGTGCTTTAGAGCTATAAGACTATATTACTGCGTTTCTATAGATTTCTGCCTGCACAGACAGGAATACATATGACGGGATTCTGTTTTCGGAAAGTGGCTCCAAGTGTCGCATGTCTAAACCTTTGAGCGCAGAAACTGTACAACGGAATTGATAGTAAGCGGCTTCCTTGCCGCTAGATTACCAGGCTCTGAACGTCTTCGCAGCTTGGACACGATTCTGAAAACATCATTCCGTCCTATGCTACTAGGCGCGCGCCTTGAATCGAACTAGAGACGCGCGCTTAGTGATTCTAATTTTAGGTCAACGGACGAAAATAATAGCCGCTTGACTGCATCTTCTCCACCCCCCCCCCCCCCCCCCCCCAGCTTAATGGGTCCTTGCTCGTGTGTTGGGGGCCTCCTCACCTTTCCTTTCATCTTTACCCTCTTTGTCGCTATTCAAAGTTGAAATGACACCTGATCAGCCTTTTTAGCCCGGTTGTCTTGCTGTCACATTCGAGAGAAAGTATTACCGCCGCGGCAATGCCTTCATCAAGCGCTGTCTGAGCCAGACCGAAAAGTAGATGGAGAACGAGACTAGGCGTACTGTAGGCGCTCCAGCTATCCCTTTGTTGACATTGAGGACATATCTCGATCTGAATTTTGGTATATCTGGGCAAGAATTTCGTTCCATTCTACGAATATGCCATAAATGTGGCATGGTGGCAGGAGTCAGATGCTCCAGCGTCAGCAATCAGTCAACGCACCTGGCAGGAGCATTGTCGTCCGTTAGCCCCTTTCCGCCCTTGAAACGTGGCTAGGCAACTGACCTGTACAGCATACGTGGATGCGCCGCCCACCACAAAAGAACGGCCATCAAAAGTTGGTGGAGGTGGAGTGTAGGCCCGAGCAAGGTGCCCGCCGGACGTGGGTGTTGGTCGTTATTCCAGTTGGCTGATCACCTGCTGGGAGAGCATTGGCTTGGGAGTGTTCGTGTCGATACTTGAGAGAATACTGTAACGCTTGCGTATCTTGCATATGTATCTTGCAGAAGCGCTATGTGGATTGTTTGCTCCCACGATTTGTCATACAAAGCCTGGCTTGAGAATGGTCACCACTTCAAAGGAGACTATGAAGATGCTGAGAAGATGCTGTGTGACATCGCAAAGGCTCTGAGGTATCTCCAGGGGCAGCGAGTTCTGCACAACGACATCAAACCCTCAAACATCCTGTACAGAAGAGAGACGGGTGCAAAGCTGATTGACTTCGGCTGTGCTCAGCATGGCCCGAAAACTCGCTCCGGTCGTGGAAGCCCGTGGTATACTCCTCCTGAGTACCTGGCTCACGGCTACGGTGGTTTCCCTGCCGAGATTTGGGGGCTTGGTATCGTCATGATCTTTCTTTTGAAACTAATGCCCCTGCCTGAGTTCTCACAGGGGTGGATAACCGAGGATATCAAGTTGAACCACAAGGACAAGACAGAGCTCAAGGACATAGAGCACAAGAAAGGTGTCAAGGCGAAGCAGGCCATGGGCGCATGGCTGACCACAGTGAGGAGAGTGCGAAGCATGCTTCCCAAGAACGCGGTGGCGGAGACTGTTTACAAGATGCTTGACGGGTATCTAGATACACGGGTTCAGGCTCAGGAGCTGGTCACACACATAAACAATCAAGGCTGAGAACAGCACACTCTCGTTCCGCTTCAGATCTTCCGGCGCCTGAAAGAATTGTGCTTAGTGACTGTCGAGGGTCATTAATTACATCACAACTCCACCAAGTGCCTTACGTAAGTACTTACATCAGGCCCGAGGGCGAAATCGAACCCTCCACCAGAAGAGTCAGGTCGGCCCAGACCAAAATGAAAAGAAGAATCGTTGTGAACAACTCCAAGAGAGACAAGCGCGCTGTTGTCAGAGCGATTGGCTATGGTCGCGCTATGCTCTGCAGCATCACACCATGGCCGCATACGTGACGGCCAAGTGCGGACAAGACATGACCAATGGAAGCGGCGCTGCAGCCGCCGACTCCTGCCTGCTGCCCGCGTCGTGCAAAAGGCGACAGCTTGGCAGCACCGGTCATCAACAGCAAGCAACGCAAGTACGCCTGACGGAGTTCCGTCACAGACGGTAACCAGACCGTTCTGCGCCGTCGCAGCTCAATACTGTGGTCTCACGTGCAAACGCTGTCTTGACGCCACGATCTGGGTCACACATCTGCTCCCCTGCACATGAGCTTCCGGTATGTGAGCTTATTATGTTCAAGAATGCTGGTTGTCGGTTTTAGTCCCTCCAATTGCTGACCCCACCATTCACACGCGTCCTCACACGCGCCACATTGGCGGTGCCCAGCCACAATCCAGCTTATGTGAGTTCGACCTGCGTGAACTTTTTCCGAATCATGTCAACTAGGAGACCAAGAACTGCATCTGTTAAACATGTCATATCGCCTCTGGTTGTAGCACTCCATCGGTTCTCTGCCGTACGAGAAGCGGAGGGTCTTATTGCGACGCAATATCTACATTCAGGCAGAGCGTCACGCAACTTAGGTGTGGCGTTCTACAAAAGCTTATGGTACGGATAAATGCCATTGTACTGGTTGTCAATCTGGATAACGGCGCGTAATTGAGCGATGATTCAGTGATTTCATTTCCGCCAAGGCTGAGTCTGAGGCTCGGGCAAGCCGGACATGGTTCCTGCTCATGCGCGATGAGTGGTCGGGAGCGAGCTCGATTCATGCTAGTTATGCATCCAATCGTCCAAAGCCTTGCTTGAGGCCCAGCTTGGGTGGCTGTAGAAGCCTGATAGGTTTGGGAAACGACGGAGAGCCTCAGTATTGTATTACAGTAAACTAATTAGTAAGAGAGTAATTGAAGAGAATAATCCCCGCGTTTCGATGTAAGCTAATCCTGTGGCTCTGCCTTATCAGGGAATCGTTTACTAATAATGCTTTATTGTGTGGCTTTCACTAGTTTCGCTATGGACAACGATCCATGAGATCAGTGATACTGTACCATTCTTTTGCATACAGTTCCAGGTATGAAATTCAATCTGCAGCAATGTTGCTCTATATTCTTCCGTTATGGTGCTATTTTGACCAAAGACCCAGTTTCGGGGAACGATTTGACGTTCGGACAAGGGCGTTGATGGATCTTAATTCACCTGAGATCGGGCGCGCCAACCAATGATGATACGTTCAGTCAAGAGAATTGTTCAAATGTGTAGTAATCTATTGGTCCCGTAGCTTGAGGCCTGCCGTGATTGGATGTAAGGCTCCAAATGTGGCTTCTGTTGTGGCGACAGATGTACATTCCTTGATGTTTTGGGGCAGGATCCGGTACGGCAATCGAGGCCCTCGGGCGATCCTCCCGGGCGATCCCGACGCCAAACGAGGAGGCGTGACGGGCACTGTGTACCATGATCACATCGAGGAGTCCATCCCTACAATGATGGACTATGATACTATCTTCATGCACGATAATGCACCAGTTCACACAGGTAAAATCGTGAAGGAATGGCTCGATAACATGGGGTTCCCGGTGCTGGATTGGCCGCCGTACAGCCCGGACCTGAACCCTATTGAGAACCTAGGGTTCTGCCTCAAAGACCGCATCAACAAGAGGGATCCAGAGATGGCATATATAACGAAGTGCAAGGCTTCGTAAGATCACCTAGAACAGACTGCAATAGCAGCATGGAACGACATAGAGATAGTGCTTGTCAATAGGGTAGTCGACAGCATGCCGCGCAGGCTCAAGGCAGTCATTGCATCAAATGGCTGGTATACCAAGTACTGACCGCACGGCTAAAATGCCCACTCAAAACACCATAGAATCCCTCACGAACGTTACAGCTCTTCATCTGGCTTCATATTCTATAAGTGAAGTGCGTGTATATGTGGTCGGCAGGCTGCTGATTTTGGCGTGTTGCGTTATTTTTGCGAACCCACTGTAGGTCCAGATGTGGGGATGTTTGTTTCGGCTCCAGGTCGTTACCGGATCGGTGGTGCTAGGTGGGATACAATTTAAGTATTTTTGGTACGAGTCTACGCACTGTATTGCAGCCAAAAATAGCGCTGTGGAGCGGAGTTCAAATCGGACCACATGGACGCTAAACCTTAACTCAACTGTACCATGTTGTACATCAGGGGGTGGTCTCTGAATACAGAAGCCACTTCTGACATTCTTTGTTGCATACATAGCGTCGAATCTTGCTGTTCGATATGCTGCTATTTTCCTGGTCATCGTTGTGACACATTTCGCAAGAATATTTAAGCACTCTCAGCCTACTCCTGCTTTGACGACGGCGATCCCTTGCTCGGGAATAGAGCGATACGATAATATGAGATCGACATTCCTCACACCTGCCCTAGTACTTTTATCAGTCCCTACTAGCTTCGCTCAGGTCACAGCCAGGAATATGTCTAACTTCCAGAATACCGTGTACTGGACCAATTGGTTCGCAAGAACATTCCTAAAGCCTTCGGATATCACAGGCAGCATAATAATATTACATATAGGAGTGTATACGCGAGAAACTATCCTCCTCAGAAGTTACCCGCGTCTGAGATAACTCAGGTTCTGTACTCGTTTATGAACGTCCGTGAGGATGGCACTGTGTAAGTTACACAAGTGAGCCACGGAGATAGAAACTGAGAGGTGATTCTTAGCTTCACTGGAGGTACATATGCGGACACTGGCCTCCACTATCCAACTGATTGTAAGAAATTGTCGCCGAAAGCCGTCTGTATCTATGAGAGTCCTAATGACAAGGTGCTTGTAGCATGGACAGACATGGGAAATAACGCGTACGGAGCTGTGAAGCAGCTAGGTCTTCTCAAGAGGTCTCACCGCCATCTTAAGGTCGTCTTATCTATCGGCGGCTGGACGTGGTCCACGCAGTTCCCTGGTGTTGCGGCGGACCCAAAGAAGCGAGCAAACTTCGCCCAGTCGGCTGTCACTATTATGAAGAACTATGGTTTCGACGGCATTGATATTGACTGGGAATATCCAGCGACCGCTACTAACGCTAAGAACTTCATTCTCCTACTCAAGGCCGTACGTTCAGAGCTAGATTTGTACAGCACGCGTGCAGCAAGCGCCTACCACTTCCTATTAACTGCTGCTACGCCGGCAGGGCCGGAGCACTATAACATTCTTCAACTTAGGGAGATGGGTGAGATACTCGATTACGTGAATGTTATGACCTATGATTACGCCGGTGGTTGGGATCTTTCTAGAACTGATCACCAAGCTAATTTATACGCTAATCCATCCAACCTCGAGTCAACACCCTTTTCTACAGATCGTGCAATTATCGACTATACGGCAGCTGGCGTCCCGACCCACAAGATTGTCATGGGAATTCCGCTCTACGGTCGTGGGTTTGAAGGGACTTCTAGGCTGGGTCAGTCAGCTAGTGGCACTAGTCAAGGCACTTGGGAGGCTGGAGTATATGACTATAAAGTTCTCCCTCTGGCAGGCTCTGTGGAGAAATACGACACCGTGGCTGGTGCGTCATACTCCGAGGACACTGTCGATCACCGCATAGTGTCATATGACACGATAGCTAGCGTTCAAAAGAAGCTGGACTATATTCGTCACAAGAAGTTGGGAGGCACCATGTTTTGGGAGGCATCTGGAGACAGAAATGACAGTGCCTCACTTATCGCAACATGTTTCAACGGCCAAGGCGGCAAATCAACTATGGACAGGACTCCCAACTTGCTGTCTTACCCAGAATCAGTGTATGACAATGTCCGTAAAGGCTTCGCTTAACCGCTGCGGCAAAGCTTATCGAGCACTCAGAACCACAAGCTATCAGAACGTAAGTCCGTAGAATAATTCCATTATAGAAAATGAAAAGGCCCTGATCTATGCGTTATTCATTTTATGTTAATTTATGGCAACGTGCAATTTACTATCAGTAAACCTTGGAGTTCCTCGTTGTGATAAGTTGGCAACAAACTCTGGGGATGGTATATAGAGAGTTGAAGCAAACCGAGCTGGACCTGTAGAGTAACGAGTTTAGACTCGAGATAAAATCTTAGTAGACAACAGAGCGATTGCTATGAACCTGACTTAGCTCCGAGCAGAGAAAATTAGCATGTACTTTCTAGTCAAGTCGTGTCCACGCTACTCAGAAGTCTCGATTGTGGCATATATACACAAAAAGTGGCGCAGCGACCTCGTTTTATCTGCGGGTCTCGTACCAGATGGGAAGTTGTGCGCGCACGTGCTAGGTGTCGCAGACATTGCATCTGCTCGATAGTCCAACGGGTTGTACTTCTCCGTTCCTTTTCTCAAGTTTCGGACAGATAAGAGTCATTTGCACTCTGCTTGGCAATCGCGGCGCTAAATTTAATGCTGCCGACTGGTGCGGCTCAACTGCACTTTATGCACCGGTGAGGAACGGCCATTCGCAGATCATTGCTTTATCGCTATTAATAGGAACGGGTACAGCGGGCCCCTACAGGGATCTGAAAGGAGGATGCATGTGATATTTGTTCCCGCATGAGCTGATCTTGTGTGGCTAGCTTCAGCCCTAGTCCATTCTTCACTAACCACGAGACGCTGGAATTCCCTGTCCAAGTCGAACTCTCGCGGGACTACAAGGGCGATAGGCCTCTCTCGTGTAGCAAGGACAGCACTGCTTGCCAAAATGCATTGCGTTTGAGTCGAACAAGAGAGAATTACACCATCGCAGTTCTGGACGACATTTTTGATTGTGCTGTGTTGCTTTGTCAAGTCTGCCTCCGAGAAGCAGTGCACTGCCACGTCCCTAGGGCCATCGCCCGATCCCACGACCATACGAATGACCGCGTGCTACGTTGGTCAGCTAGTCCGCATGGCCTATTGCTGTCGTGAACACCTACTGAGTCTTCGGGATGCATTATCAAGTTTGCGAAGTCTAAGTACAAAATCGTGAGATAGGCGCGCTGAATGGCACCGGTCGAGGGGACATCTGCTTCCTTTCGTCCCCAATGTCCGCAGAGAGCCTGGCCCATCGCATCTTGGAGGAAATGTAAAGCTAAAGGTTGGCATATCTAGGTGCTCAAAGATCGGACAATGGTTAGGGGCCATTAACTTATAAGATAATCGTTTCAAGAACGACACTTACACTTCGTGCGTCTCAGCGACAAGGTCCCACCAGTTTCGTTAGTCGACACTGCCCTATTCCTACCCTGCCCACGTGCATACAAGTTTTCATTTTTCTCTTGTTTCTTGAACGCCTTGGCAATTTCTCGCCACATACACCTTTCACCTTACGGCAACGCTCTGTATTGTCGTCGTGACGTTCTTCATGCGACTAGGGCAAGTAGCCAACTAGCCTCGCGAGGCCTTGACTCTCGTGGGGAGTAACGGTAATTGTGATATGCGCTCGCAAAGTGGAGCGATGCAGAATAGACACTATGCATCACAGAAGCAGCATGGACCAATATGATCAGCCGATACCAAGCTCGCGTAGACTCTAAGGGGAGAGCGTTCCCATTAGCATCCATGTTTCGAATAATTAAGAGAGACTGGTGTGACGGCGATGCCACCAAATGTGTGATATCGCGCACATCTCTGTCATCCCACAGATACTTCAGGAGAAGAGGCTGCGGACAGGTAATTTGTATCGAGTAGACTAACCACGCAACAGGAGACCCAGAAAACTGGTGCAGCAGCTCGCCACCCTGTGCATTGCCATGAGGGGTAGATATCGATCTGATGCGCTGTTATCCCCAGTATCAAGGTCGTGGTAGTACCTACGACTTGTGGTGAAGCAGGCTGAAGACAAATCTGGAACAGTTCCTGTACCTGTATTTGCACCATGCCCGTGGCCCGTCTTGTTCTGCTTCAAAGAACAAAATTTTTCCAAGCTCACCCCAAGCACAGGGCATTTCAAAGAGGAAATTGAATTTGATCCAATGCCCTTTGCGCCTTCGATCGCACAAGATAGACTCGATCTCCTTCCGACCCCGCAGGCATCGACTCTCGCTATATGATTGCAAGCAAGTCGTGGGAGTCAGTATTGATGCCGCGTTCAGGTTGCTTTCAGACAACGCGGCATCTGATGTTTGGCAAGCGGTGAGGAGCGGACATGCAGTTCTGTAGGTCGACAGCAGGACCATCATTGGGGTCCTGCTGCTGCTTCGATTCCAGGATTCTTGAGCTTTTCGAAAACTGCAACGCCATGATAGCACGGCGTAACTCACGAAGACTTGCAACCTGTTTGCGAGGGGTCCCGAACGCGCTCCCTGTCTCCAGCCTGTCACGTTTTGCGCCTGTGAAGTTGAATCTGTGTCCTATGCACTATCTGTTTGGCTCCGTGTGGAGGCAAGAAGTTGTGGGCCTAAACTGTTTCGCTGGCTATGCTGGACAAATTGAAGTATGATTCGCGCCAACTTTGGCTGGTTGCGATTTACTACAGGGACCAAAAACGTACGCCCTTGTCCGGACACGGCGATAGCATATGCTACAGTCTAGCTCACTCTTGCCTCTAAGGACATAGCGGAACAGAACCTCTACCTTATTGTCGTTCAGTTTCTTTACGAAGTTGTTGAGTCTATCGAACAATCTAAGATTCGCTACCACCTTGCCTGTCGCGGTCCTGTAGCCATTCTTTTCCACTGGGATCCCCACTCAGGCATAACTTCGACCAGGTATTCCGAGTCCGCCTTGAAGACTACCTGACGCAAGAGCGCCCCTTCAAGTCCTTCCCTTTGTATTCCTAGTGCCTTCTGAAGCCCCAAGATACCGGCAGTCAGCTCTGCAATCTGGCTTGTTACTTTTGTGTCTTTCAGCGTCATAGTAGTACCGATATTGTGAGGAGACTTTTCCCCAACGAAGACGCCTGCGGCTGCAGACGTGGGAGGTGTATCGTTGTTTCAACACGTACCATCAACGGCAAAGACTATGCCGTCGAAGTCAGCTGGCAGGGCGCCACAGTCTTCGCGTGGAACGGCCTCATCGCGTGCCACATAGGTCCACGGATCGTCGTCAACACCCCCCCTCCCCCCTTCCCCTTCTGCGCCGGACTGCCATTTACTCAAAAAACTCATCTACGGGGCGCAGAATGTTGAAACGTTGTCTATTCATAGGCTTCATATTGTGCTCTCAGGCTATGAACAGTCATACAAGTTTCGCGCAACGAGTTTAAATCCAGACTCTGATAGAAGAAACGACGTCAGACTCCTGACTCTCTTGCCCACCTGCTAGGAGCATTTTCTCAGTTATGCCACCTGTCGACTGTCGAGTCAGAAACCACAGTAGATGTGAATCCCTCCTGACGAGTCTGATCCACCTCGCTTCCTTGGCATATCAAGACAAGCTGGCTCTCCTAGGTTTCTTCTGTGGTTTCTCCTCTACGGCATCTGCGGACCTCTTCGACACTGGAATGCGGTTGGAGTTGCGACTTCGGAAAGGCTTTGCTGGCGTCTTTGGGCAAGCAGTGCCCATCCACGAGTCACGCACGTTGCCAAGCTGCTGGACCAGGTACGCATACTTTTCCCTCAGTTCTTCAAATGCAGTGTGACGCGCAAGCTTCTCCACCTCCTCGAGTCGGGGTGTGATATGTGTTTGGGTTGCACAGCTCGAAGCCCTTGAGTCGTGGTCACTTACCGACAGACGTGGGCAGGGGTAGACTGGGGATGCGTATGGCCCACTTGGATAGAACAGCAACACGCCATCGTCGTCATCGGGGGATTCGACAGTACCGACGGGTTGGTCCGAGCTGTGACTGACCGTCTCCCAGCTGTTGTCATTCTCCTCTTTGCGTTGGGTTTGTGCTTCATCTTCTTGCCTATAAATAATCGCGTGTTTGATGTGGTTCCGAGTAATGGGAAAGTTGGATGGTACAAAAGTGGACGAGACATTTTCATTCTCGTTCAGGGTAGCTGTTGCTACAGTTATGGGACCAATGTCGATTTCGGGTGGCGGATTTGCGAAGGCCTTGTCAAGGTGGACCACGATGGTCGAAACCCATTTGTTGTCGGTGCCATCGTCTGAGAAACCTGGTAGCTGCGTTAAGTTGAGTCGAGATGGGATAGTGCTTGACTTCTGCGTGGGGACGAGCCTTACCTATGCAGGATTCCTGGTGGAGTACGATCGTAGTCCTGGGGTCAAACGTGACTATTTTCTTCCATCGGCCAATTCGCTGGTCAACTTCGTTGGAACTTGAATACATCGCCGCCGAGAGGGAGATGAGCCCATAATCGTACTGGCGTGGGAGGGTGCCCGCGGTGAGAAATTTGTTATTAACGTAGTCGACACGGAAGGTGCTGAGGATGAAGTGATCTTGATGAAAACAACCACGCAGATAGTGCAAGTGCTTTGGGGGTTCTTGCGCCTGGAGTTTGAGGAAGAAGGTGCCTGAAGGTGGACACTCATCACCGTTGAGGGAGGCCATGGCATGTGGCAATCGCACAAGACTTGAGAAACCGAAGCATAGCAACGACAGGTGCCGCGCTATATATATGTAAGTATATACATCAATGGCGAGTGCCGATGCTCACCTCATTTGCTCGATGCCCAGGATTGTCCACCTTGAAGCAAAGACCTGCAGTTGTGCGTTGCGCATTGGGCAACTCGCGGTGCTTTTCATTCTTGAGTGGCTCTTGAGTGGCTCTCAGATGGTGCGCAGCCCCTGCCGCCCATATCAAGATCTGCAGTATGCAGTGTGCAGCCTGGCGCATGTCATGTCCACATGGGATTGTGATCCTCCTTGGCGACATAGAGCGACCTGTTTGCCGCGGTGATAACGCTTTCCTGAAGTCTATCGGACTTTGTGCTCAACGGCACGATCTTCGCGCAATGAGCTGCTACTTTCTCAACCGCAGTCTTCCATGATCGATCTGCGTCTGAAGGCAGAAGTGGCAAGACAGAGTCACCCTTTCAACGCACGGGATTCGATGGCTAATCTGAATCACACTCATTTCCTAATGAGGCCCAAGCCCGACTGGGAATGTCTTCACGCCGCCTCCGCGTTTTGGACGATAACGCGGATCTAGGGGACCTTCAGGAGCACGACGGCTCCGCACACGGGCCTACGCGTTCAGCCGGCCGGATAGAGACCGATTGCGGCATCCGGGGATCTGGGGAAGGGTGTCCCACTTGCGGTTTCACCCTGGTACCAGATGCCAAAGCCTTTTACAGCATGAATGCTCACCAAAACGCTTGAAGTGCACGTCATCGCAATTCAAAATCCGTTTCGCCCACGTCCTAGTTGATATCTACTGAGTTCCTCAATGAATATGATTATAGAAGACTAGCTACAAGTATCTACCCCTATAGCACGATCGCTCAAATGAAAGCACCTTGATTATGGTAAACTGGCCAGCCTCCACGGTGGGCCCTCGCGTACCGGACGTAGCTTAAGCGATCTCCTTTGATGCAGCCAGGAAGCCCTTCGATACATTGTCGCGCATCCTTTCCTAGATCCAGATCGGGAGCCCGCGCATCATTGAGATCCACCAGCCGCTATCTGGAACCACGATCTGCGCGCCGTAGCCTGAGAAGAGCTGACGCGTGATGGCGCCGGCGACGTCGTCTGCTGTGACATAAGCCCCTGGGAGTTTGTTGGTCTTTATCATCGCTTCTGCCATGGGCGTGCGGACCCACGAAGGGTGCACGACACTATATATATAGATGCATATACACGGTCAGTCAACGCTATTCGGACGTTCACGTAGATAATTTCAAACATGACTAGACGTGTATGGGGTGTAGGAACGTACGTGGCTCGCACAGCGGGCGCGTTATAGATGTGAAGAAGCTCTTGCTTTAGACCCTCGTGTAGGGCAAGTACTCCACTCTTGGTCATGCCGTAGTCGACGTTCAAAACCTGCGTGGTGAACGAGGCCATGCTGCCCACATTGACGATGTGGCCGTGGTTGCGTCGCACCATGGCGGGTAGGAATTGCTGGATGAGGCGGTACGGGGCGAACAAATTGATGCCAAAGCACCTTTGTAGCGTCGCCTCTGAAGTGGAGAGGATCGATGTGCCGTGGCCTATGCCGGCGTTGTTAACCAGCACTGTCGGATCGCCGTGGTCATGGCAGATACGGTCGGCCACTGAGGCTGTCGCGAGGGCGTCGCTGAGGTCAACCTGGTAAAATGACGTGTTCTTGCCTATTTTTCATTCATGATACGGATCGATTGAATTAGCTGAAATATGGACTTGTGTTTGCAGTGGAGGGGCCGGGGTAAGACATCATTAGTCTGTTCCACGTACCGAATTCTTTCGAAGGCTTGTTGATATCAAGGACAATGATCTTGATGCCCCGGTGCTGAAGCTTCTCGACAATAGTGGCTCCGATTCCGCTGCTGCCGCCGGTCACGACGACGATTTCTTTTGACCAGTCCCACGACTTGTCAGTCAGAAAGTTGTTGGTCTTTCTCCGGGAGAGCCATTCATTGAGCTGCGATAGAGTCCCCAAGACGGCGAGGGCTGCGACGCCGGCCTGTACTTTTGGAGAACGGGTAAGGGCCGCCACGGACGGCACAGCCGCAGCGATCTGGTCGGGCAAGAAGGAAGACATGTTTGAAAATTGACGATCGGTATCAGGATTCAGCGCAGGTGTGGCACTTGTCCCTCGAGATATACTGCTTTCTCGGTCTAGGGACATGGCTCGACGTATACTAACGCGGGCGCCTTTGGTTTGTCCAACTCCGCCGTAGGGTCTTGTCCGCCCCGCTTATCGGCGCACGGGTATGGGCTTAAAGTTCAAGTGTTTCGCCTCGGTGGCAACAGTGGAGCAGTAGAAAGCACGGGACAAGACCATCTCGGCAATTTGGGCGCGCTAGGCCGACGGTGCGGCAATTTGAGTAGCGTCGGGCTGAGTACTTAGCGTAATTTTGCATGCCAGACCCATAACTTCAACCGAGAGCCTACACTAGCGTAATGTATCTACGTGGATATGTCAAAAAGGCAAAGACCGTTGTAGAAAAGCGGCAATAGCTACGGGCCGAGCTTGCAGACCGAGGGTCCGCGATAATGCATGTTTTGTCTTCAGGGGCACCCATACGGGTTGCAGATCCGAAATATCCGACAGCTTGTCCAGCAGAACACTATATAGTCCACCGTGTAGGTGCATATATCTTCTCCAAAGAAGTCTCCAGCACCGACATCTACATTGTGAGATTGCTTGTTTCGTCGAAAACGACCTCTTTTCCCACAATTCCTCACGCAAACTCGTGTCATCCATCCATCCATCCATCCATCCATCGAAAGACCTACCAGAATGGCCTCCAGAATCGTTGAATTCAAGACCTATGACGGGCTCAAGCTCCAAGGAACTCTGTTTTCCGCCGGCGAGAAACGACCATGCATCATCATGACGACCGGTGTAAGTCTTGCCTGTCTCGATAAACAGTGGTGGGAATGCAGATAGAACACAATGAAAAGCTGACTGTGACGCCTCCGAGAACAGTTGGGCGGCCTCCGCGAACAACATCTCCCCGACTTCGCCGAGCGCTTCCAGGCGGCCGGGTTCACCGTGCTGACCTATGACAACCGATGCTGGGGCGGCAGTGAGGGCCTGCCGCGCCACGAGGTAGACCCAATCCTGCAGAGCCGCGACTACGCAGATGCGTTTGCCTTTGTGTTGACACTGCCCGACGTCGACGCGGAAAAGATTTTGTACTGGGGCACTAGCATGTCAGGTGGCACAACTATTTACGCTGCAACACTTAACAAGAAGATCGCGGGCGTCATTATCCAGGTGCCTTTTGTGTCGGGCGAGTGGCAATCAAAGGCATCAGGAGAGTCGCCTAATGGGCTGATCATGGAACGCGCACATGCCATCGCAACCGGCAAGCCGACCACGATTCCCATTGTGCCTGAGTCGCGGGAGTCAGTCCTGAACGGAACAAGCCAGGCGGTGCTCAACAAGCCCGAGGTCCTGCCCTTTTTGGGCGAATTGGACCGGCGCGGTTGGGTGTTTGAAAAGGCGATGACGGTGCAGAGCATGGCCAACATCGCCATGTTTGAGCCCCTAGCCTACACCCACCGCATCTCGCCGACGCCGCTGCTCATAGTGGTCAGCAGTAACGACGTGACGGCAGCAACGCACATGCAGCTCGAGGCCTTTGAGCGTGCGAGGGAGCCCAAGAAGCTGCATCTGTTGTCAGGTGAAGACCACTTTAGCCCGTACTCTAGCGAGGCGTTTGAGAAGAACATCAAGGCCCAGATTGCGTTCCTCACTGAGACATTGGGTCTATAAGCCAGCAGGCTTTTGTGGGACTTCACGTAGCGCTGTTGTGTTCATGGATGGAGCCCTGGAAGCCCGGGCAAAGACTAGAGTGTAAACCAGGATAAAGACCACCAGAACAAGCACTGCCATTTCCCAATAGCAGACTTCTAGAACTTGTAACCTGGGTTCTGCAACCTGTAGACTAGGATAGAACATGGAAGGTGGGGTCGATGTGAGCTAAATCTGGGGCACAAGCCTCTCTGTGGTCTACCCCGACTTTCGGCAGTTACCTGCGGATGCGGCGGTCAGGGGCCCTTACCCGGATGAGCCGCCTTCTCGCCGCGGCCGCCGCTGCTTCTCTACGTCTCGTCTCCCCATCTTCATCGCGACGACGGACACGCTTCGACACGGTACACTGCCCTTGGTACCCAGCTTTCCTTGCCGTTTCCTCCATGCCATCAAGTCCCGCGAGACGCGGGGCCTCGCCCCCCTCTGAAGACGATCCCTCTTCCGAGGCGGCCGAGCAGGCAAAGGCAGCCAGCAAGAGGGCGGCAAAGGCCTGTCTCGCGTGCCGGTCCCGCAAGGTCCGTTGTGACGTCGCAAGCTGCGGGCCCCCATGCACCCGCTGTGGCCGGGACGGCAAGAATTGTCTCGTCGTGGGAAGAGCATCCAGACTGTACGTACCATGAGCCCCTCGGTACTCAGTGATTTGACACCATAGACAGTGTCATAGTCAACCTTGTCCCAGCAAGAAGACGACTGGTTTTTCTCCTCTGACACGCTTGACAGAGCAAGCGATCGCCGTGCCCGCCTCGGACGCCTCAACCGCGCCGCCCCCAGCTTCTGGGACCGTGATGGGCCGCTCCAGCCCGCCGCTGGGATCGGCTCGCCATCTGCAAGAAACATCAATGTGGACGGCGATGTGCCTGGCAACGCGACCTCTCCAAGCATGCCATCCGCCATAAGCGACCAGGCCGCAAGTTCTATCTGCAAGCTCGTGGCGTCATCGGCACAGAACGCGTCAAGCACGGCGAGGAACACAACAAGCAATTTGCAGTCGAATCCCCGGACAGCAGATGGGGATGCCCGACGGCGCGTTACGGTGCTCTACTCACATCTGCCATTTCTGGCCGTCGGCAACATCCACAGGGTCCCGTTTGAGGACGTCAACTATCTCGAATCTTGTGGCTGTCTCCATGTGCCTGCCCGCCCCTTATTGGACAACTTTGTCGAGCAGTATTTCCTCCACATTCACCCCTTGCTGCCTTTGGTTGACGAGGGCGACTTCTGGGAGATGTACTCTGAGGTGGAGGCTCCATGCCCGCCAGACAACAGGATGCCGCTCTTGCTCTTCCAAGCCATGCTTTTCAGCAGCTGCGCCGTGAGTTTGAGCCGTTTGGCGACCGGCAGAGCCGATCGATAGCTGACGACGATGCTTCTTCTCTGCAGTACGTACCCTTTGAGATCATTCAGCAGCTGGGCTTCTCTAGTCTCCGGATTGCGCAGGCCGAGTTCTATAGACGTGTTAGGGTGGGATTGCCCCCTCCAACTCCGTTCGAGTCACCCATCAAGAGATATTTTTAGCGCGGTTTGACTAACGGGCAGCATAGTTACTTTACGATTTCGACGCAGAGATCGACCAGCTGCCCCTGGCACAAGCCTCCTTACTGTTGATGCACTGGGTACCGCCATCGAACTTTCCGTCCAGTCCTTATAAGACGTGGCTCGGGCGCGCTCTCCAGCACGCCAAGAGCATTAATGCAGACCGCTATGGCGCCATGCCAAAACTCCCAGCATGGGCCAGTCCCGATGCTAGAAAGTACCACAAAGCCTGTCGCCGTATGTGGTGGTGCTGCATTATACTCGACCGTATCTCGCCCCTAAGCGGGCGATACGGCAACCGAATCACGCGCGACACTTTCGACTTCGCTAAGGCTACCGCGCTTGGCGCTGCGGATCTTGAGGACGAGATATACCGATCCAGTGTGTACAGTCCCGCCGCGAAGCGCCGACTAATCGGCCTGTTCGAGGTGTACCTCAAATTTACCTTGCTGCTAACGGACGTCCTTACACTGGTCTTCCCTTTTGAGGATTCCTTGCGGATGAATCACCAGCCTTGCGACGAGGATGGGGCGCAAATTGAGATATGCGATGCTGCGCTGAAGAGCTGGTTCGCCGTTGCCAGCGAGAAGTTTCGCCCTTTCCAGGGAACGTCCAGGACCGCTGCAGGCGGCTTGGGGAAACAGGAACTACATAGATCCGAGGCGTTGCACGTTAATCTGATGTATATATACTATTAGTAAGCCTGATCCTCTCCCGGCCTGTACGACATCACTCCCTCCAGCATTATAACCGCCAACGAGTACTGACATCTCTCACATCTACCTAGCACTGCAAAAATTGCAATCCATCACTACCTCCTACTGTACCGCGTCGCGAACGGGCACGAGCTAGAAATCGCAGATCTACCGCAGGTCGACAAGCTCGCAAAGAGCCGCGACGAGCTCATGGACGCGGCAGCGCACATGACGCTCCTGTTCGGCGAGCTTAGTCGTCGCCGGCTGGTCCGCTGGCTGCCGGTCAGCACGTGAGTACAAATCACAAACTTTCCAGATGACGACTTCAGTCTTTAGATTGGCTGACATATTCGTAGTCTTGCATGCATGACTATGCCACTGGCGCTTGGCTTCATCAGCGCGAGGCTCTTTACCACCGGGAAAGGTCCTGCTTCCAACCGGCCCGTAGCCGCATCAGACTCGAGGGCTGGCCTCCTGGGCTTGGACGTGCTCTCCGAGGCCCTGGAGGCCTTTGTCTCGCAGTATCAATGCGTCGGGTATATCCGCGAAGTCGCCAAACATGTGGCCAATCTCGCCCAGGACCACAGTAGCCAGGCTGGCGATCAACCCCGGACACTCCAAGATTCTAAACCAGGACGACCGCTGATCATCACAGACTGGATTCAGGTCCTGACCGCCCAGCCTTGTGTTTATGTTTGGACGACCATGGCCGTTGACCTGTACATTAGTAAAGGCCGCGTGCCGCAGCAGGAAGACTTCCCTGCGTGGCTGTTCCGCCAGCCCGTGACCGCCTTAGCCGCCGTCGTCGTACAAAGAAAAAACAGTTACAGAAAGGAGGATCCCTTACAATCGGCCAGGCAGAAGATTTGAAGTCTCAATTGGACGCGATGGTGCAGTTAGTTACAGAAACGACTCGGAATAGTAGTCGTACAAGGAGGCCAGAAACGCGCGCGCGGCGCTGTGGCGTCTGCGGCGAGCCCGGTCACAATGCGCGTACGTGTCAGAAGGTTGAGTCTGCCTCCGGAGGAGAGGATTCTGAATAGTTTTAATTGATTTAAGGCGTTGTGGTTGATTTAACTTACACATTGTCGTACGAACACCAGGAAGGTGGCCCGCTGGCTTGTGTGGCCCGCTTGCTTGTGGATTACGTTAGAGTTTATATATTATTATAATAAGGTTAAGAAGTTAACTGTGACGGCGCGGACCAACAGGGGATTGTTTGGGCTGGGAAGGCAGGACAAACAAGGCCGCAGCATCGGGCCATGTGCCTGATGACTAAGGTCCTGTTGCTTATGTAACTGTCCCGTGATCCTCCGCAGCCCTGCCCTAGTCCATGGCCCGATGCTGCGGCCTTGTTTGTCCTGCCCGTCAGCTCAAACAATCCCCTGTTGGTCGTGAGTCGTCACACTTGCGTAGAACCGTCTAAAGCGGTTTTTGCAACCGCTCCAAAGTCTCATCCGCCTCGTACTGATTATCTAACGTAGATAACTCATATAAATCGAAGCCCTCCGCACGTGTACTCCTTCGCGGTGTTATTTTTTGTAATGTGTCGCCTCACGACAAGATATCAATTGTTGCTTATCCCTTTTATTCTAACCTCGTTTCTCTCGGCTCATATAAAACCATAGTGTTTCTCTCCCGTCCTGGTGTTTGAAAAGATCGCAAGATAAGCGGAAATCGTGCGGAATAGGGTACTGAACCTGAGGCTGGGACTTTTCTTCGCTCCCTAGGTCGGTCTCCTTTGGCTTGCAGGCCTCCAGCTTAGAAATTCGCAGGACTATGCGAGACCGAGATCACACAAATACAGATCTTATCCTGGAAAAGCATTGCCCCAGCTTTGGATGCTTTTGAAAGCCTTTTTGAAAGCTAGAGTACAAATGGGAGAAATTCTCGTCACATACCCGCTGGTAATTGCAGAACACCCATACACAAGGCTGGCGACACGCACCATCGAAGTGTCACGATCCGAACTTTGGGTACGAGAGCCTTGTAGGATAGCACAATTATCGCTTGGGCTCCCCTTCATTCCGTTCCAACCTGCCTCCCAGAAGCTAGACGTGGTATAAAGTAGTCCCCCGTAGAGATGTGTTAATGTTTGTCTTCTCTGCTGCTGAAGATGCATGATTGGAGGGCCTTTGGTATTATTCTACACGGAGGGCTATTTGTGCTACTAAATCACAAGCGTTTGCCGTGATAGTCCGCTTGTTAGCCTTGTCAGTCTGTATGTACGAAGCCACAGACCGTGAAAATCAGACCCGCCACCCTAGATTTCCTACAGTAGAAGAATCTATCATGAGGAGATGAATGTGCTTGCTTAGCCAAGCTATCTAGACTTGTTCCTAGCGTTGTGTATGCGTGTGTCTTCCTCGCAACGCAGAGGGTTCATTTCATCTCCGAGATCCGACAAGGCTCAAGTTCTACTTTCGGAGTTCCACAGTGACCATGAATCCTCTCTGCTTGGCGAACCAGCCGTTATCTATATCGCAAGAGGCACCGGGCTCGGCCAGCTTCCCGGCGAGCTGGAAATCGAAATCCCTCACCAGCCGCGGGATGAGCGTCGAGATTTCGAGATGGGAGACGTGCCTGCCGATGCAGGTCCGCGTGCCCTGCCCGAACTACACATGGGCGGTATTTTAAATCAGCTTTCCGACACGTTTGAAAACACGGAGCACAACACAGCATTGCGAGGTTATTAAAACAGCATGCAGAACTGACCGGCATCCATGAGCGATTCATCAGCGCGACTTTCTCTGTGTCCTCCGACAGCCATCTGGATGGCCTGAACTCGTCTGCGTCGTGTCCAAAGAGGGCCTTGTTGCGATGCTGGACCCATGGGTTGATGCCGACGGTTGTCTGATTTCGGAATCGCTTTTGGTCAGCCGTTGACACTCGTCTTCTTCTTGGGGATAGTGAAGCCCTCAAAAAATGCGACTCAATGGCGGCGTGTGAAGACATGTTATACTTACGCCCTCGGGAAAAAAGGTCCCTGAGATTGTAGCTCCGCCTACAGGGACGACGCGCTCCAGGGGCAGTGCGACGGCGGGGTGCAGCCTCAGAGCCTCCTTGATGACGGCCTGCAGGTAAGGCATCTTCTGGGCAGTGCCGAAGCTGATGTAGCCTCGATCATCAGCCACCTCGGATGTGTTGTGGATTGCATCGACTTCCCGGCGCAGCTCTTGCAGGCAGGCTGAATTCTTCAGCAGGTAGAACATGCATGCCGAGAGAGAGATGGCTGTGGTGTCTGACCCTGCTAAGATATTGCCTATACATGCCGATATGATCTGGTGCATCGGCATAGACTCGGAGTCTTCAAGGTGTCGACGGCTGAACTTGGCCACGAAAGGATCCTGCACCGTGGTACCTCGCAGGCCGTCTTCGATTTCGTAGGTTGATGGCTTTGTGTTGCCCGTGCCGCCGCCGCCGCCACAATGCTGCTGTACCTGTCCCACGATAAACTCGATCAGTTCGTCGGGCGTCAGGCCGCGCCACGAGGCCAGCTTGTTCGAGAGTGGCATCAAGAGCTGCCGCATAGAGGCATAGATACCCATTCGGGCGGAAGAATAAGTGGCGTAATCCAGGAGTGCCATCAGCCCGCCGACGTCTTGCATGGCATCCAGGAACCCGATGCGCTTACCAAATGTGACGCCGCTGATGACATCAAACGCGTAGCACTGGAGCCAGTGAGTGAGATCCAGGGGGGTGGGCCGGCCGCCATTTGTTGTGCTCTTGACGTTGGCAAACTCCGTCAGGTGCTGCCCGAGCAAGTCGCCGCAGATTCTGACATAGGGCTCGTACGAAACAAGTGAAGACATGCTGTACGTGTTCTGGAAGACCTTCCGGGAGGCGGCGTGACGCTTCACGTCGCGCTCCATGAACAGGTGGCTAACACCGGGTGTGGTAAAGGTGCTGTACCAGGCTGACTTTTGAAACTGGGTGGTAAAGCTATAGATTATCTTGGCGGCGTCTGGGTCGTCGATGATGTATCGATTGCGGCCATAGCGGATAATGGCACCTATGTTTGGTTAAAGGTGAGTTAGGCGGGAAGTCGAAATGGACCGAGGAAGAGCTGGGGAAGGCTACCATGTTGTTGGTGTAACTCGCGACTGATAGTTGCAAACTGCCGCTTGCCAAGCAGGGTTTTCAAGTACCAAAGGTCTGAAAAGCGCGCCAGCCAGGGCCCGGGAACGCCGAGGAGTGGCGATCGAAGCGCAAGCCAGATGCGGCAGATGAGGTGCAGAGCCACGGCACCGCCAGCCACACCAAGCCACAGTGCAAGCGTCATGATGTTTGTATTACAGTCGAGTGTTGCCGAATGGTCAGACGGTGTTTACCTCTGGTGAGAACAACATCCGCAGCCAATACGGCTTTGAAGGTCACGTTATATGAAGTCCACGTCGGACGTCGGCGCTTATGCTCGCCGGTGGAACGGTGTCGAACTCCCCGGGCCTCGCCCGCCGGCGTCCCGGCGGGGTCGGTTAACTTTAAGCCGTGCCAAGTCTCTGCCACGACTCATGACAATCACTCCCCCGCATGCGCCATGGCTCCTTGATGCACCAAGCTTATGTTGCACCCCGGAAGGACGGACGCTATTAGCTCCGTGATGCCGGTCCAATGACGTTTACATTATGCTCATGCCGTAACCCATGGCTGGGCCTTCGCACGGTCGGCTCGGTTACAGCGGCTATAAGTCTCGGCAAAAAACGTGAAGCTTGCCGACAAGCACTTGCCACCGCATTTCGTGAAGAACGCTAGCTGGTGAGGAAAGTGAATCGTCCCGCAAGATGCGGGAACGCTCTGCGGAACGTGCCTCCTTTTGGAGGCACGGCTTCCGCCGGCCGAGTCAAACTTGGAGCATGCTCGAACTCTACCTCACGTGCCTCAAAATATCCATTAGCCGTATCTGTCGCTATAAAAAGAAGATGCGCACGCTTTTGCAGGCTTGTCATTACACATATCTCCATTCCCATTTCCAAGCCCTGACTTGTCCCTTGCTCAGCTGTTGACCGCCACACTCCCAGTGTAACAAGCATCATGGCCCTTTATTCCGTCCAAGGAGTCGACGTCATCCAGCGCGACTCGCCCAGGCCTACCTCCGCTGCGGCAAGATACTCGGGCCTCCACCGTAAGACCGTGGTCCTCCCTGCAGGCCACCAAAGAGGCCCGGCCTATAGAGGCTTCCGTGCAGAGACCATCTACGAGCGCGACATTGAGATTCCCCTCCGCGACGGCACAATCCTCAGGGCCGATGTCTACAGACCAAACAACACGGCCGAGAAGGTTCCGATCCTTCTCGCCTGGTCCCCCTATGGCAAGAGTGACACTGGTAAGTACAGACAGTATCAAATGGCTGAGCCCGGCTTAAGTCCCAGACACGAAGGCAGATCTGGATTTGTGACTGATCGGCTGTTGTGCCGGTTCTCTAGGATTCTTCAGCCTCGACCTCGTTCCAGGCCGGGCCGGTGTGCCTCAGTCTAAAATGTCAGGTTATGAATCCTTTGAGGGTCCGGACCCGGCCGAGTGGACTGCCCGAGGATATGCCATTGTCAACATCAACACTAAGGGGTCGTTCGACTCCGAGGGCGATTTTGTGTTAGTAAACTGTGACGTTTCGTGCAAGTAACGTTCCTGCGCTCGACAGAGCTCAGAATGAGTGATTTCAACAGTGGTAATTGAAAGTTGTCTGTCTAAAAGAAAGGTTCTAAAAAGAGTGACTGCGAGCTCTGAAACTCGGTTTATATGCTCCGGAGGAGCTCTAAATGCTGACTCATCGGTGCCATGCGAGCACCGGTACGTACCTTACCTGCTCAATGTCACAAGATCTTTATCCCCAACACCATTCCAGCTGTTCGGGGACACTGGCGATGCCTTATTCTGGACGGCCACAAGTCGCATACAACAGCAGAGTTCATGGCGGAGTGCTTTATCCATAAAATCTGGCTGATTTACTTACCGGCCCATACCTCACATGTCCTTCAGCCACTCGATGTGGGTGTGTTCTCGGCGGTGAAATCATGCTACCGTCAGGCGGTCACGGAGGTGGCCTACAACACCATGAACGAGTCCCCAGGCAAGCGGGAGTTCCTTGAAGCATATCAACTTGCGCGGAAGAAGAAGATGAACAAGGAGAACATCTTGGCGGGCTTCAAGGGCACGGGTGTGTGGCCACACAATAGGTTGATGGCCTTGAGCTCCCGCTTCGTAGTACGGAGTTTGGAGGAATCACGGTCAGCACCTGCAACTACGCAAAATCAGGCCCAATTGACGTTCCCAGAGCCAGATTTCTTGACGCCGTTATGCGCAATTGACGTTAAAACACCAAAAACAGGTCGCGATGTCTATGAACTGCACCAATTGATGCTGCGGTGCGATTCTGCGCTGGCGACAGCGACCTGCAGGAAGCTGTTCAATAAGGTGGCGAAAGCAGTCGAGAACTCGAACCTCCGTTACACCGCCGCAGAACACCAAAAAGACCGCCTCAAAGCTGTATTAGAGGCTTCAAAGCCTACTAAACGTCGCAAAGTTGATCCGGATCCTAATAAAGACTTCGTTTCCGTCGTAAACGTGGAACGCGCAAAGAGGCAGGTTCGCCGTGAGATGGGGTCGGACGTTAGCAGCGACGACTACATAGACAGCAGCGACGACGAGGTAGAGCTAATTGAAAGCGACACCGACGAAGAGGACTGCATAGAGGTACAGCTCAATTGATTTGAAGACATTTTAACGACTGGTTGTGGTTTTATTGCAGAGTGACGGTGAGGTTGGTGATGGCTTCATGCGCAGGTGGAGGGTGGTCGCGAGGCGGCCTGGTCGCGAGGTGGCAGGCAGACTTAGTGCTAATATCGCCGCTCGTGCACCGGAGTCGTCAATGGCAGACTGACAAGGCTCACGGCAAGGTCCGAGGCCTTGAGTAGCGATAGGCTGTATCTGTGCCCGAGCCGGATTATACGACCGACGGTATCGCTGCAACCGGTCCGCCATATTTGCTAGGGACGATGTTTGGAGATACTCAAGTAACTCGGATTGATGTGGTCGCTTTATCGTGCTGCAAGAACCAGAGTTATACGGATGAGCCAGTTCTTTATACTACACTTTTGAGGGAACAGAGGAGGGCAAAATTTTGCTGAACTATATAAATAACTCCTTGGGCCGACCGGGACACCGCCCGGAGGACCGGGGTACTTTGGCACACGGCGGCTCATGTGAACTATGATTCGCCAACTAGCCGGCTGAATCGGCCCCATCATGTCCGGGCCCGGACGTCGTATGACAATTACGCCGGCGAGAACGGATATGATATGATTGGCAGCGCGAAGATGATAACCCCTTTGGACTTTTGGCGCGGATCGGCTGACTCTCCGGCAACGACCCCGCGAGCTCTTTCGCTGTGCGTAGGCCACGCCTATGTATCTGCCCTGTTGCCGCTTGTCTTCCCATCCACTATGAACACCGGAAGAGCTGTGCGATTCTAAGTTGCCAAAAAAGGTCCAGGTTGCACCATCTTATGTGTCTCTGCCAACCATTCGGTCTAAACTGCTCAGCCATTATGTATCTAGCAATTGAAGACCGCTCTGAATCGAGACACTCTACCCTCAACTGCCTACTACGTAGTCCATGAGAGAGCCGGAGCGTGCTTCAAGCACGCGAGTCGAGCCTTGTCTGTCCTCTGAGACCTAGTCCCGAGCCATTGCCTTCTTCAATCTCCTCGAGGGCGCCCCAGGCTGCCGCTGCCGGTACACGCATACCCGAACATGAGTCATTGCACTTTTGTCCGATCCGCCTTTGTCCCTCGAGCGTCGCGCGACGAGACCGCAGCGAATAAAACCAGTAGCAAGCCTCACCTTCATACTGTAGGCATTGCGAAGAGGACCAGAGAGACTTTCCACAGCACGAAGCCGGCAAGAAAGCTGAAGAAGCAGCAGCATATATCACTCTCGGACTTCATGTGATCACGTCACGACGTTTGAACCTCATCATAACTTGATATCAAGTGCGAGCACACTAGCTCTGTTCATATACGGACTCATCCCTCCTCAAAATATCTACACTAAGAAAGAAGATCTGGCGGCATTATTCTGCTTTCGTCACAAACGTCCGCGCTCATAGAATACGAGCAGGCGGTCGTCGCGACCAAAACAGTCACCTTGTCGGCCACCACGAGAATAAGAGCTGGTACTCAAGCCAAAGTCCTTGCCGGTCTGCTGCCAAAAAGAACTCTGATGGAGATTGTCCTCGCCTATCAGTCCATGCCTGAAACCATTCAAGGACCCTGGACGGTGACGGTGGCAGAGCCACTGGAGAAGTAACCCTCGGTAGCGACGATCTGGTAGTTGTGCTGGGAGCCGAGGCGCATGCCGGCGGCGGACCAGGCGTTGAAGTGGCAGGCCATGGAGACGGTGCCGCCGCTGCGCTTGCTCTCGCGGACGGACCAGAACTGGTCGAAGCTCTGGGTGCCGTCGATGGAGGGGGCGTTGGTGCGGCGGCTGCGGTACAGGCCGTAGGTGCCACCGTCGCAGGTGACCTGGCCAGTGCGGGTGGCGCCGCTGGACGGGTTGAACGTGCCGAAGTTCTCGACGACGTAGTACTCGATCAGCGGGTTGCGGGTCCAGCCGTAGACGGCGAGGTAGCTGTTGCCGTTGGGGTGGTAGTCGGCCTGGTATTTGATGGTTCTGTTGGGGTGTTTGGTATGTTAGCGGAAGCTGTCCGTCTTGAAACTATCCAGCGCACTAAAGGTCATCTCACCTGGCACTGCCGGGGTTCCAGCCCTTGCCACCGACCCAGTTGCCGTTGCCGGACCAGTTGACGCTGTACTGGCCGCCGTTCCCGTTGCGGTAGCTGACCTGGCCCTGGCCATCGGTCCAGAACGAGTAGTAGAAACCGTTGTGGGTGCCGGTCGAGCTCTGGGCGACGGCGCCGATGACGGCGGTGGCCGCGGTGAAGAGCGAGGTGAAGGTGACCATTTTGTCTGCTGTCTGCTGAGTCGGGAAGGGAGGATCTGTGTTGGTGGAATGTGAGGCTGGAAGGCTGGATTCTTGACTGCCGTGGTGATCGACTATCAGGACTTTTTTCAGGGAAACAGATGATACTTTATATACTCATCCGACACGACCCTTGCCCTGGGTCTCAGCACTGCGAGTCTACGGCAGAGATCTACATCTCGACGTCAACAGCACTCCGTATGTTTGCGACGGAGACCTCCCATTGGCTGGATGTTTGTCGCGGTTATATTCAGTACGACGTACAACGAAGAGCGGGTCTTGTTTGTCTGTGACAATCAAGATTGGATCTGGACCGGACCTCAGGGTGACATGACAACGTCAACTTGCTGGGTGGATCGGTGGAGAAGACCGTTGCCAGATTGAGCAATTCTCGGATCGTCTGCTTCCATTCGCAATCAGACAGAGGCAAGCATGGACCGGGCGCAGTTCGCCCCGGGACTGACACGCGGTCGCAGTAATCGGGGCGCAAAGCAGATCTCTCGTCGAGACTATCAGATATATCTTCTCCGTCGAAAACATCTACAGATACACAAGCTCGATCAAACTCAAAGAATAGACTATGGACCTACGGATGCGACACTCCGCCTCGCTGTCATCTCTCGAAGCCCCTGGCAACGACGGTCGGAATAGTGCTGCCATCCCTGGTGACAGAGATGGCCTCTCGACGACGAAGGCCACAACGACGACAGACCTGGCGCTGCACATAGTCGACATCATCGCCTCCATCCCCGCGTCTTCGGGTATGCGGTGCCTGCAGCCGCTGCTCTGCGTCGGCGCCGGGACTGGCCTCGCGCTCGCTAGCAGCAAGAACGGTGATGCCTTGTCCCATTCAGGCGCCGGAGACCACCGCGAGCAGCGCGACAAGGTAGGCCAGCTTGTGCCCGCGCCGCCGTGCCACATCAACTGGTGGGAGTGGTTCTTGCCGCCGGCAGGGCCTGCCGAAGGAGTTCAACATCATGACTCGGACGCCGGCGCGTCAGAGTACACGTCGGCCTCCTTTTGTGACAAAGCTACACCCTCCATGGCAAACGATGGCAGCAAGGTCCACAGCGCCCGCGTGTTTCTGCGCAGCCGTGTGCGCGAGCTGCAGCATCACCTCCCGCAGAAGCCTACTGGCGTGGTCGGCGAGCTGCTAGAGGAGGTCTGGTCGGCCATGGACCGTCAGAGTGGTGGTGGTGGCCGGTACGGTAGTCACGTAGGTGATGCCGCCACGGTGCCTGGTGATTGGGGAGCTGGCGCCGGGGTGCACTGGCTGGACATCATAAGCACGGGTCGGTTCCAGAGCGTCTTCGGGTAAAGGCAGGGTGGGAGGCTTGTGGAGAAACTTGTGGTGTTGTCGCCAGCGACGAAGAGCGCAGCGAAGTAGAGCCATGCTTGTCCCCGTCCTTGTCCGGATCCATCACGAAGGACCTCTCGCTTTGAGCTTGGGTTTAGCCTTGGAAGGTGGCAAGCTCCATCCAGGGATGCATGCACTCGTTCACATATAGTAGCTTGAAACATAATGTACTTGACTGCTCCTAGTGCTTTGTGGAGTTAGGCGCGATATACGGATCGAGAACTCCGGTAGCTCAAGCTCGATAAGACGCTGAAGTTACTGGCAACCACTGACATATCTGGTTACATGCATGCCTGCAATGCCAACGCGTTCCGCCATAGAAGAGGCTTGTACCATAGTTCATCGACAAGGTCACCAACGGAGGATTGCGCATGGGACGGGGTTGTGAGTCTAAAAATACCCGTGAAAGACAGGATTGTATTTTTTAGCTTCTTTCAAGTTATCTTGGATGTACCGTAAATCTCTCCCAGCCCAGCCAGAACCACTAAAAAGGACCTAGCCCCTCGAAATCGAGGGGTGCAAGGGGAAGAAGTGAACAAAAAAGGACCCAGCCCCTCGAAATCAAGGGGTGCAAGGGGAAGAAGTGAACAAAAAAGGGCGTAGTCGAGGCGCGTGGCAAGTCAAAACGCCACCACGTCACTCCCGCCCAATAAGCATAGGTTACATGTCGTGTGTGCTTGCAAAGCAACAATCAAACACGACTGGAGTATAGAAAGGGAAAGTACATCTAGTACTGGACCTCAATGACGGCCTTCTTGGCCTTCTTGTGCACGCGGGGGTGCTTGCCTCTGCGGTGACGGCGCGGTGCGCCAGGGCATCCCGGAGCAGGAGGTGCGCCCGGGGCGGGAGTCGGCGCCGGAAGAGGAGCGCCGGAGCTGGAGGAGTTGGGGGAGTCGCTGCCACCACTGGCAGGGGCACTGGGGAGAGCGGTGGGCAAGTCGCCATTGCCGGGCTGGACAGACGCAGTGGTTGAAGGAGAAACGGAGGCAGAAGTGGTGGCAGTTTGGAGAGTGGTTGGGGTCGGGACCGAAGGGGCACCACCGGCACCAGCAGCGGAAGTGGAAGTGGAAGTAGGGGCAGGGACGGGAGCTGCAGACGTATCATTGCCGCTACCACCCTGGATGCCCTTGTACATCGGTCCGCCGGGGAAGGGGTACGGCTTGTAGCCGTTGTAGATGCCGAAGTTGAACGACGGGTCGGTCCGCTTGTAGCCTCCGGGAAGCAGGATGCCGGGACCGAGGTCGCCAGTGTCGGAGCCGCCCGTGACCTTGATCTGCGCGCAGGCCGGGTAGAACTCTGCCTGCTCGTCGTGTGCGCCGTGGAGGCCGATGTGCTCGATGCGCAGCAGGTACTCGCCATTCAGCAGGTCCTTGGGCAGGTCAAAGGTCACTGTGTCCTTGCCCCAGGTGCACCAGGCGTCCGTCTTGAAGTCGGCAGCCGTGTTGCACACGCCCGTCTCCCAGATCTTGATCCAGGGGCCGTCTCCGCGGTACTCCTTGACGGAGCCGGGGGCTTTCGAGATGTACGCCAAGGCCGGGCCCGGGTGCCCCGCTGACGTGCCGACGGCGAGCTTGAAGCCCACGTTGGAGCCCGCGGCGACCTCCTTGACACCAGTGGACCCGGCGGAGCTGAAGGAACCCTGGTTGCATCGGATGTCGTCGAGGTCTGGGGTCGAGTTCTCGAGCGGGTTCTTCCACTTGATGGGGTTCCAGGGGAGGGGGCGGGTCGTCCGGCGGACAAACTCCATGTCGCCAGTCTCGGTGCCATTGACGATGAGCTTGTTCCAGAAGTAGTGTCCGTAGACCGAGGGCACGAGGGCGGCGACGAGGGCGGCAGAAAACTTCATCGTTGCGGCCGTGATGTGTTACGTTCTCTTGTCGGGGAAAGTGAGTGTGCAAGTCAAAAATACACCTAGTTAGGGTTGGATTGGGAAAGATTGGCAAAACCGTCCGTCGACGTTGTGCTGTGGCCACAAAAAGAATGTCTGGGAACCTCCTGGGTATGTTTGGACTGTTGGGAAAGCGAGAAGAGAACGTGGGCAGCTGGCTGTAAGGAGTGACTGCGAGCTAGCGAAAAGAATGAGAAAGGCTTGGTGACCTGGAGTGAAGAGGGAAAAGAAACCCGTCTGCTTTAGCGAGACTATTCCGAATACTTTATATCTCCGCGCAGCCATTGTCTGTCACCGTAGATTGAGGCTAAACCTTCTAAAGGCTCGGCACTTGTTCTGGGGTCAGCGCCGTGGAGGTACTGCCGGGAGTCGTGTACGCGGCACACGTTGGTGTGTCAGGCATTACAGACCAGCAACTGCCAGGGTGGACCCACGTATGATGTGCGGGATAGATTCGACCGCTCAGGAGTAGCACACTAATGTCTCCCTGGCACTGCATAGAGATCTACTTGACACAATCGCTAGGCTCTGTAGGGCGGGGGCGACGCTGCAATGTCCAGGGTGTGAGAAACAGCGTGGAACAACGAGGCGCGTAGAAAGGCGCCTAGAGAGCGTGGCGTCCCCAAACGGCTGGTCGATTACCCACAGATTGGAACGGGCTGAAATGAAGGATGACAACCCCGGTCCAGCTGTCAACTAGGCTGGACTGTTGAACTCAAATGATCTCCCACATCAGGGATGACTGGTTGTCGCCTTTTAGTGTCTTCCGAGTCAGAATGTTCATGCCTACAACGGGTCATGACGGAGAAGGAAGAACAAGCACGCGGGTGCCCCTGGCTTCGCGTAGCCGCACCAGGTCAGTGAAGGCCTCCCTAGACTTTGAGACGGCCCGGGCAGCAACACATCAGACGACGTCGCGCGCTCATCCCCTTGCGGCGTATTTGGCAACCAACCATCACCGCATTTCCGAGTCAAGATCCTCAGGGGAGCCGGGGAAGTTCCGTGCCCAGCACAACCCATCTCCGACAGCATGGTCGCAGAGGCAGTAGATCAGATGAGGCTGAACATAATCTGCGGGGTTCCAATCTATCACAAACCTGTGCAGCGGGTCTGTCTCGGCCGAAAAGACGAAAGACTCGCCTCCCCGTCCTATGCCGAGGTGACTGCATAATCCATCATCTGATAAGGGTGTACCCATCACAAGTGGACACACGGGCGGAGACTCACGCCAAGCAGAGTGGCAGAGGAGGAGCGCAGAGGAAGAACAAATGCTATTGTGTATACCTGGTGCTTTTGAAAGCACATATTGAACATGAACGTACCACGAGGATCTATCGACCGCCGCCTCCGTAGCTCAGGACAATACAGGGGAAGGGCAGTCCCTGGCAGCTTGCATATCGGTCGTAAACTTAAAATCAACCCGTGTCTATGTAGGCGAGGCGGTGGCCACAAAAAACGGGACAGCTCACCAACGACAATCAACTATAGCAGTCCCGTTTTTTGTGGCCACCGCCTCGGTAGGGAGGGTCAAACCTTGCTCCGCCACGCCATGAGAGCGTGCCCAGGCTAGGTTTTTAGTCACAAAAATGCAGATTGCGTCCTGAGCACCTGCGGTGTGCTCCGGGGTCAAGCCCCTTCCATCTCCATATCTCAGCAAACTCGTAAAATCGTCAACAGGTCGCTTTGCGGGCTGCGGGAAACCTAACAAGGGAAGAAAGCTGCACAGCAATTAGCTCCGAACCCTTGAAAGTAGAAGGGGGCCCGTTAGCGAGTTTATGAGTTTACGAGTTTACGAGTTTGCCAAGAAAGCAGGAACTCCGGGATACGAGATACCCTGAACCCCCGAATAATGAGCGACTCCAACTTCCGCAACGACTAACCCAAGCAGTGCGGTCTCCACCGTACTGCGGAATACCTCCGGGAGATGTTTTCTAACGTAGAGTTCCCTTGGAAAACCAGACAGGCAGCACTGAGACGGAGGTTTGAGATGAATTCAGCCTGAGCCAAAGAGTCAAGGGCTAGCTGTGAGTTGCAACCGAAATACTGCACACTGCCGGGGTCAATGCAACAGGCTGCGCCGCAGGCAGCACTGTTGAAGGAACGACTCGGGCAAATCCTACGTAATGACATGGTGCATCTCAAGGGCTAGACTGCGGGACAGCTCGAGGGCCAAGCAACACGACTATTCGATGGATGAAAGACCGTCAAGCCAGAACTGAGCAGCACGAAATGTGGAATGAGCTTAGTGAAGCCAACTTCCGCTACTTTAATTAGTGCCATAGAATGTTTTGAATTCGCCTGCATCAAATAGGGATTATAGAAGCCGAAATCAAATATTTGAATTTATGAGTTTTAATTGAAAATATTATCAAACACGTCCGAGTAGGAAGACCCATCATCAAAACCAAAAACATTAAAATCTATGTTTTTCACTATAACGTAATCCACAAGTGGGTGAGCCACACAAGTGGATGAGCCACTTTCCCACCATTTTCAATACATGACCTTTATCTCCTTATTTCTCTACCTACAATCATGGGACGACAATCAAATGAAAGCGATTTGATTCTAGCATTAAGAGCGCTTCAATCGAACCCAGAATTAAGCGTACGAAAGGCTGCAGAGATCTATAAAGTATCCCGCGCGACCCTCCAACGACGACAACACGGCCGACCTCCGCAACGCGATATCCGACCACCCTGCCAGAAATTGACCTCGTACGAAGAGGACAGCATCGTACGATATATAATCGACCTAGATTCGCGATCGTTTCCGCCGCGGATGAGTGGTGTTCGAGAAATGGCGGATCGACTCCTCCGCGAACGCGACGCGCCACGCGTTGGAACGAACTGGACCGCAAACTTCGTACGACGACGACCTGAGCTCCGTACGCGTTTTAATCGAAGAATCGACTATCAGAGAGTCCTCTGCGAAGATCCGGACGCGTATCGCGCGTGGTTTTCCCTTGTACGAAACGTAATCGCGAAATACGGAATCCACGATGACGATATCTACAACTTCGACGAGACCGGGTTCGCAATGGGCAAAATCTCTGCAGAAACAGTCGTTACAACCTCCGATCGACGCGGAAGGCCTAGAGCCGTATAACAAGGCAACCAGGAATGGGTTACAGCTATCCAGTGTATTGGGTCGTCCGGCAATTCGATCCCGCCGTACATCATCTTCGCAGGCAAGGTCCACCTCGACTCCTGGACGTCCGACAGCCCTCTACCGCCCGACTGGGTAATCGCACTCTCTGAAAATGGGTGGACGACGAACGAGCGAGGTCTAGAATGGGCGAAACACTTCGATTTCCATACAAAGAGTCGTACGAAGGGTGCTTTCCGGCTCCTGATCCTCGACGGCCACGAGAGCCACCACTCGGTCGATTTCGAGCTGTACTGCAAGGACCAGAACATAATTACGCTCTGTATGCCTGCTCATTCGTCGCATAAGCTCCAGCCTCTCGATGTTGGGTGCTTTGGACCTCTAAAACGGGCGTACGGAAAAGAAATCGAAGGTCTAATACGGGCGCATATACCTACGTATCGAAGGAAGACTTCCTCCCAGCCTTCCAGAAGGCGTACAGCGCTGCGATTACGGAAAAGAACATCCAGGCAGGCTTCAGAGCGACTGGCCTAGTACCCTACGATCCGGAATACGTCATTTCACAGCTAGATGCAAAGCCTCATACGCCAACTCCGCCAGGTTCTGCAGGCCTGCCGCCACCCTGGGTCTCGAAGACGCCGAATAACCCGATCGAGGCGGAATCACAGACTGAATACATTAAGAACCGCATCGTACGACATCAGGGTAGCTCTCCTTCTTCGATAATTGCAAGCTTGCGGCAGCTAAATAAAGGATTCTCGATGATGGTGCACGAGCAGACCCTTACGCGCCATGAACTCGTCGAACTTCGAGATGCAAATGACCGCCTCAGCCGCCGTCGCCGTACGAAGAGAAAGCAATTACAGAAAGGAGGGTCCCTTACGATTGAACAGGCAAAGGACTTGAAGGACCAAATAGATGCGACGCAGCAGTTACAGGCAGAAACGAGTCAAAATAGTAGTCGCGCGAGGAGGACAGAGACGCGCGCGCGACGCTGTGGCGTCTGCGGGGAGCCCGGTCATAATGCTCGTACATGTCAGAAAGTTGAGTCTACCTCTGGAGAAGAGGATTCTGAATAGTTTCAATTGATTTGAGGCGTTGTGGTTGAATTGACTTATACATTGTCGTACGAGTGCCTTTAAAGTTGGCGGGTCACTTGTATTGGCGGGTCACTTGTGGATTACGTTACCTGATACTTCTGCTGAAAAGTTGACTTAGATTTGAGGCAGCGACGTAGGTAACTACGGTCGATGTCGTGCTTTCTGGCGGCCGCTGCAACAGGTATACCGTCCTTAACGTCGTCCAACGCGCGTAGAGCGCGCAATTGCACGTCTTTTGGGACTATGACGATAGCCTCACTTCTGGGGGTTGTAATGGTCTAGGCTGGGGCGCGTCACGACAGAGATGATCAGGTTTATATGGGAAATTGTATGGTGGGGGGATGCGTCGCGTCGCGACGCGACCCCTGGTCACGATGGGGGGTGGTCACCAGGGGGTCGGCAGACTTACCTAGTCATCAAGATGAAGATGAAAATGAGCAGTGCCGCTGGCGTGCCGGCAGCACAATCAACTCCGCTCACCACCGCCGCCGGCAAGGCACAGACCTCCGGTGGCAGTGTTCAACAGGGCAATGCGCCCCCTGTTGTGGCCTTTCCTCCGATGCCCCGCTCGTGGCAGCACCCCGTTCGAACCGGGACGACGTTGACCTGCTCGAAGCTTTCAAGGGCAAGGTGTCGATTCGCAGCTTCATGCCTTTCGGCGCCAGTGCCGTACCTCCCACGAACTTCAAGGTGGAGACCAGGGTTCCCACAGGGCTTGTGTTGGTTCCTCCGCGCGTCAAGCTCCCCAAG